TCTTATCTTTTATCTGGAAAGTCTTTATGATATGCTTCTGGTTATAGTACTTCTTCTGGTAGACTTGTGCCTTTGTGAGCAATTTCTTGATCTTCTTACAAAGTAATCTCATTGCCTCTGTCTGATTCTTTGAATTCTTGCACACATAGTCATACTTCTCAGAGTCCAACAGATTCATTCACAGATTCAATCTATATATTAGCTGAAAAGATGATTTCTGTGTGAAGGCCTGCTGTAAGTTATTGTACACAAACTCCACTATTGGCAATCACATCATCCAGTTATCTTGATCATAACTGATATCACAGGTACTGCTCTAGCACACTATTCAGTCTCTCAGTTTGACTATTAGTTTGTGGATGGAACACCATACTTATTGCTCTCACAATCTTCAAGATATGAGTCAAATTACTTCAAAATTCACTCATAAACAGAGATTCTTGATCTGTTACTATGCTTGTGGGTAATTTATGTAATCTTAATATCTCACAAACAAAGAGATGAGCCAATTTCTCTGATGTCAGCTTCTTTATTGTAGGGATAAAGTGAGCCATCTTTACAAGCTAGTTCACTACAATCAGAATACAGTCAAACTGCACCTTCTCAAAATTCAGGCTTGCAGGGAGATCTGTAATAATATTCATGCTAATAGATTCTCAAGAGCAATTCAGAATTAGTAAGAGTGATAGTTCTTCTTGAGATTTCCTACAAACTCTTCTTGAGCTCTAACAAACTCTACAGACTTCATAACACTTCTTTACCAGTTCTCTTATTCTTGGCTAAAAGTATTTGCAAGCTATAAGCTCATACATTCTTGCTGTAGTAAAATGCCCTACAAGAGATAGATTATGATGATATCTGATTAGCTCTATTCACAAGACCTTATTCTGAGAGATGTACATGCAATTATTTCTATAGAGAATGTCTTTCTTCTCTTTCCACATCACAAATTTCTTCATGTCTATCTTAATATCTTTATGGACCTCAGCGGCATAGTTATTACTTTGCAGTAGGTTTAGCAATGATGCTAACAGATTGAAGCTGCTCTTCTTATAAGAATTCTCCTCACAAATCAGGCCTTTGACCTTCTGAACTTGCATTGCAATCTTCTTCACTTTGCACATGTCTTCTAAGACAATCTTTGTGAGTAGTTTCTTGATCATAACTTAAAGCTTTGCAGAGATGAGTTGTACATTCTTATCTTCTTTCTTCTCTCTCTGATTAAGAAAAACTTGAGCTGTTAGTTCCAACTTTTTTGTAGTCTCTTGCTTCTTTGTGAGCATCACTCTTAGTTGGTTTACAGTCTTACAATCCTTCATATTATCTAGACCAGTCTTCTTGATATAATCAGATTTTCACAAGAATCCATCTGCCAGATTCTTGGTTTTTTTACATGATTAATCATAAATTAAAAGACTATCAGTCTTTATGTTCAGCAGATCTATCTTCACAAAAGATCTTGAGCAGTCTGAAAATAGTGCAAGCTATTATAATCTGTAAGAACTTGAACTGGTGTTTGCAAGCCTTCCAACCAGCAGCATTAATATCTAAATAACTCCACAATCACAAGCAATTCTTGATCATAAATGCCATAATTCATCTTTACAGGTTGTATCTTCCACAAATAAAACTCAACTGGAATCCAAATATCATCCTTTGTCAGCTATAATAGAATATCATATACTGCAAAGCCAGATGCATCTGTTTCCAATCTGGTCTTCTGTTCCATATCAAAATGGTGAAGCATAACAGCTTCCACAAACACTCTTTTCAGATTTATAAAGGCTTTGCAGCTCTTCTTAGTTATGAAACTATTAGTCTCTCTTCTTATCTCTCTTCATATACACCTGCTTAGCTTTGCTTCTTCTCTCTTTAGAAGAGCAGTCAGGCCACAGACTATCTTAGAGAATCTTGAAATGAAGTATCTGTAAAAGTTCACAAATTCTAAGAAGATCTGAATCTCTTTCTTACTAGTTGGCTCTGGCCAGTCAAGAATAGTATTCATGTGGCTCTTCTTCATAAGAACACTCTCTGATATTATGATATACCCAAGATAATCAATCTTGCAAGCATTAAACTTGCACTTTACCAGCTTGCAATAAAGGCCTGCATTCTTGAGTATCTTAAGTATCAATTTCACATGCTTCTTATGATCTTTCTCATGAGCTGAGTACATGACCATATTATCAAGATAGATTACCACAAACACATCCAGATATTCACTAAGTGCCTTTGTGATATATAATTAGAAGGCTGCCAGTGCATTCATAAATTTAAAGAGCACTATCAAGTACTCAAATAGTTTCTGTAGAGTTCAAAATGCAGTCTTTCACTTATCTTCTTTATGAATTCTCAATCTATAGTAGACATTCTTGATATTTAACTGAGTGAATATTGCAGCTTCTGTAAGCTTATACAATATATCTTCAATTAGTAATAGAGAATATCTATTCTTGATCATTTTTGAATTCAGATTGTAATAGTTCACACACATTCTTAGTTCATCATTCTTCTTAAATGTGAACAGAATGAGTGCTTCTGCAGATAACTTGAAAGAGCAGATGAATTTATAGATTATAGTACTGCTTAGATATTTATAAAAAGCCTCTTGTTCAGCTTGCAAAAGTCTGTATGTTCTTTCAAATTCTGGCTGCTTTTCTGACTCAAGATCTATAGTCAAATCATCTTTGTAGTGTAGTGGCAGCTCTCAAGCTCTCTTGTTACTAAACACTTCCATAAGTTTACAGTAGACTTTCAGTATCTGGAGATCTAGATCTGCTGTCATCACCTGTTCTGATTTGCAGAGAATTATTATATAGATGAGCTTCTCTCTCTCTACTAGCTTTAAGAGATTAACTAGTTTAATCTTTGCAAGCAGATTATACTATACAGTTTGAAACTCTAGTTTTAGTTCTCTGAAACATATCTTGAAATTGTGTCACTGCAGCCAGCTCAAACTCACTAGTATCTTATCTTTTATATTTGTGATCATCACTTGTTCATGGAATAACTGCCAGTTTCTCTGAGAGTTACAGACTTCAAAAAATATATTTGTAATCTCTTTTGCAAGAGTAACATTCTTATAATTTATAGTAGTTTCAATCTCTATAGACATCTTGTGCATCTCTAGTGCTAGCTTTGCAGCCAATCACAAACTAATTACTAGAGATTGACAATCAGAATCTATTAGTGCTAATCAGATGATACTTCTATCAGTTGGGCTTCATGTATCTAGAATAATAGGAGAGAGAGTAAGAAAACTTTTCTTAAACAACTTTATTATATTAATTCTATCTACTTGTGGCCTCTTAATTTTCTATTTGCTACTCTTTTTCTTGAGACAGTCTTTTGTAAGATGCTTCTTTTAGCTACACTTAAAACACTTCTCTTCTTTTCTTAAAGCTTTATGATTCTTGATAAGGTCTTTTCTTATCTTCTGAGCAGATCTCTGAAGTTGACTTCTCTTATCTGTTTGTGATCTTGAGTTATCAGTCTTTATATCTTTATAACCACTTCTAACTAAATTAGTAGACTTCACATGTGAGGTATTCTTTTCAAGAGCTGCTGTTACACTTGATCAGAGTCAGATAGTCAGTGCTACTATCTTATTAATATTATCTGGTATTTCCAGCTATTCATTCAGTTTAGCTTGCATGAGCTTATTCAAGTTTTCTATATATAGATTCTTCTTTATTTTCTTAAAGCTTTCAAATTCTTCACCAATTTCTGTTATAAGCTCTAGAAATTATTGATAATAGGCTTGGTCAGTTTCATTTAAACTCTTGTAAAGATTGAAGATTACTTGTCAAGAGTTTTGTATATAGTTTACTGAATCTTCTAGTCTCACATATAGAAATTTCTTGAGATTATTCCAGTTATTCTTTAATAGATTGTTTTTGCAGTAAATCTTCCAGAGATCTTTTTTAATATAATCAAGTCCTGTAAGAGTGTATGCAAGAGTTTTCTCATTATTTAATTTGCTTATATTACAAGTAAATTCAATACTGAAGATAAATTGCTAATATTTTATATAGAAGTCAGTCTGATAGAGCTTTATATATTATGGTGATCTCAAGACTAATAAATGCTTCACAGGTGTTAGATTGAAGATAATCATATCAAGAGATTTACTTTATAAGTGCTTTTAAGTAATCTGGAGAGTATTCAACTTTTCTTGTTATTTTATCATTCTCTTTAGTAGTTTGATTTTCTTGCAAAGTCATTAAATTTCATCTCTTGATGCTAAGATAGACTCTCTCTCTAAGATTATAATACTAGTTTTGATTTTATTCATGATTAAGAGAGCTGAGATGATTTCAAAGTTTGTTATCTTCTCACAAACTTGGGTTTGTTCTTTGAGTAGATTTTCTGCTGGTGTTTCAGATTCACAAGCTTCAGAAAGTTGGCTTCTTTGTGTTGATATCATTACTGGGTGTCATTAAAGAAGAGTAGCAAAATGTGAGAATTATATATGTGGATCAGCATGACAATAAATCTATAGAAGAAATTGTATGTAGAAAAAAGTATATAAGATAAAAGATCTGGTATTGACAACTATATATGACTTGTAGACAAGATTGCCACTGGCTTTCAACAAGAGATTCATGCAGTGGCAGTCTTTTATATGTGCTTGTGAGCATGTGACTTAGTGCCTCACAAGGACACATGTACTTCCAACAGCTTGCAAGCTGAGGCCCTGGACTCTCACAGGTGTTGTTCATTTGTGTAAGGGGTTCGCGGGCAAATTCTTACAGTCAACCATAGCTTCTCTGAGCCCTGTGGAATGAGGACACCTTGGTGGTTATGGTAGGAAGCATCTCTATACAGAGAATAATGCTCATGAAAATTTGAAACAAAGAAGGCAGTTAGGCAATAGTTTGAACTCTGAATCAGCCACTATTCCCATCCTGAATGGTGTTCTAGGTGGCTCAGTTAGTGAGTCGCATTCTGATGATGATCAACGTTTAAACACTGATTTTGAGGGTAAGGGAAAGTAATCTCTATGATAAACTCCGCCAATGCGTACATTGCAAAGCTAATATAAACCCAGGGACACTGTTTCAAAACCTCAATGACATCCTGTTTGCATATCCACCAGTTTCGCCGCAGAATAGGCAGATACTCAACGAATACCCTATGTCTGCTGATATCCCACCTTTATTCCCCGAACTTCCAGATTTGTTCTCGGAGTCAAGGCAATGCACTCCAATAGAACCACAATAGTACTCCTCCACCTTTTCCGCTCCAGGACTGCTGCAGATCCCCTCTGAAATGTAATGCTTCGCCGGCTTTGAGTTCGAACTTTCGACGCTCTTTTCCGAGAGCGGGTAACCCGTTGGAGTAAGATAAATTCTCTAGGGCTAGAATGCTATATATCCAATCCGTTCTCAATGATTTTTGCTGTCTCTCCGCCCCAAGCTTGTTGCAAACGCAGAGTTCGGAACCTCGGAATCGTTTCAAAATCTCGGATTCTTGCACCTGAAGCAGTCTTGCCAGCTCCGACCTTTCTGGTACCTTTATTCACATTAGTATTAGCGGTAATGCGGTTAGGAAAGTCGTACCTTTAGGAAGGTGTTAGATGCAGCTCTACTGCTTTTGTTATGTTCTAGAAACTGAAGTGGCTCTTGTGAAGGCGTTGCACTTTCATAAGCCACCAAAGCATCCCTTCTTGCTACCGCCGCAACGTCTTCAGAGATTCCCGATTGAATAGCGTACGGTGCGGAGTTTGGCTCCATTTTCAATGACTTCCTCGAACACGTCTTTTTTCCTTTTGATCCGGTTGATTTACCCTTTATAATTATATGTTTTCACTTTCACGTATGCCCCGCGCTTGGTTATTGAGGGGTTTTCTCATGTCACGTGGGGAAATATAGCCATGAGTTTAAACCCAAATCTTAACCTTTTTTGCCCCGCACACAAAGTTAGTAGTTAGTTAAAAGGTATTCACTCTCTGGCAGAAAACATTTTAACCCCCCGATTCAAACCACCACAGGAGAATTACCAGACCAAAGAAGATGCATGACTACCCTTCAAACAATTTATCTCAAACCAATAATTCCTACAGTGTAGTTGATAAATGACGGGCTACACGCAAGCTGGCTATTGCATTCAGTTCACACTACAGTGTGGAATCAAACTGGAATCCCCCTGAGACAATGCTAACCCCAATGCTCTTTGTTCAACTGATTCTCAACCTTATACACAGGTTCCGGGTGATGATTAATTTGGCATGTGCGAGATGTCAGGAGAGTCTCACCAGGTCAATGGTAGCTGCCAGTTGCTCCATGGATGTGCCGGGGTCGCTACATGCATAGTTAGAGTCTTTTGATTGCCCTGCAGAAAGTTCACCAATTTTTCAACAGACATGTTGCACCCTGTCAGTGTCAGAGTATCATGCATTTCAAGCAAATGGTTTGCTACATTGAATTTGGTTGTATATGTCTTTACTTGAGGAGAATGATGACCTGGTGATTCTAGTAAAAAGGTTGATCAAGAAAGACCACCAGGAAGAATTGGTTCTAAACATGAAGCGCCTTTGATTATGCCACTCAAGCCCTTGCGCTTGGGAGGCCATTTTGTTTGTAAAAGGCCTGTTTTCTCATTGTCTACCCAGATTCAAACTGATGCATTTTGTCATTGCTGACTGATCCTGTCTTCAATTATTGCAATTGCAATTATGGCCTGGGAGCCAGAAATCTTGTCACTTGAAAGTATAGCAGCTAGTAATCTTCCACCATATGAAGATTTGATTACAAGTGATGTTGACACTGATGGCAAGAAAGAATATACAGAATCTACCAACATTTTGTCTCACCAACACTGCATTCAACTGTTCATTCATCTAGCCTATTTGGACTCTCTCAAATTTTCTCTCATGCTCTGTGTATATGTGTGTATGTGTATGGCTTTTGTAAATGTATATAACATAACTATTTCTTTTCAGGTTAGTGCTTTGGAGATCTCATCAGTTTTAATGATGATCTGGGTTTGTAGTCATGTTATGTGCATTGTGTAGATTCTGCCCCCTGGAGCTCTTTTTTTGCTTTCTAATTTCTCTTTTATTACTACCATTAATTAGCATGGGATTTGTTGGAAAGTGGGCTATCATTAAAGCAAGTCTTGCATATCCAACAAAGAAAAGTTCAATGGGAAACTGTGTAGTTGCAGAGTTCCAGAAGCTACAGGTATGTTGGTCAACAAGCAGGTTGATGTTAAGCCAGAGAATACACTTGGATTCATGTACCTTCTAACAATATTTGGCTGGCAAAGCCCTCCAGCATCAGTATCTATTTGGAGCTGCTAAGTCCATCTACAAGGATCCAGCAGAGCCTAACTACTCTATGAGAAACCACTGGGCCTGCACAGGCTAATTGGACCGGGCTAGCGAAGGGGAAACTGTTGCTCTGCAGTTGAAAAAGGTTTTATGTGGGCCGTGGCGTTTGTATGCCGGAGATACTGCAAGCGGTCATGGTGTGACCATCACCGGGCTTAAAAGAAAGGCATACTTTAGAACTATGAGTTTCACCAATATTCTTAGCCTGTTGGTCAATGGTATGCCATAGGCTTGCTCTTGTTTCCGATCCGAGATCAACATGACAGCTAGTGAGAAGGCTGAAAAAGGCTCATGGGGCTAAAATTTGGTCGCCTCGCGGATATCTATGCTGCTTTTCCGAGCCATTTTCTTTTAAGGTATCTTGATTGAATAGTCGGCTTTTTTTGTGGTTTGCAAGGGATGCATGGATAAGGAACTCACACCTTTACGCGGTATTTAATACACCACTCAAGGATACTCAAGAAGAAATCAACTGGACCTCTTTCTATCACTGCATCTGAATATCAGCAGCAGATTCAAAGAAAACAATGTGGAGAATGCTGTGGTGAAGACAGGATGAAGAAGGCCCCATTGATGACTGGTGGACACATTTATCTCTTGACATTAATGAAGTAACTGGAAACCTCATGCTCACTGAATGTTGGTGAGAGTATCTTAGTGGAAGAAGTGAAAACTCTAGAACAGCTTACTATCCAGCTGGCCATTCAAGTCAGGCAAGAGGTATTTCTTACAATCATGGAAGACTACTTCACTTCATAATACCAGCCATTGTCATGTTGGGTCAACAGGCTACAACAGATTGTGTTTCCAAACAATGAATGATGGAAGAGAACAAATTTAAAATTGGGCTTGGAAATGAGAAAAATACTTCAAGCTGCACAACATGATCCAAAGATTATAGATTAAGATATATGCCTAATTTACTTCATCTGATACTATTATAAATGTAGATACCTAACAGAGTTTTAAATAATTATCACATATTTAGTGATCATTAATACCTCAAACAGATATCATGCAGCACCATGGTTTCTAGCTTGTATTCTTCTTGAAAATTAGACTACAGGCTAGAATATAGATTCTGACAAATACATCTTGGGCTGGGCCATTGGCTGCAGTAGATTGACTTCCATGACTGATCTCTGCTGTTGGTGGTTTGGTGTAGACAGAGATGAATAGTTACCAGTTACTCTGAACTGTCTTGTTGTATCTTTCTGATACATTCTTTTCTCAAATCTTTTGAGCTTGACAAGGTTTGATTTCTTTAATGACTTTGCATGAAATTCTTTAACCAGCTGCTTGCAACCAGATAGCACATTATGAAAAGGTTTTCAGAAAGCAGTATAGCCATGCTAATTAATTTTATATTGCAGATAGAATCTTCTGGTGTTAAAATTTCTTCAAATTCTTCAGTCTAGAATTATGTCAACCAACCACTCTCTCTCCATGTTTCTGTTGTGCTTGACCATGATTGGTGAGAAAGATGATGGGCACAATATCAGATCAATATTTGTAGGCACTTCCATCAAAATGTCTTCTTGAGAGGCAGAGACTATATAGATATTAGTCATAAGAGAAAGAATAAAACCAGAACTATATTAGATGAACCTTAATTCAATACAGGAGACTGCTATAGTGGCAGGCTTACTGCAAGACTGTTTGTAGATGTGTTTCCAATACTATCAAGTGATAATCACCAGCATTGCATGTGATTGCCCAGGCACTGCATCTCAATGCTCTCAATTATAGAGATATTCTTGTCTAATACTATCAGATTATCTGACAATAGTGCAGAAGTAAGCACCATATATGAAATAAAAAAAACTAGTAAATATATCATGGCTTTCACTCAATTCAAAATCAGACAGATTCTGTATGGGAGTACCAGTTTTTATTTCTATGTCTGATTCTGCTTTGATCAGAAGTGAAGTCTGAGCTTCTGAAGAATTTCATATCAGATTAATCTGGCCTTGAAAATGATGATCACAAGATTCAGACAACAAGATATACTCTGAACAGTCACTCATTATAGTGATGATACAGATAAGAAAAGAAACACTGATTAACATCTGCAAAGAAGATAAAGAGAATAAAGAACTTGCTGAAAGAGCTTTTACTAAAGTCTTGTTACAGTTAGTGTAGTTGCATCATTTTTTCTTCTTGATAACAGCAGCAGAATTATAGAACTGGAATAAATTTATTTCTATTTAGTATATGCTGACTGAGAAATCACTAATGGAGAGAAAACTTTAGGACAGCAGAAAGCTACCAGCATTTATTTATACACCCACAAATATTAAACTTGATAACTGCATAATTATCAAAATAGAAAAAAGACATTAGCACAAAAATCAAGAATTATCATTTCCACTGAATTACCTAAAGAAGTAATTGCACCTGGTGGTAATATGTGATACAGCAAGAATTTCAACAGTTTTCTGGCAGCCATTCTGAACAAGATTCATATATGCTAGACATGCATGGACCAAGCCCTTATTTGCATATTAGAAAATACTAAACTTGATAACTGGACAATAGATTATCCTGCAGAATGCAAGAAAATATCAGTATAAAAGCCAGAAGTTGCCATTTCTGCTAGAATTACTTGAAAAAGTAATTACATCTAATCATAGTTTTTTAAAGCAGAGCAGTATGGCTGATGTTCTAGCTATTGTCTGATATCAGTAACTGATAGACTTTGCTTTTACTGGTCATGCATTCATCTCTTAGTGAAACTTACTGCTTGACTCTTCTTCTGATACACATCTACTGCCAGTTACTCTAGAATGCATTGCTTCAGATGACTTTAGACTTTCTATCAAAGTCTTACATGTGTTATTTAATGACTGAGTAAAGCAGTGTCCAGTGGCTAATATTTCAGCCAGAACAATATTATTATGGTTTATCAATCATCACTGGTTGAACACATCTCAGATGATAGATTAAATAATGCAGTAACACTTACTAAAAAAGTATTATCAGAATACATTACTGCCTGCTTCTAATACTGCAGCATATCAGTCATCTTCATAGCATCACCACTGCAGGATTTTTATTATTGAATAGAAGTAATTACAGTTGAACTTATAAGAGCACTCTTCTCAGAAACTGCAGAGCTCAGATCTTCTCACTCAAGCAGTCTCTGAAGATAATCAAGAAATCTTCTTAAAAGCCAAAATCTGAAATACAGAATCATAAGCTAAGATAATCAGTTTCAGTATTAATATCAGCTGCTCACAAATAAGGTATAGACAAGTGTTCTGGAGATGTAACTGGAACATTCTCTTGTATCAGGTGAGCCAGCACTGCTGGTGACAAATGATATCATCAGGGCCAGGGTAGCAAGAGGGACCAGAACAGAAATTGAAAGATATATAAAAAGCATCAAGAAAGATAAGAATAAAGTAAGAAACAGCATATAATCTGGAAACAGTGCTGGAATATGACCTCTGAATGACACAAGAATTGACAAGAGTCTGTACAACCAAATGATCAGCATGAAAAACATCAAGGGGAACTGTTTAGTACCAGAAAACATACAACAATATACAGCTAGCTCAGCAGACAGGAAGACTACAGGTGTGGGTGTGATTTTCTTGGTGTGAAGAAAGGGAGAGAGGGAGACAGAAGAGGCCAAAAGATACAAACTTGTGAGTAATAACTGAAGATGCCTGAGAAGAAAGCAATAAGTGAAGAGTGGGTGAAGAATAAATAAAAAGTGAACAAGAGTATGGAAGTAAGCAAGCAAGAAAGATGAAAGATGAAAGATTGAAAAACAGTGAAATTACAGCACTGTATTTATATCTGACAAGCAGTGATGTTGGGGCAAAGGCAAGGTGCTAGACCAGATCAGAGACAGCTGGTTCCAGGGTTGCCAGAGATAATTACTGGAAGTGGTGGCCTCTAAACCCAGATAACATTGAATATTCTAGAGACATCATATAATCATATCTCTGAATATATAAGAATTGCATAATTTTTACAGATTATGGGAACCTCAGTGTTCAGTCTTCTAGTTAGCAGATCTATATGTTTTACATACAACTTTTTTCTATCAGTTGTGAGTATTGCACCTATTTAGCTCTTTTGTACTCCCAAAACCTAGGAGAACCCACAAAACCTATATCAGGTTCCCTCTAACATATAATCTGTAAGAATTGTGTCATTCTTAGATGTTCAGAGGTATGGCCACATAATGTCCTTTGAACATCTGATGTGGTCTGATGCAAGATTGGTCTAAGCCTACATTTGTAACAGTAAGATAATAAATATTGTATAATATCTGCAAACAGCAGCAGCACACACACATGACTTTTGTGGAGAAAGAACATCTCATATTGCCTTGAAATACTTTGAATTTTTTCCTTTATTCAGTTTCTACAATGTATACTAAGCAAATTCTAACAGAGAAGCTGTTAAGTAGTCTTCATAGTCACTGACTGCATAAGACTATAATGAATAATAATAATAATAATAATAAAGCACACACACAGAATATCTATATAGACAAGCAGTAAAAATGCAGAGATCTGCATGTTCAAGAATTTATAATGCTTCACCAATAATAGAGAAGCTATAATAATATATAAAAACCCACTTCAGTAATCTTATATCTTGAAGTCTGAAGCCTCTGAAGAGAAGTCTGAGAAGAATAGTATTACAAATATAGGTTAATCAAGCATCAGATAACATCAGATGTTCAGAGAAACTTATATAACTTACAACTGTAAATATATAAGAATTGCTATAATTTGCACAGATTATGGAAATCTTAGCATTCAGTTTTCTAGTTAGAAAATCTCTATATTCTATACATGATTCCCTTCCACTAGTTGTGGGCATCAGATCTACTTAGCTCTTTTATATCTCAAATTCTGGGAACACCTATGAAATCTATGTTAGATTCCCTAACATATTAAGCATTTTGACTCATGCTCTGTCAATACTGCTATCTCTATTTATATTCTAAGCATCAGATAAAGGGATATCAGCCGCAAAAGATTGGTCATCAGATGTCAGATCTATAAATGAAGCAGACATTGCTAATCAATTGCTAATCAATTAACAATCAATTCCCAATCAATTAATGTATGTGAAGAAAACTGTAAATAATTTGAGAATTCAAACAGCAGAGGTACATGTATGGTATGTATAGTACTGAAGGTTGGACCTCTTTAGTCAGCATCACGTGACTTTTAGGGGTCCAAACTTCATTTACGAGGTCCTCTGATCTGTGCGCTCTGGACTGCGCCTCACAATATCCTACCTTACATAAGTGGCCTTTACTCGCTACTATACGCTTTTGCAAACTTATCAATTTTCTGTAAGAATGATTAGGCGCCCACGGGCCACTGCGGCCGATGATAAGTCCTCAGACCTTGCTCGCATCCTGCAACCCCTCACCGTTGTTTCTTGGGGACCTGCTGCAATACACCATCTTGGTGTCCCTATTGTGGTCGCAGTAAGGATTCACCTCCAATGCCTCCTACTATCTGTGCTAACCACCATATGTTGAATGCAGACAGTCATGATTTCAGTTCGCGATGAGGATTATCAAACTGCCATACAGAAATTGAAAGATGCAGGATTTATTCCCTGTGTTCCAACTCGCAAACCTGCCCCAGAAATTCTAGCAAGCTTCGAGGATCCTAGCCGTGTGATTGAAGAAATGAATGCAGGCTTTAAACGCGTGGATTGCTCTAGTACAACATTTGAATACCCAGAACACCATCCGAGAGCCGGCTTGTGGATCTGCTTGTTCCCAAACTCCTTCACACACCTTCTTTCTTGTGGTACAACCCTCACAAAGAAGTATGATATTTATGACAATTTATTCTATCCACTGGAGGAACTGCTAGTTGAAAGTTTTGTCAAGGCAGCAATTGATGAAGAGAATGAGTTCAAATGGTCTGATTGGAGTGAATCATTAAGAGCATGGTTATCCATGATGACTGGCTATCTTGAAGTTAATAATGACGTTCTCGATAATTGCACGGATAACCGGGCTGTGGAATGGTATAGCACGAATTTTGGCCGTATACGGGAAGCAAAATTCGGGCCCTGGGACCGGCGAGTCTCAAAACGCCTTGGTTCTGGAAAAGAGATGTCTGTTGATATGAGAGGGCATCCTGTCTCGTGATTACATGTACATCGAGTTCTCCTTACATTGAACCAAACCCAAAATCCTCGACCACGAAAACCAATTGCCACCTGAGTCTTAGCATTTAAAGTACGAAAACTCAACGTGGATTCGATGGTAAAATTTACATACAATATATATGCATGTTTCACCAAACTAAGAGCGCGTTGGGTAGCGAACAGAATACTAACTCAAAAGTAGGATCCAAAGCTAAATAGATAGAAGCACGTCGCAAATATTATCATGTAGCCTTTTGGGAACGGCGTTTTGGTGGCATGATGGCAGTGACTTCACTTTGTGTCCGAGGTATAGCATCTTGAATTCTACCGCCTATTTAGTACCACACCATTGGAACAAAACAAATAGCAAGGGGCCATACTAGTTCTGAAAGATTGCGGCGCATTTGATCTTTTGCTTCAGTAGTTCACTCAAAGTCGGCCTCTTTTGCACAAGATTTGACAGCGCGTTTTGTAATTCCTTACTGTTGTTAAAATCGAGCTCTGCTTTGCCTGGAGAACACAAAGGGGCTAAAAGAGTCACGTCTCGAATATCTGTCCCTTCTTTCCCGCTACCCTGTCGTTGATATTGAGAGAGGATTTTCTCACGCATAATCCATTCGGGGCCGAAAGTCTTGACCGGATACCCGTTGATAGACCTTGTTGTTCTGGTGGCAGATTGGAGATTGTACTGGGGCCGCTGCGGCCAACTTTGATAGTCAAAATACTTCCAGTTCTACCAGTCTAATCGCACCCCCTGGCAAAGAAAGCTTGTACGCAGGAATCGTGTGCCCGAACTGACTGACATGCCCGAATTCGGACGGGAATGATGTGAGGAGCTGCGAGGTCAGCCGGTCCGCCGTGATCATACGGTGATCAACATGAATCACAAAATCCACGTCCTCCGTTTCTCGGTCCGGGCGTTGGGTTAGCAGGCAGACGGCGGCGCCTCCCATGATCGCATAGTCAACATTTAACGAATCAAGTTTTTGCGCTAGGCCTAAAACGACAGTCTGAAGCTGGTGTGGAGAGAGTGAACGAGCCATTGTGTTTGAGCAATAGCTATGGTATGCCGTTAGTAAGTCCATACAGAACAGATGTCGATACTGGTGTGCATACTCTAAAAAATCAAGCTGTAGAGTGGAATGCTGTGCGAGCTTGCAATAGGAAAAGCCGAGTTATAGAGTCGAGTGAACAATGGAAAGGAAGGACGGGGCTCGAGGGCACGACCTTCTATATATGTCTTTTTAACGTCCATCATCCCGGATGTCGCATGAATCTCAACCCATCGCCAGTAACAAGGATGTTTGAAAAGGTGTTGGAACGCAAGAAACAACTGGCAATGGATGACCCTCGATTGATCCTCTCCATAGCATCACATGGAGAACAGTTGGCACAGAGCTTACCAGAATGCGTCGATTGGGTTGATTTGGCCCCATTATTTGAGAGTATCTGTCACGTTTAGGCCATATTCTCGAAGGGCCTACAAGGCTACTAACCATATGCGGAAGCTATAGGAACCAAAGAACATGAACTGGATACATGCGTGCCCTCGCTCTCCCACCTTGTAAAAGGATGAGATGAGAACCGGGAGGGTTGGTTTGGTTGGTAACCCAATAATGAGACAGCTATCTTGAGAAATCAAGACTTACAGGAGAAGGAAATCCGTAAGAATTTGTCTGTGAATCTCTTACACAGATGAACAACACCTGCAAGAGCTGAGAGCTGCTTGCAAGATGTTGGGAGTGAATGTATACTAAATAAGATGCTAAGTCATGTGCTTGCAAGCACACATAAAAGGCAGCCACTGTGTAAACCCCTTAATGGAAGCCAGTGGGAATCTTGTTTACAGTTGTACATGGTTGCTAAAAGAATATAAGCCCTTTACCTTGTGTACTCCTTTTCCACATACAATTCCTACTAGAGATCCATTGCCATGCTGATCCGCGAAGTACAATCCTCACAGAATCATAATAATAATAACAATAATAATTGTGTTAGACTTGAACTGCTGCCCAGATGTTGCTATGCTCATATGGAGGTTCCTGATTGGAGGTGAACATGTAACAGGTTTTGCCACCATGAGGATCATAAAAGTCCACAGAGCTACAGTTATCAGTATTTCCACACAGTTCTAAACATTCAGTGAAAGACTCCACAGGCTTATAGCCTGTAACAGGGTCTCTAAACTGCTTTCCACACAGGATGCGGTAATTCTTGCCATCAATTTTCACAACCTGGTTGTTGTTTGAATCACATGTGATGTCCAGATTGGCTGGTGCAGAGAATTGTGAAGGTGTTTGACCTGATTCACTTGCAGGAGGGATTACATTTTCCAGGAGTGGCTCAGCAGGCTCATTCAAACTGCAAGCTTCATTCTCGTCACATGCCCCAGAGCAGCCCATTGAATGCGCGCTAGCCCAACCTGAAGCCTGGACAGCAGGCTCTCCTTGGTGCTTTCCAAGGTAGCACTGTCTGGTGCGTTGGTGGAAGTCAACACTCTGGCAGCCAATATAGGAAGCGCAAGAATTGATGCAAGCCTTCAATGTGTCTTTCTCTGTTTTGTGAAACCAGGCTGTTCCATGGCGCTTCTGGCAATCCATGTGGAATACCTAGTGAGGAAGCTATGTTAGCATGTGATAATGTGACTCCCCTTAGGACTGAAACAGAAATAGCAAAGGAAAAATCATACTTGTTTATTCTTAGCTTTATACAGCTGGCCATCTGCATCAGGACACTTTGTTGAGCATGCAAGTTGCACCTCCTGTTTAGCTTCAATGACAGGGGGATCTGTCAAAAAGGCCCAGTCATGCAGAGTATTTCCACATTTCTGAGTTGAGAACATAGCACTGGAGTAAAGCCGACAATCCCCGGTCCTTTCGTTGCCAGAGTCGCCATAAATGTACTGAAACCTAAGACCTGTGTAAGATACGAATCTCATACAGCAAAAAGAACTAGCCTCACCCATTGCAATTGTCTGTCTCGCTGCATCTATTAATGCAGTCATCATACCCAGAGGTGTGCACTGTCGCAATCAACTTTGTTCCCTCTGATTGATGCATACAGCACTGCATTGTGTAAAAGCTGCCGTCGGGTGTCAGAAAGATGTTACCGTCATCTGTAAGGCAACAGTTTAGCAGTCAGTGAACACCCAAAAAAATCCGCACTGATTGCATGATGTGCAAAAACAACTCACCCTCTGGGCAGGATGGGACTCCTTGAATGACATCAGGGTGGGCTTTTGGTGTTGTTCCCTGGGTGCCATCACAGCTTCTTGCGTGCACTGGTCCAGTAAGACACAGTGTAAAGGCTGCCGCCACTGAAATTTGCCAGATATGCATGGTCGTCGTCAAAAAGCAATAGATGTTTGAAGATCATGGATAGACAAAGGTCAAACTTGAATTCCAGCAACATGACTAGGAAAGGGAGAGGCTTTTAACAAGGTATGCAACAATGCAAAATTGCTTATGATAGCTCTCCGCCAGCCCACCGGGTCATTGGATCTGCAACTCTGGCGATCTGTCTCTCAGTTAGCCTCTATCCACTCCATATCTGCTCGGATTTGGTTGATCACCAGGAGTAGAACAAAAAGCATACTAACACTCAGATCAGTTTTGAGTGACCAATATAGGAGTGTTAAGTCCGCGGAACGATCTGGTCATGCGAACCAGCTGAAATGATTGTGGCTTGGAGGATCGCGGTAAGCCGCAGGTGCCAGGAGCCATGAACAACAGTAGTTGGCAGTGCATCAACATTGAATTCGTCTTCTCCTGACGAGTCAACGGCAATACCGTTGTCAGCACTCACCCATCATCAGCCAGCCTCAAGAAGATTTTTATGGACTTCCCATTGGTCAGGTAGCCTGATGTGTAACTGTGCAGGCAGCAGCCAAAGGATCTGCTGTGTTGTGTGACCAGGGATTGAAGGGATGAAAAAGCATGTCACGGACTATTTTGGTTGATCTTTGTTTGACCTGTTAGAGTTAACTAGCAAGCTAGTTCGTTAGTTAACCAGTGTGGATAAGCAGCTCCATCGAAACAGCATTGTCATTTCTCTAACCTGTGTGAGTGTGGAGTGCCTTTGTACATAGTTATGATCAATCTTGCACAGTTAACTAGTAGGATCACAAGCAAACTTTGCATTTACAGACTCCATACTCCGTACAACATTTCACTTCACAGTGACATTCTTTTGGAAGGCCTACAGAGTCCACACTTGTAAAGCATCCACAGAAGCTCAAGAACCCTCAAAGCAACTCAATTCAAGTGCTCTAGCTTACTCCCAGGATGCAAGCACATACCCCTCACACTTAGTTATAGCAAGACAAGACCACCAAAAAAAAAAAAGGTGTATATATAATGTTAATCATAGTAATACCCACTATCCACACCCCATTAGATCAAGGAAGGGCTAAACCGACAAACCGCCTGCTCGAGAATATAGTTACACTGTTGGCCTTGGCTTGATGCCAGGGACGAGCGTTATACTCATTCCGCGGGCCGATTTTAACATGACAACCTCACAGTTGCTACAAACCGGATAATCTACCTTACAAGCTGGTTGTGAGAAGAAAATGGACCTAGTTATGTAACTACTGGGTATTGACATCTTTCGCTGAATCAAAATATTTCCTGAAATCCTTCCAAAACCAGATATTCATCCCAATCTTCCTCCCAGACTTAACTGGCATCCCCGCATGCAGGGTTTCATCGTAGCCGGTTCCGTTGTCTCGAGTATTGAGCCAAAACACAGCACCACCGGCGATGGGCTTGAAGATGGTCCCCGGTTCGGTCGATTCGCAGTCAATGTACTGGCACCAGTTTGGATCCGTGGGACGGGGGATGCGAGGGAAGTGAGTCCCACCACCAGTACAATCGCCCTCTAGAAACACATTAAAGGTGGAGCGCCGGTTCCTGCGGTTCGGGGGGGCGGCGAATTGGTCGTAGTGGTAGGTGAAGAATCCATCCACGTGGTAGCGCTGGACGCTAATCGGCTCTACTTCAAGACCGGAATCTAGCTGCTGAAGCCGCCGTGCTCGCTGCTCGATGCATTGAAGCACCTCATCACGAGGAGGCCATGCATTTTCGGACTTGCGATGCCCGGAATCAACGTCGGTAGCGCCATTTCGGTAGACGGATGCGGGAGTAAAACTACCCTTGCTGTTTCCATGGGTGGGTTAATATGCAGCTAACGGAGAGGTTCAAGTCTCATGCGCACGCACAAAGAACAATAAATCATACGTACGTAACTTCGATCAGATGTGAGATCTCCTCAGGTGTCACGAAATTGGGGATATACACAATCTGGGGCTCTGGGTGGAGGATGTAATACTCCAGTTGAGAGTGATCCGGGCAGGCGATGGACTCGTTCACTTCGATAAGGCTCATAAGTTCCAGCCCATCTGGGAGACCTTTGTCTGCCTTGAAACTCGTCTGGATAACCGGAGGCAGCGGTAACCCCTGGAGGTTCAATGCCACGGGTTGACCAGACATCGACACCGCCGTCATGTGGATGCTATCGGTGCTGGATTCAAACTGAACAGACAGTGGTACTGTGGCCTGAAATGTCTGAACATTACCCAATGTCCCTGACATGATGGCAACAATAAAACGTATCGGGGCTTAGTGACAGGGTGCGGAGCTGATATGCGAATATTTTGTTGAATGTCCGACAACCGTTATAGCACTAACAGTATGCACACGTCTCTCTCGCGGCCGAAGGAGACGAGCGGTCAACCTCTGTCGAACAAGGGATCAATCACACTGGGAATCTAGGAGCAGCGAAATGTGGAAATCCTTTGTTCAATTCTTGGCCGCTAAGCCCAAGCCAATAAGTAGAAGCTCCAGGTATACAGTTCGAGTGTGCTGAGATTCAGCGTGACTCTTCGAGCGCTCCTGCAAAAGGTCCGCTTCGCCAGCTCACCCCAGCTTGTTCGTTCCACCCCCCCCCCCCCCCGGTGGAACACTTCTTGGTGCAATTCTCCGCTCAGCCAGCCTTTCTTCGGTTCCGGGCTCCGCAGCAGCAACAGCAGCCAGCCACTCTGGATTATATGTAGCCCAAATCACCACATGCGAAGTTAACTTGGAAGAATATTTCGCGTAGGACAAAAACAATACCAGGAAATGGGCCAGAGCTGTTCGACGGGTTGAACCCTGGGCGCGACCGTTGACAAAACAAGCAGATTTCCATCCCGACCACATTTGCTTCTGGTGGGATTTTGATCTCGACGTGGCAAGTTTGGAAAAAAACAAACTGTCAACGGAGTACGGAGTACTTTGTCCCAAAATCCGGAGGTGTATCAAGCGAACCAGCTGGGTGGCGGCCTGTTCGTGAACCTTGACGCTGTTGATGCAGGATCGGCAACGGTACGGACCGGCATAGTGAATCCGGATCGGCTACAAGACCCACAAGGACAAACCAGAACGATCCTAATCCCCAAGCATTGGGGACAACACCAATCGCAGTCAAGGGCAGGTCGCAAGGGATTAGCATTGAGTTTGTGTTTTCACCACAGAGCACCGACCACCGACCACCCGCGCATATCTACCAAGGATTTGAGGAAGCGGAATTAGTCAGTTGCAGCCAAGGTGCTTTTCAAGTGGTTGGATGTTATTCAACATGCGCAAAGTTGTGGATGGATACCTCCAGAGTACTGTACTCCGTACAGAGCACATTTTTCTTTAAGCATGGAGTTAATTATTAGTTAGATAAGGAAGAAGAGCTTGGAGTCGATGCATCATATCCTCCCTTTCACAACTCAAAATACATGCCCCACCACTCGCACAGTAAAGCCTTTATTTCACAATGTCTATCACTCTGGAAATACTCGCTTTCTCTTTCTCTCACACGTAATCACCGATGCACTTCTCTCAATTTGACCGAACCGATATTGCCCCGCAATACAACTAGGCGCAAACACCTGCAACCCATGGCCCTGGCACACCGTTGCAGGTAGGGTTAAAGCAGCCGTAGTGAGATCCATCCGCCTTGAACACAGCGATCGAGCCCGCTTGCCTATTGGTGCATGTCTGTTGTGCCACTTGCTTCGGGTCTGGTGGTGGGATGGGACATCGAGGATCGGATTGTCCCCACATCAAGAAAGGTACCGTCCAACATCTGCCGCTGCCTGGATCATACTTCCACTTGGGCGAGAAGAGGAAAGCAGAGGACTGGCCAATAAAGGCAGCCAGAAGAAGTGCTGTGATAGTGAAAATATGCATCTCGAGTACGCAGTGCAATGCGTGATGATTGGGAGCTGGGTTAATGAACTGGTGAGTCCATAGGCTGACCTCACTATCACTGTGAAAGAAGAACTTACATTGAAGGATACCGTAGGATGAAGAGGGCAAAACACGGGGGACAGTGAGGACGAGCAGCGGGGAACAACTGGGCACAAGGACACGGGGGCCGAACCATCATTTTATAGCTTGCCATACGGAACAGGATTCAAAATTCTGCTATAGGAGTTCCACTTTCCTCTTGTTTACTCAAAGTCCCAATCCAGCCTGTTACAGAAATGTCTGCATGCATGTCACTGGTCAACAGCCACAGCCCCGTAGCAAACTGAATCCAATGACTTGATGTAGCAGATTCAAAGCCCACAAGCTGATTCCACAGCTATTGTGATCAATCACTCCCAATGCATATTTGTGGCGAGCTGAAGAAAGGCTGTTCATGCAAGGGATGATCGGACCTCAGATATGGTCGCACATCATTGTCGCCCTGAACTTGTCACCTGCATCAACATATGCGGCTCCGAGGTTCCGAGGAAAAGCGATGAGAAGAAGAGGTAAAATTAAGAGCTCCACAAGTAGCGGGAAGGGAAAGAAAAAGAAAAAAAAAAAAAAAAAAAAAAAAAAAAAAAAGAAAAAATAAGGCAAATCTAAACCATCCATTTTGAATTTTGCATCTGCAAGCTGAAATGCTTCGTTCACGGAGACCAATACTCCGGAACCAGATCCATACCATTTCAGCTGCAATGAAAAGAGATCTTCCGTGGCTTGCACAGGTATCCTTGAAAGAATGTTGACCATCCATGCTGGACGCAGATGTCTCTATAAGTATTTCGCCCACGCCGTCCCAATAATCCAGAACTCTCTTGTTCAGTCCCTTCACCCATCTCTTCTCTACCCTTTTTTATAAGATCTTATCATACCAATCCCGTGACAATGAAAGCCCAAGGGTGCGCTTTTCTGGCCTTGTCGGCCTTGTTGGCCGGCAGTGTCACGGCACAGTTTAACCCCAGCCCACCGCCTGGGTCTGGTAATAGTAGGCCTGGTGGTAGTCCCGGCGGCTTCAACCCTTCACCACCACCTGCTCCTGGTACTGGCGGCAGCCCCGGAGGTTTCAATCCCTCCCCGCCACCTGCTCCTGGTACTGGCGGCAGCCCCGGAGGTTTCAATCCCTCCCCGCCACCTGCTCCTGGTACTGGCGGCAGCCCCGGAGGTTTCAATCCCTCCCCGCCACCTGCTCCTGGTACTGGCGGCAGCCCCGGAGGTTTCAATCCCTCCCCGCCACCTGCTCCTGGTACTGGCGGCAGCCCCGGAGGTTTCAATCCCTCCCCTCCACCTGCTCCTGGTTCTCCGCCGCCAGCGCCCGGGACGCCACCCGCTGCCGGCTTTGGCTGCCCCAACCCCAGGGGCCAATTTAACCCTTCGCCTCAACCAACAAAACAAATTTCATGCCCCAACAGTGAGCTCATTCGCGGTCCTCATATGCGCTTCGAGCAATCAATGCTAAAGGCTAGCAGGTGATGGGTCGATCTATGAAGCGGATGACGGTACATGGTATCATCTTCAGTGCTGTGTCGCGAGAGATCCAAATGCACTCTCATTAGGTGCTCCGGCAGCATCTAGTTATGATCAGTGTCTGCAAGAATGCTCCAAAGTGGACGCCTGCGTCGCGTACGTACATGGCCTAATTAACCCCTAGCTCTGTCTGATTGTTAGTTACCAGTGCCACATTCAATCCTATCGAAAACAAATGCCAGCTTTGGGATTTCGGCACTTATTCCGCGATCGGACAAGACTCACAGCTCTATGCTTGGGTTACTGATCCCCCTGTGCAAGTCACCCCCAAGATGTCTAGCCGGCTCTGCTCCACGACCTGTCCCGAGGCGGATGGACAGATCTATGTCAGTAAATATGGCGAAGTGCGTGCCCTCGGCAGTTGATACCAAGTTTATTTTCCCTGCTGACAATCAATCTAGACGTTCCGCATGGACTGTGAGAAACGCCATGGAACCCAGTATCTCGACAGACAATCCGTTGATTCCTTTGAAGAATGCATTGAAGCATGCGGGGCGGCGCCATCGTGCAGCAGCGTTGATTTCGACCAGAAGAGAAATACCTGCTATCTGAGCATCGATGGAGGATCTCCTACTCTCCAGGCTCGCACCTTCGCTAGCGCCCACTCTGTGGGTTGCGCTGGCGCATGTGACAGATGCAATGATAAATGCTCCACTCCCGCTAAGAAGCCCGAGGATCCAGGCAAGTGCACTAATGACAATGCTATAGTAGCAGCATCTGGATACGCATTTAGAGTTCACTGCAACCAGTGCCTTTACAGCACGTCCGGACCAGGGGTCCCGGAGGCAAAAAATCACCAGGAATGTATGGAGGCCTGTGTAAAGGATGAAAGGTGCGGCGGAGTCAACTGGAGGATTAGGGAAGGTTGTGTTCTGAGATATAATCCGACATCGGGTCTACATGCAGACGGAGAGTGTACGGCAGCCTTCACTAAGTTTCAGGCCTCTCAAGGCTGAAGCGTAAGTAGGTATCATCCCTTGAAGACAGTTATGGGTCAGGGTAGAGTGTAGTTTTTCTTACTTTAGCAAGACAAGTAGCAAATATTAAGTTAATAGTTGATGTTTCATCTTGGGCAACTGATAGCCATTTTCACTTTTGCTGGTTAAGTTTTCTCGCAATTTGGTGCTTCATGAACTGTTGTCTTCTGTCATATGTCGGAACACCTCAGCGCGGACCTCATACAAATTAACTTACTTCCTGGCTCCGATCCTGTTGATCTGATGATAGAGTTTTCTCTTGCCAAGATGGACAGTGTGCCAGGAGTTTACTTCATAGAATACCTGGATCTTGTGGTTTTGCGGTTCCAAGAGCTTTCTGTAGGGTTTTCAAAGTCGGTCTGCAGGCCTTGGGGACAAGTGCTAACCACCTGTTGGTCACAAACACTGTGCAGCCATTATGTTTCCACATTAACCTTGTAGAGTTCACGTGTGCTGTGCTAACCTGTCCTATAAGTCCGTCTCTTCGAGGTGTCAGGTCAAAGTTTTGCAGTTGGTCAATGGTGTACGGAGTACTAAACTCTTGGACCTGCTTCGGCTTGACCATTGTTGACAGCATGAACAATGGCGTAGAATTGTCATCATAACCTTTTAGGAGATAACTGGGTGTGTTCTCAAAATCACCAGTGGAGAAATTTATCTTAATACTTTACAACAGGGACCTGCATGAGTTGGCTGAAAAAGTAAAGTCTGCATTCTGATCTTCATGATGTATCTAAGTACTCATCATTAATTAGCTTTGTATAGTTACCTTCAGTAATCAGATGACAACCTGTCCTTCATGGTGACCATCAACGGTTTCTTGGCCCATAGAAAGTACACCTTCTGGTTCGTCCAGTCGGTTGTCTCGGGGGTTAGTTCCATGTCAAAATGATACAGCAGTTTGCACAGTATCATGCGCATCTCCGCATATGCCATGCTAGAGGGCAGACCAATCGGGTTAGCATATAATAGAACCAAATACAGAGTGCAGAGTACGGGGAGGGAGAATCAAACTTTTTGCCTATGCAATTCCTTGGGCCCAGGCTGAACGCCTGCATGGCGTCTCTCTTATCCGACTCAAATCTTGGATCACCCAACCAGCGCTCGGGGATGAAGTCATTCGGGCGAGAGAAATTGGAAGATGAGTGATAGGATGCATAATGGTGGCATGCGACAATGGTCTGATTGATGCATTGGTTAGTTATCATTGAATATACTGGGAAAGGATGCTCTGACATTTTCAGGAATAAAGTAGCCATCAACAGATGCGCCGCCGGGGGGCACCACGCGAGCCAGAAAGGCGGCAACGGGGGGATAGCAACGCATTGCCTCCTCGAGAACAGCACCCAAGTAAGGAAGAGTAGCTGCTTTGTCAAACGTGATGTCACTATCCGAGGTAAACGCCGAACGAACTTCATCAGACAGTTTTTGCATGGTCTCTGGTGATTTGCATAAGAAGTAGATGCAGCCGGCAAGTAGGGTAGCAGACGTTTCGCTTCCGGCAAGCATGAGACTATAATATTGTGAGCAAAGAAGCAGATAAATAAAACCTTTGTAAGGCTAGACAGACATAAACGAATTAGAATGAATCTCATCCCGTCTCAAGATCTTCTTTCCTTCATAGAACTGCTCTTGTTTCTCAACGAAGCCATTCTGTATAAATGCCGACATGAAGTCGCCCCTTGGTGAAACTCCACTTTCCAACCGACGATCTGCCTTTCCAGCGCTCAGATTGAAGTGGTCAAATTCTTGTTTCTTGAGGTACGCCGGGATGAGTTTGTCTAACCACGGCTGCACTAACGGAAACTGTCCGGCGGCCCCCATGATTGCGAGGGCCTTCATGGAGTCGAAAATCATAGCAATCCAAGGGTGTAGCTTAGTGTCACGCAAGCAGTTGAAAGACTCCCCGAACATAAGATCGCCTGTTATATCAAAAGTGGTGTAGTTCAGCCAGTTTTTCATATCGACGGTTGGTCGTCCCGCATGCACTTCACCCCTGACTTTGGTAATCATAGTGTCCGTGAAGCCGCGAATCACATTCTCCTGCTCACGCAGTGCCCGATTTGAAAAGGCGTAGGACAACAGCTTCCTGTGCCGGGCATGGACGCCATCGTCAATCGCAGAGACAAGGTGGTCTGCTCCGTTGATCGGGGTCATATAACGGCTACGATCCTTGGGGAAACACCCACCGGGGCGGAATCCGTAAATGTCCTTAAATCCTTGGGCGGTGTTGAATGCCAATTCATTGGGACGAATGCGTACAACTGGGCCGTAGCGCTCGTGCAGCGCTGTGATATCAAAATGGATGGTTCCACGCACAATAGAGAGCTGTGAAGGGATTGCGGAGATGGCCCACAGCTTTGGACCGGGGAATTGTGCAAGAGGCGACAACCAGAGGTTATAGATAACGTTGTATCCGATCTTTAACACCCCCTTCAAGTGAACAAAACTTTTAGCCTCTATCCAGGGTTTATAGTGTGGTTGAGTGTCGGGGCATATGCTGTATAACTCACCAAAACAGCTGCAAGGCCGAGAAAAAGGAGGATGCTGGATAGCAGCTCCATGCTCATGGGTAATTGCAACTCGGACGGACAAGACAGGTTTTGCTGTTGTGACCTGTACGGAGGACCGGGATGCCTTTTGGGAGGGAGGGATGAGCAGAGGACCCAAGTCCATGGCACCACAGGCGGCTTATGAGAGGGACCATGGCGAACGACAGGGGTTATTATTTCAATCCATGGATTGCCAGCTCGTTCAGGGCCCCCCGGTCAAATGCTTGCAACAGGGTCGCGGGGACGCGGACCGTCGAGATAGTCCATTCCTCCTAGCAGAAACAATGGAACCCCGCCTCGAATCAGTGAATATGGAAATGAGAATAAAGTTCTCAGTTTGTTATTAGCTTGCAGACAAAGCAGGCTTCATCACACTGCCGCATGCAGGTTGTGCAAAATATCATCGCAATTGATTCTTTGACGTGGCAATTCCACCCTGCATCGCAGCCGCGACGTGAATGAGGTGACGACGATTGCCCCCTCATCAGAGTTAGTTTACAGAGGACAGCGAGAAAATAACCAGCTATTTTATTTTTTTCCCGCCTTTGCAAAACCATGCTTTTAAAACCACACTGATTTGCCGATGTCCACGCGATAAAGTGGACATCCGCAGTTGTACGCGCAGCAGCTTGCTCCTGCGTGCGCCAAGAGCACCTGCGTCTCCATCGGCTCAGAGCCAGACACCAGAACCGAAAATGGGCAAATCATGCCATCTCGTTTACCAAAGCAACAAGTGCTGATTTATCTTGTCTCCCGTCCTTGCAGAGCGGGTCGGTGGCCTCTCTTGGGCATGGGACCTATAAAAAGGAAGCCACGCAGAGCCAGCAATGCACGTCCATTGAACACCTCATGCTTCTCATGCAATCAGGTCAATGAAGTCGCGGAGGGGCGGCATCGCGCTAGGGCGCCATTGTCTGATTTGAGGGAGAGCCAAAACCCCTCTTCTTGATGCATCCGCCGGGCTGTAGGTGACCCGTCAGCCTGGAACAACCTCCCCGGCCATATTGGCGACGGAGCCTTCCAAATCACAGGCGTGGACGCGGCCAATTGGCTGGCTTCGGCTGTTCTCAGCAAGAAACTCGAGACTCGGAAACGCAACTAGGTGGGTGGGAGTGCGAATTTGTGACTAGTTGCTAGATGCATGGCCGCCGCTTGACTTTTTTCCTATACAATGGAGTAGTGAGAGTATACTGCGTACATACTGAACCTATCCGGAGCGCGCAGAGATTTCTTTGGCATTGCAACTCAGCATCCGATCCCGGACATGCTGCAATTGTCTCCGCCCCAGCTTGTTGTTGGTAAGGGCTTATATATATGTGCTCCCGTTGCGCATGATGGCTGTACTCACTTGCAGATCCCTTAGCGCAGGCATCACGGAGCCAGCGATGATGAATATCTGAAAGTATCCGAGCGGAGAAGATAACGGTGAACAAGCGATGAAAAGGTGGAGCTCAATGTCGAACGGTAACTCATTCCGCAGCATGCTAGCATAAGCGGAACAAGACGTCGCGGAAAAGTGGAATAGCAAGGAAAGTAGAATGTTTCTTTGGATGTCACCCCTTCAACTACCATTATGAATGCCTCGTCACGAAGCTAGAAGCCATTCCGGTTAAGCAGCTCGCTTGCGAGCCCAAGCAGCGGAGAATGTACAAACATTGTTAAGCTACGTGACCGATCGACTTAATGTTGCAGTGTGGGTGGAAATCTTTAGAGTACCTGTACGAGCTAAGAAATCCCTTTCAATTCGGACAATGTTGCCCCCGGCTTCGATACGAGAGAAGATGACCGGTAAAGTCTATTGACAAGGCAGCAGTTAGGTCCGTCGCAAGAGTGGCAGCTTCTTCTCCCAGGTAACTATTCGTTGGGAGCAGCGAACAATAAACGGGAGCGCTGATGCGGGGCTTCAGTCGCAATTGCAGGCCACAAAACTCAAAAGATATATTTACGGTATGCCATTCATAGGGTACTACCCTATTTCCGAAGCTTTCGGGAAGGAGATAACTTGAGAAGATATTTCGAATAAAGCGGTGCTTCTCCCTACCTTAATCCAGAAGCAGCCTCTCATATCCCTCAATCCCAAATATCGGTGAGAACTTCGGAGCGGATAAGAAAGGGGAAGCAGCAAAGACTTCTATCAACTGAAGGGCGTCTTCGGAGTATTCGCTGTGGGAACCCGCAACGCCAATAAGACATATACTGACGTCATTCCTCTGTTTGGATCCGTTTGAATGCCGTTCTAAAATATACCTCCCTATCCTTCTTTACCTGAAACCCTCCACTTCATACCTTTGGTCTGTAAAATCCATAACACAGGCACACTGGTCAAGCAAAAGAATGCATAAAGTGTAAACCCCCAGCCCAAGCCGACGCCATTGATGATCGGTTGGAGTGCAGCTACGCCTCCCCCCGCACCAACGCATCTGACAAGGTTATAGGCGGCCTGCGCCGTGGAGGACTTATTAGAGTTGAGATCGGTAAGTAGGGTTCCACATATCTTAACAGGATGTCAGTTTCAAATACCAAGGTATATCTGATTTTTTTGGAAGGGCAAATATACGTACTGTGAAAATACTCGTGATGCTGAGTCCGCTGAGGAATTGCATGACTAGAGGGACAGCAATATGCTGTAGCACAATAACCTATTAGTTGATTTGCTTGGACCTCTGGCTCAGGGGGTATAACATAGGCCTTACAGCTCTTTTATAAAGCGCCCAACCGTAACCCAAAGTTGCCGCAGAACTAATTATGATCAGATACCATACGCTCCGAAGTCGAGTTTTCTCGACTGGAAAGTCATCATTATCCTCCCCCGCCCGCAAATTAGTGTCGCGACCGAGTTTTGCTGCAATGTATTTATAATCTCTATCAAGCAATTTCCCTTTCAAACGTCCACATCATCAGATCATAGCTTTAGGGCGTGTGAAGGAGATTGCCATACCGGTAGAATAAGACGATATCATGCCCGCCAACCCAGTGGGCAAATACACTAATCCCGCTTCCAAATAGTTCAGATCATATATCTCGATACATTGGGCTGATAGAGAGGCACCCAGCGTGCGGGATACGGTGTAGTATATGGAGCCCACCAAAATTATAGCAAGGGAGTTCTTGTGGAACAAGATTGGAATGCTCGTCAGCGGGTTTGGGATGCGAATTTTTCTCATTAATCCCTCTGAAGGTTTTATTCCTTCAGATTTATCAGATCGTGATCCTCTTCTGGCGAGAAGGGAAAACAATGTCCTGTGGATACCGCGTGCCTGCACGCTTCCATTATGGACTATCTTTCGTGAGGTCTCTGGAAAGAACAAAGCAAGAATGATGAGATGCGCTCCAGACATGATCACTAAAAGCCAAAAAATCCATCTCCAGCCGAGCTTCTCCGCTAGGATGCCTCCTAGAACAGGGCCAAGACTGGGAGCAGTGCATGTACTATTCGGATCAGCAGCCTCTTCACTAGTAGTGTAGATTGATTGGAGCACACCCACAACATAATCAGGGTTCCAACATACGACCCACGTTCACCGGGGGTTGCTATATCAGCTATAACTCCATAAGCCGCAGCGAAAGTGCCTGTGCGATACTTGTCAGCATGGAGGCGGCTATAGGGCTGAAAAGCAACACACCTGAGGATCCAGCGCTTTGCACCATCCGGAGAACCAGTAGTGCAGGGAACGAAGATTGTAATGCCAAACCTATATTCGCGGCGACATACAATGAAAATGTGAGAAGGTATACTGGCCTTCTGCCTGTCTGATCCGCCATATCGCCCATGAAAGCAGGAGCCACACCTGCTACCACAAGGTACGACGTGATCGTGAGATTAATCAGTTCCAAAGAAACGGAGAGATCTCGACTCAACGGAACAACAGCCGGATAGTAGATGAAGGTGCTGAGCCCTGAGAACATGGCAGCGTAAGAAGCAGCATAGCTTATCCATTTCTTTTCAGTCTCAGTAAACGCAGAAAACGGTGGTGCGTTGATATTCTGAGGGCCAGTGACTAGAGGGCTTTTTGTCCGGCTTGCCGTTTCCTCTGCCGTTGTAGCCTGTTCAGGGCAATGCTCTGAGGGTCTAGTCGCCATTTCTTGCACATACAATGATGTTGTAGAAAAGAGAAACGGACTCCGAGTCGATGGGCTGGTACAAGAAACTTGGGCGCCAAATGGGGACAAATGTTGGGGGTGCAGTGCGAGATTCGCTTGCAAGGGACAAGACTCATCGAATTCGCCAATCAATGCAGCCCTTTCTCCTAAGGCACAGACTTCCGCTCGCTTCCCGTGAAAAAGGCATGACGATCATCTAAGCGCCGAAAGAGTGAAGGTCGAGTAATCCTGGCTCTGCCTTGCAGTAAGTTAACTACATTCATGGTTGCGTCGCGCTATTGTTTGGCGATTTTGCCGAACAAACGACTTTTAAAAGTTCACTCGCCGGCTAGTTATCCTGTGGATAACCAAGTTAGTTAATTGGTCGGCCTCGGATCCCAAACCATGTCCAGCGCTGTTGCGGTCAGCTTTGACAAACTCACTGCGCTGTCCGAGCAGTCAGATAACTGATAAGGAGTGGATCAACTACTCCGTATAGAGTACAGCAGACTGATATTGGAGAGGTTTGGCTGAGTAGCCATAACAGTACTCCGTTTACCCCGTACTGAATAACTTTACTGAGAGTTACGGAGTACTCCCTAACAAGTTGACTCAGCTTGGCATTTCCGCGGTCAAATTCGATATGCGATTTGTTCCTCCGTACGAAGGGACTTCAGCAGCTAACTCCGTACATGTCTATGCCTAACTTTCTTGTTAGTTAACTACGGAGTAGGGAGTACAGGGTCGATCAAATTGACCCAAAACAATAAAAGAAAATCGACAAATATACACTAAATTTGCCAACTCTAGCGATGAAAATCAACCATCCTCTTTCCTATTGACCTCCTCAATGCTCTCCGCCCTCGCAAAGGGAACGGGAACTTTAAACTGAAGTCCATGATGGAACACGACTACGTTCTCGCCAACCACAAAAGCAATCCTTCCGCTAGCCGTGACATAGTACACGAGATCTTTATTCCGATGCCAGGTAAAGGGAATGAAAAAGTGGCGAGTATAGAACTTTTCATGTTTGGGATTTCCGACATTTACGGAGCAAACCCAACTCTCGGAGTCAAGAAAGAGGAGAGACGACTCGACAACACCAAGGATAGCATTGATGTCATAGGCAAAGTGCTCGTATCGCGCACACAATGGCGTACCGCCAGCTTCAGAGTTGATGTGAACCGCATCCCACAGCTGTATTTCGCTCGATTTTCTGCCATTGTTGCCCTTACTCATCCTTACTGCCGCTATTTTATTTGCTTGTTCGCATGAGACAACTCGCGAAAAGCCCAGATCAACCGCGGAGAGGGATTCTAATGATACGCCGCATTCTCCGCTAGTCATATGGAATTGTGTCCATTCAAAAGTAAAGGCCTTTCCGCCTCGAATCAAAATCAGGAGCTCGGGATTCGTTGGGTGTGCAACCCACTGGCGTTTCTCCTGTTGTGTGAAGCGGTTGATTTCTGAGCATTGGGCATCAAGATTCCATACAATATCTGTCAAGGTTGTAGACACCAAGAGTCGATCCCCGCGTTGATTAGTTAAAACCTGAAGAATAGCGTTCCTCGTGCACCTATCCAACAATGTCCTTTCAGTGTACCATTCTCCACTTTGCTTGCGAGAAATCTTTCTGCAAATGATACGCCAGGACACGTCTATACTTGTGAGGAGAGACTTGCTCTCATTCCAGTCGAGCAAATGGACTCTTCCAGAATGCGCATGGCTACAAAGCTCCTGAACAATGCTGCCGGTTTCAGTTGTAAACACGGCGACAGAGCCATCTGACCTCCCACCAAACAAGTGACAATTATCTTGGTGGCCTGCAATCGCTGAGATATAAAATTCGCTGCCCCAATGCCTAGCATCTTTGCGTTGCATGGGAGGGGGAATTTCTTCACTGCAAGGTTCTGTCGACGTATCATCCGAGCTTTCTTTGAGGACCACCAACACAGACGGCTCCCAGACATTGCAGCGATCATCTCTAATATCAAGGAAACGAAGACAGCTAGAATCAAAGACGATATCCTGAATGCGAGAGGTGTCCGTTGTAATACGATAAGACAGTCTTAAGGTCTCAAAATTGAAAAGATGGATGATTCCATGAGTGTCTCCAGTCGCCAAAGTCCGCCCGTCAGGGGATACGGCCAGGGTCTGAGCAAGAAGTGGAAAACTCGCCGTCTGCTGATCTATTCGAAAATTATGCACGACTAAATCACCGTCATTATAAGCCACGGCTATCAGATGCGCTTCTAAATTCGGGTGGAACACCACGGCATTCGCATTGGGAGTCTCATATACCCCATCAGAACCCCTTTTCACAATTTGAAGCGATGTGCGTCTTAGAGCGACGTCCCACAGGATAATGGGCCTATTACGGTAGATTATGGCCAAAAGGTTCAGATCTGGGGAGAATTGTGCATTCCATGCAGAGTTAGGGTTCTTTGTTTCGGAAGAACCTATTTCGGTGGCGTAATAACTGAAACTTTCGGATTCCTTCCCATCCAATACCTGAAAGAAAGACAGACCTTTTTTTGTGGCGATCGAGATAGCTGAATCGTCATTATTAAAGCCCAGCGCCATGGGGTCCAGATAGCCGCGTCTACGGGCTGTCCAGATACAGCTGCCATCATGGGTATTCCACAGGATCAGTTTATTTGGTGAGCAAGACGCCAGCAAGGGGCGCAGCCTGGCAAATGCAAGCTTGGCCACGGCGCCGGGATGATCCAGTTTCCTGACATACTCGCAAGTTGTACTCTGGTATATAAATATACTTCCGTCTGATAGCCCCACCGCAAAATAATTGTCGCTGCATGCAAGCGATAAAGCTTCTTCGTCGGGGTAGAGCAAGCTCGCTAGGCGATCGTCCCAATCCTCATCAGTGATGCCAACAACTCTGAAGGAGTCTTTTTCCTCTTTATAAAATTGACCATATATAGCAGATTTCCGTGGACAAAGGGGTGGAATCAGGAAATGCATTGCTTTTGGTACAGCAAGCAAATTGTGAGAAAAGAGAGTGCCAATATGAATTAGATCATGTATCCATGTCTCTACTGTCTGGACTTCCTCGCCCAATGGTGGCAAATATTTTGCCCGTCGGGCTAGATATGACTTCAAATTCTTTACAGTGTGAGTTAGAATAGATAGGTTTCCGGATTCGGCCAGGTTCTCGATCCACGCTAGAACGTTCGAAGATCGAAAAAACTTGTATATTGAAAGGAGAAGCTCGTCTGATCCAGATGAGGACTTTGAAATATGGTCAGAAAAGTGAACAGTGGCGTATTTACCGAATGGCGAGAGGTAAGCTGGTGGGCGTGAAATGTCCATTGGCTTCGAGCCACAAAAGTCCCTCCCAGCCAGGAAAGCTAGGCAGACATTTGCGATGTGAGCATGCTCTTGCTTTTTTTCTATCGCAAACTCGGCTAGGGGACATTTATCTGTCAAAAAGGTTCTGAATGTTTGGTGTAGTGCTTGCACTCGGGAATTTTCGTCGACATAAACTAGGTGTCCACACAGAGGCCCAATACCGTCCCGACGAGAAGCTAGGGTGTCTTTCACATCATGCTGTAGTCCCTCCAGGAGCTCGTCTGATGTAAGGGGCCTTATAGCACAAATAACCCATCTAAAAACAGCCTGTGCTAGTATAATATCCTGTGATATCTTAATTGACTTTTTAAGAATTTGTTCGTACAATTCGTTCATTTCGACCGGCACGAGGTTCAGGCATGCTTTTATTGCCCCGAAGCCATGCGCCTCTTTCAGCAGATTGAAAACAAGTGTCGTCCATAGAAAGCAGCCATTGGATTTTTGAAGAATTTGTGCCACTAGGTCTTCACGACTTGACTCGTCATCAATTGGTAGCGAATTTGTCCGGCGATTCAAATAACGTTCAATATCGCCTAAAGAATCTTCGAGCTTCATTTGTTCCACAAATACTGGCAGGCTCTGCTTTAACAGATCTCTTCCTATCGTTGAAATTAAGCGACTCGTCATAAATATTTTCAACGGTAATCGCTTGGCGAGCTCTGATAGCAGAGAAATGAGAGTCGAGTGCGCGTCGCATTCATCCAGTGCATCTATAACGCAATAATAGGTCGCGTGCAACTTCTCGCGTAATATTTGAGGGTTGAAGAGGGATTCCAACATTTCCCTGGGCTTATTAAAGTTGAGGCGTTCACAGTTCTGGGCCATATCTAGGAGCATTTGTCGAACGTCGGTGTTAATACGGGCCAGTTGAAAGGCGAAAGAGCACAATAGGTTGCAAATCGAAGATTTTGTCTTGTCTCCATACTTGAAGAAATAAAAGATGCAATCCAGGTTATTATCTTCCATGTATTGAATCACATGAGCAGCAGCCATTGATTTTCCCGTGCCGGGTTTACCGCTGAGCCAGAATAGCTTGGGACTCCTTTTAACATTCCATATGTCAGGAAGCTCAGCTTCGTTACCAGTCGAGGGGAGATTAAGCCAGACACGAAATGCAGGCCTATTTATAAGCCATTCACAAGAGCCGTCTTCTTTCTCTCCAGTAAGTTCTGCCAACTCATCGATATGATATTGCGGGTCATTAAGATATGTTGATATCCATTTCAACTGTTCAGATAAAGTCAACTTTTTCGGATGGTTGGCTTTCGCAATTTAGCAAATTCCAGCAAAACCTGCTATTGACAGGACTTCTTACCTTTTTCAATAGAACGAATGGCAGCTAAGATTTTGAGACGAAGGCTTTTGTAATTGAGGTCATCTGGGTCGTGGAATTTGCACATGTGACGATGATCTGTGTTCAAGTGCTGGATACGCTCCGAGGGAAGGCCTTGGCAGACTATGCATGAGCAACGAAAACGCTTCTCATGTTGAGGAAATTAGGTTCCCTTCGCTCGTACCTAGGAGTGCAGAACGCCTTTCAACTATCATCTGGCGAGCAAACCCAATAGTGGTTTCCACCGTTTCAAATATCGAGCAGAGGTAAAGGCCTTGAGATGCACTCGCGAAAGCCTCCTCTATTTCCTATCAAAGGGAGGTGAGTTTACATGTCGATCATATAATGGTAACAAGTCGAACCTCTAGTATCGTTGATTCCGGGGCCAACTCATCTACGAATCTCTTTGAGCCATACCTGCCAGCGAGATTCAACAGGGAACTCAGGCGATGTGCCGAGTCTGCACCTCGATGAGGAGTGCCTAGAAAAATCATGCCGCGTATTCGCTGGGATACTTCTTCATAGATCGGGTTTTGTTTAGCCAAAATGTACGTCTGATTCAGCGGTTAGCGGGCCATCAACGCTGCAGCCAACCGAAGATACGGAACCTTTTTGACAACAAGGCCGCCCATACTATGCGCAACAAAAATGATCGGCAGCTCCAGAAATAGTTAGCCAGGTCCTGCTGAAACCGATCATTCACCACTCACATTGGGGCCGTTCTGAATAGCGAAATGATCGCAGATGTCCCCAAGAAGAGCACGTCCAAAATCAGGAATTGTGGCGGCTCTTTTGCGCTTACTCGCCCAGTGGGAACGATAGCCGAAGCTATATATTCTAGCGTGTTCAAAACCGGCTTCTCGCGGCAGCCACTCCTTCGGCCAGAAGGAGTCCTGGTCGGTCGAGATATTCCATGTCTTGTGCGATCCACCTCCAAGCCCATGAACCTGAGGCATGAACAATTAGCCGTAGCATCCATGGGATTCAAACTCTGGATACCACGTACAAAAATCAGATCGACTCGAGAATCCGGGGGCTCGTAGAGTAAGTTCAGGCCCAGAGGGTCACGAAGATCGGAACTGGATTGTAAGGAACTTGAGGCAGCGCGATGACGCTCGATGAACGACAGCGGTTTCGTGTGTCGCTCGACATCCTGTGATAGGTTTTTCGGCTTGCTTATCTGCGAGGATTTTGTAAGAATGGAAATATGAAGCCAGAGTCATTCTCAAGAGCTTACCGAACTCATTTGGGATGCATTGGGCAGTTGGCATTGCCACCAAAGGGCAAATTTACGATGAACGTCAAGCAGAGAAACATCCGAGCGCGCTCGCAAATCCGAAGCCTTTCCACCGATTTGTCAAGATAAATTCTGCGGAAGGTAGATGGCGTGGCCGTCACAGAAAATCGACAGAAAACTCGGATTTTCCTAGACTCCAAGCCAGCGCCATAAACTTGACAACCCCGCGGACCCCTGTCAATTTTCTTCGCTGCCAACAATTTCACTAGTTCATGGTCATGGTGGCTTCAAGGAGGGCAAGCAATACCTTCTAAACAACAGGATTATCTTCCGCCAGAAAGGTTCATTGCTCTGAAGTCCTATCTCTACAGTATGTACGGAGTATTAATAAAAGGGCTAACCATAGATACAAAGGAGTTAACTTGTATTTTGGCGCTTGGTTTGAGAGAGAATGTACTCCGTACGGAGTACTCCATACCCTGTACCCGTGTGTAGCCAGTTGACTTCGTACATAAGCAGGTTAGTCCTGGTTCACTAACTAGCAAACAGACTGCTGGGGCTAACCACGGCTTGGACCCGTCCCGGCCCGTTTCCGTAATGTTAGTACGGCGTAAGTTTGTGCATTTGACTACCAACGTCCTCCTTCCAGAGTGCATGGTTAATGAATAAAGTACACAGCGCCTAACTACTCGCATCCACGATGAAGTCAGGGTGAGCCAGGAGCAAATTGGCTTAGTTATCTACTACGTGCCTTCAAAGCTCAATGTGCAGCACAGCTCGGACTCCTTGTCTCATTTTCGGCGGCTAACGGCGAAGGAGGATTGGGCCGTCCGTCTGGGACTAAAAATAATCTTGGATAAAGGCCTAGGTGCAGCTCAACAAAGCACCGCGGCTCCCATTTTCCCATGCTTGCAATATAACTCTACCCAGGTTGTCAAGACCAAAGTATTTATGTGAGTTGGTTAACCTTGCGATCACCGCTCTCTGAGAAGAGCCACGCCCTGGTTCAGACCTCTACCATTATCGCAGAGCCACAATCATCGAAGGAAAGATGGTAGTCTCTGAAAGAAAGCCATATCAAGCAGACGAGTTTGGGGAAAACGTTGAAATAGATGAAAATGTCAAAGCCGGTTAGAGCGCATCTGCTGATTACCCATTAGGGGGAATCCACTAACCCGCAGCCGCATGGTACCAGAATTTCCTGCCGGTTCCAGAATTTTATCCGTGGAGCCAGGAGGGCCAGGCACGTGGGTTCAAACTGCGCGAATCGAGATCGAACTAGCCAACGAAGATACCCGGGTATACTTCAAGAAAGTATGTGTTGACCCTCGTTAGGACCTAGTTCTCTTCGTGTGGAATGGACTGCCGACAGATATGGGTTAGGGCAAACAAGGCGATGATGGACGCACCATGATGGCGAGTGCCTTTGAGGCGGAGGTTGCGTTGCATGCAGTCATCCCAGAGCATGTTCCCAAGCCAATTGCATGGGGAACATACAAATCCCAGCCTCACGTCCATTTCTATCTCTGCGATTTTGTGGAGATGTCGGACCGCCTCCCAAACCCCCGCAAGTGGGCGGAGGCTGTCGCCCGCCTCCATACTCGAAGCGCCGGAAAGTCTCCTGAAGGCAAGTTTGGCTTCCATGTCTCGACCCATCTCGGCCATGTTCCAGTGGACAATTCGTGGCGCGATTCCTGGGAGTCCTTCTGGTCCCAACAAATGAAATCTTTGCTGGATTACGAGGAGAGTATAAAGGGGCAAAGTGATGAGTTTTCCGAACTCAAGGTTGCCTTCTTTCGTAAAGTTATCCCACGCCTGCTTCGACCGTTGGAAGCAGGCGGAAGGAAGATTAAGCCTTGCCTTATTCATTCAAATCTATGGCCTGGGAATATTAAGCATAAAGCTGAAGGTCGGGACCTTTGCATATTCGACAGCTGCGCATACTGGGGCCATAATGAAGGTATGATTCAGTGGTCTTTTTCTACCACCAGATGTATGGAAAATTGACGGCGTGAGTAGCGGACCTTGCGGTATGTCGAAATCCCCGGTATCGCCTAGGCAAGGATTACATCGATTCGTATGCACAGTACATGCCAGAGTTTCCCTCTCATCCTGCAGACGAATTTGATGACCGAAATGCTCTCTACGCCATGTATGCATCTCATCCAACACCAACCTGCTTTTGTTTCATTTTCATTGACGTGTCAACCCAGGAAATTCCATGTTCTCCTCTCAATTCTCTACCGCAATGAGCCACGTTATAGGCAGATGTGAGTCCTCCCCAGCTATCAGAGTCAAGGTCCCGCCGCACCTAATGAAAGTGAAATTCAGTGCCATGGATGAAATGCGGCGCCTCGTTAAAAGGTTTCCCACCGGGTATGCCAGCTATGAAGAAAAGGCCAAGGACGAGGTCGAAATCGTTGAGAGCCCTACACTGCTAAGTGTTGAGCCGCATGTTAGGGGCGAAGAACCAAGGGGCCACTTTGTTAAACACGATTTGCTCGAAGAGGAAAGGCAGCACGCAGCACCACCATCAGGGTCGTCGGCGGAATCCCGCGCACAGGAACAAAAGTTTCGCGGTAAAATGAACATTCCATCTGCAGTATTATTAGCTCTTGGGGTTATGGGTATCTTAATTGCCTATCTTCTGGGCGTTCGAGTGTCTTTGCCAGAATAACAGGTCAATATTTCTACTAAATAGTTGAATGACTTAATCTGTAGAATTAGTAAAGAATAGTTGCTTATACCCACCTCACACATGATGTTGTTAATTGATGAACCAAGCTCTACATTTGTCGCAGCGGCAGAGTGTTTGTTATACTAGTTTTTATTTGAGACTTGTTGCCTGCAAAACACCCTAGCTGATATTATTGGAACAAGATGGTTGGGTGAATAGGGAGCAGCTCTGGTAGCATGCTTTCAAAACAAAGGTATATATGTAAATGACAGATTCGTAAGCTAAATTCACATTATAAAGGTCATTACCACATTAGAAAAGCTGTATTTTATGTACACCACCTTACTTAGCTCATAACTGCATGTATGTATACAGAATATGTATATTGCTATGCGTTATTGTCCCTATTTGAATACATGGTAGTCCATGGTTGATAGATATATTTAGCACACTTTACTTTTTCTTTTAATCCAACGGGCGATTGCCGCAGTTTTCGTGCTCGTCTCTTCCGTATGGCTCGACTTTGTAAGGTCTCCCGGCCGGGGCACAACCGAAACGCCCTCAAGCTGCTGCAAAATGACCTTGTCTTCGGGTCTGGCGAAATAAACAAGGGAATATCGGGTCTGAGCTTTTTGATGATCGGGAAGGATGCAGACGCGGTGAACACTGGCTCGAAGGGTGCCAGAGGATAATTTTGCAATTTGCTCGCCCAGATGAATGATGCAGTGCCCCGGAAGTGGTCCTGCCTGGATCCAGCGACCAGGTGCACCGTCCGCTCCATTTCCGCCTGAAGCAGAAGCCTGACGGGCATGACATGGCTGCCGAACCTCCAATCCTCCTAGGGTGTTGAATAGCACAGTAACGCTGTTGGAATCGGAATGCTCATCTAATAGAACTTCATCTCCAGGGTTGATTCTGGATTCTTGGCTCGGTTGGATCTTGATCCAGCGAACTTGATCCCCACTACAAGCCCCTTGGCGATGTAAGTTTTCAAGAGTTCCGACGGGAAGGTGCAAAAGTGTCGTGAGATGACGCAGTAGTATCGTTACAATTGCGTGAGATAGTTCGATATACGAGTGGATGGCTGGTCGAGCGGATTGGATGGTGGAAGGCTGGGGAAGGACGGGTTTGGATTTGTAAGCGGTCCTGGGGCACGGTATGGAGAGTATGTCGTCCTTTGAAACTGCATAGAATTCTTTCAAGTCGAGCATTCGATTGAAGTAGCCCTTATACCTGGATACCAGCCAAGTTAGCGTCGTGACGAACGGCTGAAAGGAGTGACAATAACAGCAAAGGATGAAAAAAAAAAGAGCGCACCCATAATAGCCACCAAACTTCCCCATGTCGTACTTCTCCTTTTCTTGAACAGAAAGATCAAAAAAGTGTTCTCCAAGCAAAAATAATTTGTCCACATCCTTTATGATATTTTTGCCGATGTCTGTCATCTGGAGATCAAGGTAGAAAGCACCGAGCTCTCGACATGCATCTCCCAGGCGTTGCAATTCGGTTTCGTCGTTTGAGAGTAATTTGGCTAGAGATATACGCATCAAGGGGTGAATAGATGATAAAGAAGGGGAGAGGGTGTCAATTTCGGATGAGGTGGAGAGCGTTGCAGCGGCAACGGCGTCACCATTCCTGTGTCTTATTCTCATTCCATTGCTCTTCAGGTCTAGGTTCTCGGTTCCCGTTTGCCCGCTGCCATGGCTTCGCCGGAAAGAAGATCTGGAACGATAGAAGTATATGAAAGGGAAAGGGGGAAACCGGAGGGGGCAGCCGAACATCGCGACGGCATGCTTATCGTCGTTAGCGGGGATCCGTTGCTCATCAACAGTTATGTTCTCGTCACAGAGCCATCTTCAGAGAGATAGCATGAGAAACCGTCTTTGCAGCTGCATAATATCGTGTCTTTTTCTTTTTTTTTCTTTTTTTTTTCAAAAAAAAAGGAAGGAAAAAAGAGAAGAATACTCTGCTGATCTGTTAGTGAACCCCAACCCGAACCCAGGCGAAGAAACATCCAGAGGAGGTCTGCGAGAAGAAACTGGATCAAGGCAACTCACGGCGGTTCAAGTTCGACGAAAAGAAATTTTGATGGAAGAACGAGATGACGCGATCTTCCTGCATGCGCGATGAGGTGAGTTTGACTCCCCGTGGATGGGTTGAGACTGATCACAAGACGTACGGAGCAGCCGTGGGTGCGCTCCCTGTCCAGCCAGTTCCATCCCAGGACAAGGGTTGCCGAAGAGGCCCGTTCACGAAGGGACAATTCGAAACAGACAGTCAACACGGATCTGGCATCATTGTTTCGCCCTCTCTTCCCGATACAATGCGCCCTGATCCCAGGTATTTCCCTGTCAAATCAAGCGGCCCTTCAGAGGTGTCGGGTGCATCGGTATGGAGTGGACTAAGTGCTGGTGTACTGTACATAGTTCGTTGACTGGTTAGTTAAGTAACTAGTCAGTTGGCTCCGCTGTCCAGCAGTGGCCATGATCATCACTTAACTAACATGCTCCGGGAGGGTTAATCCGCATCACAGCTCAACAGAATAGACAGTATCCTGCCCGTGGCATCCTGAGAATCCCTAACCCTGTCTCCTATCTTCAACCACCCGCCTAACCTAACTACTCCGTACTCCGTAGTTACTTAGTTATAACTAGTTAGTTAGTTAACTTGTTGACTGCCACAGGGGAAGATGACATAATCTTCGCAGCCAAGCCCCAGTTCGTTTAGTCAGTTAACCCAGCCCCAAGCCCCAGCCCCTGCTGTCTTCAGCGCCTCTTGTAACTCGACTGTGACCGGGTGGGCGAGTTGAGGTGGTTCAACAGTTCAAACCCCCGCCCGCGAGGAGACCGACGACCATCACGAAGCAGAGCATGAGCCAACTTCCCCCCTCACCCTGTCCCATCGAGCACTTGTCTTCTTCACACTCAATTATCTTCGAAATCTAGCTCCGTGGTCGAAGCCGGCCGTCCCCTCCCCACCCCACCCACCGTTTCAAACACCGCCCTCCGCGGTTAATTCTCCCACCTGATAACTAGGTACAAAAGGTTCCTCAATATGGTGGACAGACCGGTGCCCCAACCGGGACCGGCACGCCTAAAACGGAGTGCCGGCCCAGATGAATGGCTGGAAGCTGCTAAGGACTGTAAATACCTCTCCGAGCACCATATGAAGCAGCTGTGCGAGATCGTCAAGGAATACATGATGGAAGGTTGTTTGTTCCCATTGCCTCCGCCTCCTGTGCGCCGCTCTCCGTGCAGATGTTCCCCGAAAAGCAGACGCTGACTTCCCCTTTCGGGCTCCCTTCAGAATCCAACATCCAGCCCGTCTCTAGCCCTGTAACCATATGCGGTGATATCCACGGCCAGTTCTACGACCTTCTCGAGCTGTTCCGCGTTGCTGGCGGCATGCCCGGTGAACCTAGCACCGAAGCCCCTTCCTCCCCACCCGCCGTCATAACATCAGATGATATCGAACCTCCCTCTGTTATCACAGACCCGAAACTACGTAAGAAGATAAGGCTAAGTCCGCAACAAGAAGACCAAGACCAAGAAGAGGTCTGCAATAACGAGGCGGAGAAAATTGAGCGCGGCAGAGACGCAGACGGTTCTCCGACCGGAAACTTCATCTTTTTGGGTGACTATGTTGATCGGGGTTATTTCAGCCTTGAAACCCTTACCTTGCTTCTTTGTTTAAAGGCAAAGTTAGTGATCATCGCTTCATCCCCAAAGGGGGGGGGGAAAAAAAGGAAAGAAAGATACTGATTGATCTCCTCCCTTGAAATTAGATACCCTGAGAAGATCACGCTCGTTCGAGGCAACCATGAATCCCGCCAGATCACTCAGGTTTATGGATTCTACGAAGAGTGCATTCAAAAGTATGGAAATGCGTCGGTATGGAAGGCCTGCTGCCAGGTCTTCGACTTTATGACTCTTGGTGCCATTGTGGACGGCAAGGTACTCTGTGTTCATGGTGGACTTAGTCCGGAAATCCGCACCCTTGACCAGGTGAGAATAGTCGCTAGGGCTCAAGAGATCCCCCACGAGGGTGCGTTCTGTGATTTGGTCTGGTCGGACCCCGACGAAGAGCCATCGACAACGTGGGCCGTCAGCCCAAGAGGTGCAGGTACGTGACAACCTTCTTCGGACGTCTATTGTCTCCCCTCGACATTTGCTGATGCCGGACATTCAGGTTGGCTGTTCGGAAGCAAGGTAGCCGATGAATTTTGTGAGGTCAACGACCTTACCCTAATAGCTCGGGCCCATCAACTCGTCAATGAAGGTTACAAGTATCACTTCAACAATCAAAATATGGTGACGGTCTGGAGCGCTCCCAATTATTGCTACCGATGTGCAAACATGGCGTCGGTCTGCGAAATCCGGGAAGACCTTAAACCCACCTTCAAGTTATTCGCCGCGGTGCCAGCAGACCAGAGACACGTTCCCCAGTCGAGACCCGTAAAGACGGAATATTTCCTTTGATCTGACATACAGCTCAACGCCCTTCAAGCAAGGATGGGCCATACATTCGGCATCCATCTTCTTGCGTCCGTTTTTAGGGTCTATATATGCCTTGGGCTTCGAAAACCCGAGCTTCCCAGGGGCCTCAGGCGAATGCATTTCCAGCCTCTAGGTATGTATGTTTTGGCGTGACCCTCGGAATTGATTCCGGTTTTTCACGGAAATATTTTACTCAGGGTTTGAGCGCATGTAACGGTCGACTATATCCGACCATCAGCGCGCCAAAACTGTATCAATACCTCGATCTTGTAGGCAACTTCTCCCTAACCGATCAGCCACACTCCCCTAACGCCATTCCTAAACAGACAGGAATCGGTGTCCGCAAGACATGCTTCAGAAGAGTATTTTGGTGGCGGTGTAGCACATCTACCCCTGGGAGACAGCATAGAGATAAGCAGCCTATCTCATCGGGAATTTCCTTGCTCCCACGGATAACGTTTGCTAAGTGTTTTATGGGAGTGGATATTCCTTGTTGATTGCTCGGCGGAGACCTGGATTGCTGCTTACCGCTGGCGCTATAACCGACGGTGCAAGGTTGGGCTTCCAGCTCTAGCGAAAATAGGGAATCATCCCGTTGTTGTATAACTAGGGTTCCCGCCATATCAGTGCTTAGTTATATCCGGAGTACGAAGTAATTGCCCGTTTCCTCGAAATCAATCACATTACCACACACCTTTTTTTTTTTTTTTTTTTTTTTTTTTTTTTTTTTTTGGTTCATGACACACTTCCACAGCAACCTTAGAACTTAACGAGGGGATTCAAGGGTCAGGATCAAAGGGAGCAACTGCAGAAACAAGGCCCCCTGGCATCTCTGTACTGCATGAGGGTGGTCTAAACACGTTGCTACCCTGGTGTCCTCCATGTCAGCTATCCCTCCGAGGCAGCGCAGGACAATACCGATTGAAGGATCATCCTCGAAGCGCACGCAAAGGATGGTGAAGCCGTAACATCAAGTGTATTCCTCGTTCCCAAGTACCTATTATGATGCGGTTCCAAAAGCTTGAACTTGGCGATTACGGGGCTACTGGTGTCCTCGGTAATGCGCATGGGCTGACCCCAGGCAAAGCCGATCATGTATGTACAGAGCCCTGTGGTCCCACGTGTTCTCTAAGCATTATGCCAGCAGTCAAGGCGGGTCATTTTAATGGAAACGGGGAACCGGGGAGCTGGGGATAGGAGATGTAAATTCCAAGTTACGCACTATTTAGGATATTATAATAAGTCATACTCAGCCCGAAACAGCTGGTCTAAAACATCGTCGCTAATTCAAAATGACCTTCCAACTCCTTGATGATATAACCTCCTTTTTTACGGCCTTTTAGAATTACTATCCACAACATACGGTTACAGAACAGGCATCGCTATATTTGGGGGGAACAAAAAAGGGTCACAGGTTAGCAAGGTGTGATACTCAGGTAGGGGAGGACGGGAAAACCGTACTTTTTCTCTTCCAGGTGAGACTGCCACGAGAAGACGAAACTGCCGAGAAAAGCGCCAATCAGGATACAGATAATGAAGTAACCGTTATAGTACATGGCGAGCAGCATGACGAAGTAGGCGACACCAAACTGGACCATGTGTAACAGCGATCGCAAAGTATGCTCGAGCAACGTTCGTCTTCTCGGTCGGGCTGCAAAGCCGGGCTGCGGGACAGTGACGCCGGCGGTAGCGGCAACGCCTTTTGGCGGGGTATTATGGCCAGTGGGAAGCCTGCGAGAGAATATGGAGGGCTGTCCGGCCAGGTACCTGTCGTATTCGTGGCCCAGACGACGGAGAAATTCGAGAGACATGACGAGGAGAACGACACCGATACATGAACCGGCAAACATGCCTCTGGATGTAATCCTCCAGGTGCTGGAGATGAAGCCTTAAAGGGAGAAAATAGGGAGTCAGTCGAGAGGAAAAGAAGACAAAAAGGGGTGTGTTTGAAGTGCTAAGATGGGACGAGAGCGTTTCCCTGGTAAAACAGCTCGGTGTAGGATTCCATTATCGTAGGATAGCATCGAATGAGACGTACAGGAGTCAATGGTATTCCAGTTCCATAACATCTAAGGGGGGAGAAAGCAGCGTCAGTCAGTACAGTTGTCTCTCAAACGCTTCATTGCGCAAGGCCGTCAGCTTACGGAGATCTTGCAGCCGGTACCACCTCCGTGACCGCCGTGGCCACCACCACTAGCACCCATGGACATCGTTGAAGCGGGCATGGCGGCAGTTGAGGTCATGCTCATTCCCGAGTGCATATCCATTTTTTGGCGACGGACAGAAAGCACTATGGGTATCTCAGGAAGGAAGTCGAACGCAAGCAATACTTTTCTTTTTCCTTTGCGGGGAACTCTTTGGCTTTGTGTTCCTTTTTTTTTTTTTTTTTTTTGTTTTTTCTTTTTTTTTCCCCTTTCTCTGGCGAAGAATGGAAGGGAGATAAAAACGCCGGATCAACCAAAGTCAAGAAGAGAGACAATGCTGAGGACGGAGTTTATATAGTGAGAGAGAGTCATTGTGAAACAGCGGCAGGGCGGGGATGCCGGGGAATTTAAAGGAAGCACGATCTCAGAACTATCTGGGCGGGTTTGTTGAGCACATTATTACTTAACGGAAGGGCAGAAGGGGACGAGAGGGGGGGGGGGGGGTGGAAGGGCGGACAAGAGAGCTTGGAAGTTCTCGGAGGGCGGGCACAAGGAACGGGTGGAGTCCGGCCCCTTCGCGCGAGCCATCAGCATCAGCATCATGACGGCTCCGTTCGCTAAGGTTAATCTGCTCAAACCTGCGCGCCCTCTATGGAGTACATCACTACGGAGTAGATTGGGTGTTGTGATGAATTTTTCTGGAGCCGACGGTTCTGTACACCGTGGTTGGCCTCACTCTGTGCACTTAACTCTCGAAGTTTGTGCCTCTTTCTCTCTCTTGTTTTAACTTCTTCGGATACCCGCTGCCCGGAGTGAGGTTTTCCATTAACTAGTTAGTTACTCAAGTCATTCAGAAACACTTTGAACAGAAGCAGGCTCAAGTGGCGCCGCCCGTCTGAAAGTTAGGGTTGGCTAGTCGAGCGGAACTGTCAAGATCATACAGTATTAACCACTAGCTCCAACCAGTTTTTTTTTTTTTTAAGCCAAAACAGCAAGAAGTTTCTAAGGTTGGTTTAGTTTAGCGCATCCAAAGAAACCGAAAAGCCAGGGGTTTGCAGTGTTTGCATCCTCAGAAATGCCTGTGACTATCACGTGATTCTAATGTTATGTCATCACTTGTTTTTTTTGGTGTTTTTGCTCTATTAACTACTCCGTACTCCGTAGTTAGTTAACTAACCAACCAACTAGTTAAAAGGGTTTTGAGTCTTTCAAACATCCATCCCCGACTGGAACTGGCTAATTAATGAGGGTCCCTGGTTAAATCACTTACTCCGCGCTCCAAGTTACCTTGCTCTTCGTTGTATGCTCACCTCTGTCGCTGCGGATCCCACTCCAGCAAGCATACATAGGTCTCTGCGGCGCCAGGCCACCACCCCCCCTCTCTCCACGATGGCTCACCGGCCGTCACCGACGTCAAAATCCACCACCACTGCGGGTCTTCTCCCCATTTCTCCAGCTGCCGCCGCCCAACATGCGCCCGCGAAGCCCGCCTCCAGCAGAGCGTCTGCCCCGAGACTCAAGCTCCTGGTGCGACGACTGCCCCCAGGCCTGACCCAGGTCGAGTTCGAAACCGCCCTGGGCCCGGAGTGGACAGTGGGCAAGGGCAAACTGGACTGGTTTGCCTACAAGCCGGGAAAATTGTCTGCCGAGTAAGCACGCAAAAACCTTCAAAATCTCGTCTTCTCTCTTTGCTGCTAAAAAAGCAAAAAATGGTAATTGGGGTTTTACTGTCACTAGTCCCTCAAAGCCCTCGAAACCATCTCGCGCCTACCTTCGTGTTACCGCCTCCGCCATTGTCCCTGAGCTGTCCGATAGAGTCCGCGAGACCTCCTTCCAGGACTCACGCAACACCTTCGCCGATCCTGCTCTCCTTGGGCCTCCAACCCTCGAATATGCCCCGTACCCTCGCGTTCCCGGAGGCAAGGTCCGCAAGGACGCGAGGATGGGTACGATCGACCAGGATCCCGAATTCATCGCCTTTCTCGAAAGCCTGACCAACCCCGTCCCTAAACCGAGCACAGACGACATTGTGGAGCCCGACAAGGACGAGAAGATTACCATCACACCCTTGATCCAGTACCTCAAGGACAAGAAGGCCGGCAAGGCAAAAGAGGCCAGTGCACCGGCCAGGGCTACGAAGCCATCCAGGTCCGGAGCCAAGGATGTCAAGGTGGAGAAGGTCCAGGCGAAGAAGGTCCTCAGCCGCGCCGAGAAAGCTGCATCGCCAGTCTCGGAAAAACAACAACCAAAAATCGACAAGGCGGCAAAGGACGCTGCCAAAGCTGCTAACAAACAGATTGCCAGCCAAGCGTCTAAGCAGAAAGGAGCAAAACCCGCTCCAGCTAGCAAACAGAGCGAGGTCCCACCGCAGCAACCCGCACCGGCGCCGCCGGGTCCGCCGCCCCAACGCAAGCGAGAACGAGGCAATTTGAGTGCAGCTACCAAGATTCTTCGACGAGACTTGGGACTCACGCCGCCCCGCAAAAGGGGAGAGAAGTCCAGCACAAACACGGCCGCTACGTCCAGTGCAACCGACTCCAAACAGGCCGCCCCGACGCCTTCTACAGGGGGCACCAAACAGCAGGCTACGACGACTAAACCTTCCAAGGAGAATCCACCGGCCAAGGTTACTCCTCCGAAGCTACTCAAGAAGCCTCCTACAGAGCCTGCAGCGGCGCGGAACGCGACCAAGACAACGAATCCTCCCACGGGTCCGAAAAATGCTCCGCCAGAGAGTGCCAAGGCCGCCGCCCCCCAATCAACCGCCACGCAGGCCTTCCTAAAACACGCGAACCCGTCGCAAGGCGTAACAGAAGACCTGCTCGAATCGGGATTCTCCAAGTTCGGCAAGGTGATCAATGTTGAGATAGACAAGAAAAAAGGATTCGGCTATGTCGATTTTGCGGAGCCAGAGGCATTGCGGAAAGCAATCCAAGCAAGCCCGGTGCAGATCGCGCAGAGCCAGGTGGTCGTCTTGGAGCGACGGTCGACGGCAGCAGTTGCGCAGGCGCGTGGGAACCACATGCGGAACCACCCTCCGCCGGTGATGCCCTCACACTCCCCTTCAGGCGGCGGCGCAGGCGGAGGCGGCGGTGGTGGCGGGCCTACACCAGCCCGAGCACCACCACAAGGACCTAGGGGCGGAGGCCGCGGAGGACCAAGAAATCGCGGTGGTTACGGCAGAGGAAGAAATGGTCCCGGCGGAGGCGATCGGTCTAATAATGCGAACACAGGACCAAAGCAAACTGCAACTGCCCCTCCCGCCAAAACTACATCATGAAGCATGAATCTCAACATTTCTAAATTCATTACTCTGTCAGATGCTTCTTATATTCCTTTCGAGAAGTTCAAGGCATGCAGCTGTAATCTTGTAATATCTCCCCATCACTGAAGATGGAGTACGCCAAGGCGGCAACCCCAATTGACCGGGCATATTGGAAAGTTGAACTTGCAGCCAACGTCGAGGGGAATATCAATCATACGGGTGACAAGTCGGTAACACCGTTTTAGAGCAACTGCGGGAAACAAGCGACGTTTTATGTATGAAATACGAAGTATTCTTTGGCAATAGATCACAGATTTACAGAGCGAACAGCTTTTTTTCATAATTTCTTTCATTATTCATCACAACTATCTCATCGCATCACTTTCATTATTTTTTGCTAAAAAACAGACAAAGTGTCTTATCCCCCCAGAAACTCACAACCGAACGCACTTTTTCAATATCCTTCAGACCTCCTCGACGCCCACCTAGGGAGACCGACCGAAGTCAAAAGGCACATCCACTAGGTCAAGATCATCACCACTCCCTAGACCCAAGTAGCCCGAGATGCATCCGCCCGCACTTCGGAAGCCACAGAGGGTATCCAGAAAACGCGAGGGCGATCTCGAGCAGGGTCGAGGCGGGAGTATAACGGCTTCACTTTAGGGCATCGAGGACATGGTGGTCATCAGCAGGATTGAAGTTTACCCCTGTAATAAGAAATACAGAGTGGGACGTCTACTGAAGAAATGCTGTGAAGAAAGTCAGTATGGGCCGTGACGAAGCATCATGACAAAAAGGCAGAGCAGTATACTCACATTCTTTAGAGTAGAGTCGACTGAAGAAAAAAAAAAAAGAAAAAGAAAACCAAAACCGAGCGACGAGGGAGCGAGCTTTATAGCGCTGCGCCGGCATCAAAGTTTGCACTAGCCACTAAGCGAGTGTGGTGTGGGCTGTGATTGGCTGCTTTCGCGGTGGGGCTGTCGGGACCGGAGTTACTTTCATCCAGCTGCCCTGCCCAAACGGGTAAGCATATCCGATTCCCAGGCTTGTTGATGAATTTGCTCGCTGGTTCATTCATTCATTACAAACATTATCATTGACTATCAACTTGCATTCCCTTTGCACCGGGTCTCATTTTATGTCACCAAATAATAATAGTTAATAGGGTTTAACTACTTCCGTACAGTTTTTGGAAGAAAATACCGGCTTAAGAGCCAAGTGGATCCTTAAGACGCCATACAAATGATCGTAAACGAAGATGCTATATCTCCACAACTCCTCCTTTGGGCACCGACCCGGCATCTGACATGTTGGCTTTGTTCTTGCCCTTCCTATACACACGTTGGTCGTTGGGATCGAAGCCACCGTTACCCCACAGAGCCCATTCATCCGTCTCGCTCATGTAGTCCTCCGGGGTGAACGACACGCCCTCGGCCTTCTCGCGCTCCAACAGTTCGAAAAAGCGCTCATAGTTGATCTTTGTATGCCACTTGCCGTCAACATGGAATCGACGCGAGGCCAGCAGGATACAGCAGCTGTGGCTGTGTTCTGCCCCAATTCCATAGCCAAGGCCGCGTCTGTTCAGCTCGTCGTTCAGCGCGACCGCAAACGCTGCCACTTCTTCGTAGAAGGGAACGTTTTGCATCGTCAGCCCCGCGCCAGCGCTCGTGCTCGTTCCGCAGTATGTCACGCCTTTGATCTCCACAAAACACGGAAGCCCCCTTTCCACAAGGTCGGCGTATCCGACGACTTCGTCATCGATATTGAATCCCTTCACCAAGGTAAGACGATACACCGTCCTCTGTACGTGCGTCTTCTCCCGAATGATGTCCAAGCAGCGCTGGAAGCGCTCCCAGAAATCTCTATGTAAGGGACGGTCGATCTTTCGCAAGCTGTCACGGTTGCTGGCATCGATCGAGACGTACAGCTGTGTTATCCGGTCAAGTGCCGCAAGTTGGTCCGGGTGCTGCGCGTTGCAGACGAGGAAGCTCGAAATATGTTCGCTGTGAAGCATGGACACGAATTCGTTGATGTGAGGGTAGAATATCGGTTCACCAACCAAGCTCAGTGCACAGTGCCGGATGCGCATGGCTTCCGCAAATCTTTCAGCACGAACACCCGGCACACCACGCATCATCTTGATCTTTTTGTAATGGCCTTCCTTGACCCCTTGAAATATTAGCTCCGGCGGGTCCACCTTCCACCGCCATGTGGTGCCGACGGGATTCGTCCCATGTCTCCAACAGAATACGCATTTGTTGCTGCACGACAAGGATGGCGTTGTCTCCATGCAAAGATGCGACTTGATACCGTAGAACGAGTTCTTGTAGCATGATCCACGTCCTCTGAGAGCTGATTTCGTCCAGCGACAGATCTTAACTCCCGAGTGGGAACCGACTATTGTGTAGCCCTGTTTTGTCAGGGCCGCATACGTGGGAGAGGTTGTGGGTACCATTTCCTTTGGAGTAGACGTAGCAACCGATGTCGATGTCTTCGAATATGTCGTAAAATCAATTGGTATATCTGAACCCTGCTTTCCAGAGGCGTCGCCGCCGAATTTAATATCCTCCAAGTCGGTAATTTCGGCTCTCCGAGCCTTTCGCGGCCTGGATCCAGGGTTAGGTACACCCTCATCATCTTCTTCAACGTCCTCTTCATCACTTTCAAGCGGGTCCCCACTGCCAGGCACTCCTTCGCCCAGCGCGCCGTTGTTTGTAACCATGTCGCACAGAACCTCCTGCATGCCACTGCACCATTCGTCGAGGGCCTTGTCGCCGTCAGTTTTTACATCACCCAGGCCTAGTGGATATGCTCTCTTCCTTCCAGTTAGCTTCGCCATCCACTTATCCACTTCCTTTGCCTGAGAACAGAACCCTTCTTCTTCGGTGGGCCATCCTTCCTTGTCTCCAAAGCCAAACACCGCGTACCCCGCCAGTCCCGATAACGGCGCCGTGTCAATGCGGAAATCATGGTGCGTTTCGTCTAGGTGGCCCAAAAAGGTATTCAAGATCGTATCGATGTTGTAGGTTGGAATTATAATACAGTAAAAGTACAGGACGTTCGGGTTCGATTCGGGGGCTTTCGGAGGAGAGACGAAGTAGTCGTCAAAATCGACATACGATAGATCATATAGCTGGGGAGCCAGAAGTCTCGACGAGCGTTTGGAATCCTTCAATGGCTCAGTGTTAAGCCTTTCGAGGACACGCTTCGCGCTTCGTTCGGTGGACCCCGTGAGGGACGAGAAGAATATGATGGGTTGTATCGAGATTTCCTTGGTCGCGTCGGAATCCCCGTTGACCAGCTTCGTTCCTTTTTTCGCGGGTTTCGTTCCAATGACCCTTTTTGGAGGCCGGCCCTTGCTCCTCGTTGCAGCGCCATTCGGCGAAGGGGTTCCCTCCTCCGGAGTGGTGGTGGAGGTAGGTGGCTCGGTCCCCGAGGTTGGACGGCTTTGTTTGGCTTTCGAGGACCGGGGAGGTGAAGGTATCGACGGTGGAGAAGCTTCAGCAGTTTTGCCGCGCGCTGCAATCAGATGAGAGAGGATGAAGACGGCGGGCAAGAGCACGAGGGCATACCCCCGATACGAGTGCCATAGCGAGAGAGCCCCTGATAACTCCGGTCAGCTGCACTCTATTCTGCTAAAAGCGACAAGGAATGGAAAAGCAAAAACATACTCTGCGCTCCGGATGCGAACGTCTCGTCCGGCATTTTGGTCAGCGGCCTGGGGGGGAGCAAGCTTTGGGTGTTCAAGCGCACTGAGATCTGGTGGGGATTATGCGTATTGGTGTTTTTTTGAGTTCGCTATCGAATTTTCTTATCGTGTTTGCATCGTTTGCACTGTTTGCTCGCTGCGCAGTTTGCCGGGCTTGGCGACTGGGGAACAACTCACGGGCACCTGACCTTGAACCGGGCCGTCGCGGGTCTTTTTGAGGTCGCAACTCGCCAAAAAAAAAAAAAAAAGGGGGGGAAGAGGGGGAAAATCCCCGCTTCCTCCTCCTCGAACATACAACGATGGATCTCTTTTAACTCCCAGTCCTTCTGGGACGACCAGTCTTGAAGAGACTTCTACTCTGTACTTCCGCCTGGATCTCCATGGTATTTACTCCATACCTACATAAATGACTTGAGACGCACTCAAAGTTTGTTGCACAACGAGGAAAGAAAAAAAGAAAAGAAGGCGCTCAGACATTCGCTAATTAATAACTCAGACTTCAACCGCTAAAAGTGCTTTGCAGAATCCGACAGAAACCCTCCCATCCGGCTTTTTGATCTTGCTTTAACGCCAACAAATGACAGGTATCAGGAAATAACAAAAAAAGGAAAAAAAAGAAAAAAAAAGGAATAGAAGAGAAAATAAAAAGAGACGCCCGCTAACGAACATCAAGAAAATCGCAGCCTCAAGATCCGCGTCGATCAAGAAGAGAAGGGAGCGTGAGTCTTCCACGCAGCTCCTCCCACAAGGCTTGCTTGCTCACAGAACTTCTCTCAACAGCATCTCGGTTCTCTTCTGCTCGCCGGAGCAGGTACATCATACATTCCTGGGTGGTGCCCCAGACCACGTACTTGAACACGTGGTTGTTCTCTTCTTCAAGGTCCTTTACAGGTGAATCAGCAATCCTGGATCCGCTGCATGTCTGGAGACGGTCAACACCTACCGGTACCTTCTGTGTCAAACTCATGGAAAGTTCATCTGCCATTCCCATCAGTTGCGCGTACACAACGTCAGCCAAGGGTAAACCTCGCCTGAGTTGCTCCTGTCGCAACTCTCGCATCATCTCCGTGCTCTCCTTGTTGTGACTTGCAAGGACAAGCCCAATCTTGGGCGCAGACGGATTGTCGATGTGCTGAGTGGCCAGCATGACGGCGGCATTGTTGAAGGCTCGATCCGTGTCCTCCTTGGTATCGTGTATCAAGTGACGAGGATCGCTGTTGATGTATGCACCGCGCACTAGTTTAACCCCGAGGCTGAATTTCCCCTCTTGGGCCATCCGAAGATGCGATTCCAATGTCGCCGTGGATTCTTTCAAGTACCTGGAGATCGATATCTGTTAGCCAAGAACGCTCGAAAATACCTATTAAGAGGGGAAAAAGCAAAAATAGTAAAAAAGGGGAGAATGAAAAAGAAATAAAAACTCACATCTGATAGGTGTTATATACAACGGTCTGGCCGTCACGGTTGTACTTCTGCATAAGGTCCATGGTCCAGGAGTCGATGCCCGCCTTCTGGACATAATGCTCTGCGTCGAACAGGAGTTTCACCTCTTGCTTTCGCGCAGAGGCGCAGATCTGCTCCAAGGCATCAGCCATCAAATTGTCTGGGTTTTGCCCGGTTTCTAGGGCGTGCACACAACCGATGCCAGCGCCGGTGTACTTCACCGCGACATAATCTCCACGCTGTGCGTAATTGATCGTCCGCAGAGTTCCTTGAAGCCACTGCGCAACATGTTCTTTGTGCAGTGCGTCAGAATCTGCTGTTCCAGATTGAAACTGCGAATTCGACAGGTCTACTTCTCGTGCATATGCCAAAATCACCCCCCGATAACCCATGCTCCGCAGTCCCTCCACCGTCTCTCTGATCTCGGCCTCTGTTCTCCCGGCACAGAACTGTGCATAGAACATGTTGTCGAGGAGGAATCTGAAGAGGGCGTTCCCGGTCAGAAACTGGACATTTCGGTGAATCACGGTCGACGCCATGTCCATGAGACGTGGGCGAGACATGACGGTCTGCAGCATGATGCTCCGAAGAAGGGAAGCAGTGGGCATCCTGTCCAGGATGCGCTGCGGTGGCGAAGGCCGAACAACGGCGGTGGCAGCAGCAGCGGCCTCGGACTTGGAGCTATCCCATGGCGTCTGGGGGAGGTTCTCCGGGGACTCCGAAGGGACGTGAAACGCTCGAACGTGACGCGCAGAGTGAATCAAGAATAGATTATTTCCATAGCTGAGTTTAGAGGCCCTACAAACTGGAGAAAGTCGGTAGGCCATATCTCGACTGGACGGGAGGGAGGGTAAGGAAAGTGGTTGAAGGAGGAGAGTCACGGGCGGAAACCCCCTTTCTACCACCTAAAGGGGGAGCCCATATATAGACCTTCTGGGAAAGCAGTGGTCCAAGCTTCGCCCAGGTTGCTCCGGGCGGTCAGGATGGCGTCAGCATCGTGGCCGGAGCTGTGTCGAGCTTGGTTCATTGAGCAGGTGGCACAAGGGAACAGCAGCGAAAAAGCAACGAAGGTGCCGGATGAAGTCGCTTTTTGGCGGGCGTGGCACTCCAGTTCCCACGGCTTGCAGGCGACGCTTTCCGGCGCTTTCCTGGAAGTTCCGCCACCTTCGCCTCATGTGACCTGCTGCTTTTGCCCACTGTGCGTCGCCCGAAGGGAGCTAGCCCAGCGTGACTAAGCCCGCCGCTCAAACTCAAGACGGCAGCAGGAATGGCCGAAGGGGGTCTCGACCGACCAACACAAAAAAAGAGACGTACGAACGAACCAACAGAACCCGTCTTGTGGGTAGTGCTGAAAGGAAGAGACACAAAGGAGACAAAGAGAGCTGCGTGACGGAGAAACACAGAGACAGAGAGAGAGATAGAGAGGGAGAGAGAGAGATAGAGAGATCGAGAGACAAGAGAGGGTACCGTGAGACCCAGCGCTGTCACCTGCGAGCCTCACCACACCCCCCTATCTGCCCGTGACTCGGGTGGAATTTGGTTGGCGAGCCGGCCGTCCACGGATCTCCGGCAGGACGACAGAATGGATACGGGCCTTGAACTCGTCAACTCCCCTTCCCTCCCTGCCCCGTTCTCCGTGCTCCGGTACGTGGCCCGCCAAACCTCCACTGTTTATCAGGACACCCTGGCCCACAGACGCTTTGCTTTTTTTCTCGCATTGCACCGCTGATTGGGCGAGCTCTGCGTCTATCTCGCGCTGGGAGAAATATGCTTAAATTAGCCCTTTTTTGCTGGGGGAAAGACTTCGGGCCAGCCGTCAAATCACGACTGCTGGGCTGGCTATTCTTATCGCCCGATTACCCGCCATTCGTCGCGGACCGGGATTCCAGGCCACCCGCCTCGTTTCCTCGAAGGCATTTCGAGAGAACGAGCAAAATAAAGATAGAAAAAAAAAAAATTTAAACCTGTGCACGAACTAGTGTAAGTGACCAAACCCTTTTGTACGGAGTACTCCGTACATACTCTGTTACTCCGTACTTCCTCCGTACCGCAGCAGAGAAACCACGAGGCGCGTTGATCACATCCAATAGCACACACCCAAAATCCCGCGCCGACGACGGAAGGCCGGGGTGGGAAATCCTGTTGACGATCCCCGGCTTTTCATCCGATTGCGGAGAGCACAACTAACACAAGCTAGCTCGGCATCGTAGAACTCTTTGCTGTAACCCATTCATTACCGCCGGGCCAATGCAAGCCTCACCCATCACTATGTAAGATTACATTGTCCCTCATTCTTTACGATCATGATTACTTTTTCTCACCGCTGCGACCACACACACTCCTGAACGGCGACCAGAATTAAAATTGCTGCCCCCTTGTTAGTTAGTTGCTTAGGTTTTTTTTTTTTTTTATTTTTTTGTTTTTAACTTTCTTGGTAACTTGGGGATCCGACAAAATAACAGAATCATGCTGGTCCTTCGCGAATCGGACATCTTCCCCATACTCAAGGGCTTGACGCGTGACCAATGTCAACATCTGCTCCAGGCGCTCTGGAAGGCCCTCGCCAGTTACTCAGGCCATCGTAACGGCGCCAACGGACAGAAACTTATCCATCAACCAATCCGAGAGCAGATTGTGACCTCAAGGAACCACGCAACACTCTTCATGCCAGCATCCGATACCAACACGACCACAGGTATCAAGATCGTAACTCTGCCGGGCCATGGCGGCCCGCCCAAAGGTGCCATCAACATATGCTCTCCAGAGGGTGACCTCGAGGGATTATTAAACGCTGAGCTAATCACGGCATTCCGGACCGCGTTGGCCAGCATGATCCCGTTTCAGAGATTCCAACTCCGAGAGGGCGCAAATATCCTGGTATTCGGGGCCGGAAAGCAGGCAGAATGGCACATTCGGCTTGCTCTCTTACTCGCTGGAGAGAAGATCACTAAGATAACAGTCGTGAACAGAGGCGCCAGAGGCGCTGAGAGATTAAAGAGCGATTTGGATGCAGATGTTCGCGGGATATTCCCAGGGATGATGATAAGTTACATAGGGAGGGATTCGTCGACGTTCGCGGCAGAGATTCTCGGCACATTGGTATCTGAGGCTGATGCCATCTTCTGCTGCACTCCGTCGACCGAGCCGCTATTTTCCAGCTCATATCTCGGAGAGAAGCCCAGGTTTATCTCTCTTATCGGCTCCTACAAGCCACACATGCAAGAAATTGATTCTACAACCCTACTCTCTGGACGTAGTACGATTATCGTTGATTCAAAGGAAGCGTGCCTGCACGAGGCGGGCGAGCTTATCAAGGCTCAGGTATCTGAAAGCCAGCTAGTAGAGATTGGCGAGTTGTTTGAGAATCCGCATGCGGCTTCGAGGCTGTTCGATTCAGGCAGCAATGTGGTCTTTAAGTGCGTTGGAATGGGCATTATGGATCTCGTGATTGGCAGGGAGCTTCTCGCCCTTGCGAAGGAGAGACAAGTTGGCATTACAATCGACGATTTTTAAACAAGGGCACGATCGTCGAGAGTTTCGGGCAGCAGCGTGCCTATTTTTGGCAGGCCAGGCGATCGCCAGACGATCGCGCCTTGCTGCTCGACGAGACGCCGATGGGTTCGACTAGGACACTTGGGGATTATCATTGAACGCCTTGAACTCTACCTGCTTGCGGGGTTGCCCCCGTTTTTCATCATCCTTGGATTCCTTCTGTGGATGACGGCGGGACCAAAGGGGGTGCTTCCGCTGCCAACTTGTCAAACAGATGGCAATGTTGTCGGTGTGCGGGGGGAAAGAGTGCTGTCAGCTTACTAGCGAAGGTTCTGTGTCGATAAATTCTATACATATACAAGGACGCCACTGAACAGAATTCTGTTGTCATGAGATAGCCGATTTGCCACCAAGCTACCCATTTTCTTCTTGTCGCCATTTATAGCATTCCCTACTTGGCTTGTGACTGTCTTGGCGCTTCCATTTTGTTCGATGATCTGCTCGAAGATTTTCCCCTTTATTCTTGGAGCGATGTCGCGGTCTGTTGTAACACTACCACCTGTTCAGACTCCCTCTGGGTCGTACTCTGTGTGTGCTGACGAGTAAGACATCCTTGGACTTCCGTAGGCAGCCCATAGTCCCACAGCGTCAATGGTGGACCAGAAGATGCAAAAGTAGGATGCTCTGAACGGCAACAAGTACCCAAATATATTACAGCAATCGCACTCAGGTAATCCAATGCTGCCTTTCCCCGGTCACGCTCTCTGCCATACTTGATATTTGACCCTTTCGCGGCCGATGTGGCTGTCGCAAGGGCACAGCCCAGCTCCCTGTTCGGCTTGCTGGAGAGTGGTATGGTAACCGACATTCCCCTATTCTCCCAAGAATAACACGCGCGCACGCATACACACCCTCTTCTCCCAGGGTAGGAGCCCATGTCGGCAGGCCTGGTAGGCTTGGTGAGTGCGGATTCTTTGCTGGGAGAGGGGATGGGTGGTAGAAAATCGCCATTGACGTCAATATCTCCTGGAAAAAAAAAAAAAGGGACCCTGTCGGTGGGAGACCTTTCGCCACATCTGGAAGGTAAAAGAATGGCCCATTGATCAGTGATTGCCTCGTCCTCCGTTGCCTCTTCCGCTGACCCTGTTCTACCGGAGACACAGCCAATCAACCATGCGACTGCGTGTGTTGAGGTGTGTCGACGGTTCAGCGTCATATTCAGCTTCAGCTTCAGGGTTTAAGCTTTCACATCAGTCCATTGAAACCAAGCTAAGAGTTCTGTGGACGTTGGATGGGATGGCAGGTCCATATATCTCAGGAGAGCAAGGACGGTCTTCATGCGAGTAGACACGCGAATATCGGGTCAGGAGAGGGCGGAATATGTGAGCAATACCTCTGTACCAGGGGAGGGGAGACTTGCGGTTGAATTTGTTCCAGAAGAACCTTCCACCCCACGTTTCTTGGGTAACTTCGACCATACCCTGCCCGCTGTCTGGATGGATGTGAGCTGTGAGGGAAACCAGTGGAGGATTTGGAAGCGAGAGGGAGCAGGGGACCCCGGCAGATCAGGCTTGGCCGAGGGCTGTCTTGTGGGAGTGATCTGGCCCGCCATTTTAAAATTTTTAAAATTGCAAAGAGGCACGGGCACGGCCAGTGGGATGTTTCGCCAATGCGACTTTTGTCAGCAGGGAGGCTGGACTGGGCCTGGCATACGGAGGAGCGTACAGCAGATGGGCACGTAGTTCAGTTACGCGATGCGTGAGAGAAAGCTGTTTCCTGGCTTAGAGAGAGATAAGCTGGTGGGCTTAGGGCTGTTGGAAATTTTTTTTTTTTTTAACGGTACGGAGTATGGGTGTTGGGGTACTCCGTACTGTTGTGGATTGAGGCCCGGGAGGGTTGCCGAAAGCAAATGCCAGAGTAGCCATGTCCCTCCTTGCTCCGTAGTGGACCAGAGAGACCCCATGCCGGAGGGATCCAGATCGATGGGATGGACGGAGGAGGGTCGCCCCTAGTTTGATGGGAACTGAGACTCCCGGCAAAAAGAAGAAAGCTGTGTGAGGGGGTGAAGAGGAGAAAATAATAAAAAAGGCTGGGGTTGTTTTCTGTTTGGTCCAATCCTGCTTTCGGTCACCCCGCGCCATTGCCCCATGTAGACTAGCGCCATCCTTCGGCAGTGACTAAGCTTCGACGTTAGTCAGCTGTCAGATGAGGGGGGTTTAAGCTGGGGGGCCTTGGTACTACTTGGTAAAGTTACGGAGCACCTTAGGTACCGAGTTACTTGGGTCCACCGCCCGCTGTACTCTGAAGTCACACAACCAGCCAGACCGCCCGCCCTAGACAGCTGAAAGAGTACCGGGCTAACTAAGGTACCTGCCCTGCCTGACTAAACACACACACCCCCCCCATCATGCCCCCATCGCCTCCTCCCTCCCTTCATTCACTCCCTCGCTCTCCACGCCATGTCGTGATTGTTTTCCCTCTCCTCCTCTTCTGTTCCTTTCTTTTTTTTATAGTTTTATTTTCTTTTTTCTTTTTTATATTTGTTTGTCATATTTCTGTTCTTCTTTTCTTTTTGTGTATATTGTCTTACTATCCTGTTCTTTTGCCTCAACCCACGAGTATGCGTATTCAGCGTTACATGTTCTATCTGCCCGTTATCCATTGGTCGCGTTGAAGTCTCCCTCGCCATATCGTCTCCTCCCTCTTGCTGCCATGCCCACCGCTCCTCCTCCTCCGCCGCCACCACCTCCTCCTGCAAAGGTGCACAAACGGGCTTATCAGGTATGCATCGCTTGATTTCATTGGCTTTGCTCCCATTGTCCTCTGCTAGCCTTCAAATGTATCCAAGTCTCTCTCCCCTCCTCTCTGCTCTCGTGTAAACATCGTGAAATGCAACGGCGAAATAAATTTTTTAAGTGCAGTTGGTGAACTGTTTATCTCTCTTCTCCCTTTCGCCCCCATATAGGCCTGTATTCCGTGTCGAGAGCGCAGAGTCCGATGTGATCTCGGTTCCGTCGATCACCCGCATCAGGGTCCCTGTGGAAGATGTCGTCGGGAACGCAAGTTCTGCCACTTTTCCGCTACCCGCGGAAAGAAGAAGTCGGGTACATCCTCCGGCGCCTCCGCCCCCGCCGACCATCCCCAGATCGGGAGGATCGTCTCCCTCGACGGCACGCTGGCCACTCTCGCCGGTGTCAACGTGCTGCCGCTGTCGGCCCATGGCCGCACTGATAGTGTGGGTTCTGCTGGTAATCCTCCTCCCGCCATCAAACCCGGTTTTCCGCTCCTCAGTCACGTGATATCTACTGATGCTCCGCTGTCCGGTGCCGCAGGCGGAGACAAGGCTGCCGCTGCCCTGCTGCGCGACGCCGCTTACACCTCCCACGATGCCCTCAACCTGCTGTGGGAGGCCGGTCGTCACAGCGAACGCGTCACCGGCTTCCACCACGACTCCAACCCCTCCCGCCTGCGGGCCTCCGCCGACGAAGGGAACCGCCCTTCCGCCCCGCCGAGCAACCACGGCAGCACCACGAGCACCGCCCTGCAGCCTTGGTCCAACCTGCGCTTCGTACGCACCGGTCTCTTCACTGCGGAGGAAGCCCTGGACCTGGTCAACTACTTTCACAAGTACTTAGCCCCCTTCACCCCTATCTCCTCCACTGCTTATCAGGATCAGTCAATGCATGGAAAGCTCTTGGAGGAGGAACCCATACTTGCTGTCACTATCCTGATGCTGGCATCGCGCTACATGAAGTTCTCCGGCGCTGGTGCGGTCTCACGCTCCTACATGGTCCACGAGCGCCTGTGGCAGCACCTGCAGGGCATGATCTCTCGCATGATCTTCGGCCAGGAGCAGTTCAGCGCCGCGACCCACGACAACGGAACCGCAACGGAGACTATGACCACCCAGTCCTGTGAATCCGCTCTCGCCGGTTCCAGCTTCGGGAGCCTTCGCACCCTTGGCACCTGCGAGGCCCTACTCCTCCTGTCTGAGTGGCATCCGCGTTCGCTGCACGTCCCCGCCGGAGATGATGGGGACAGCATTATCGTCAAGGACGAGGTTCGCCGCACGAGAGCCAGCACGTCAGGCATTGGCGGCCGCATTCGGATCGATTGGCTGGAGCCCGTCTGGAGATCTGACCGAATGTGCTGGTCGATGCTGGGGAATGCTCTGGCCCTGGCCGTCGAACTCGGAATCTTCGACGAATACGACAACACCACTATCGGTGCTAGAGAATCCCGACGTGACATCTGGAACAATCCACACTCGAGCCAACGGGCGTATCTCGTCCAACATTTACTCTGGGTCTACCTGACCCAAACCTCTGGCCGGCTAGGTGGGTTTTTGCCCAAGAAAATACTCTAAGCAAATGCTATCGATTTCGGTTTCTAGGACAATTTTGACAAATGCGTCTAGGTTGGAAAAACTTGACCAATGTTTCCGTCACCGACCACGATGCCAGCGTAAAACACGGTGATACGATCCGCTGCTGGGTCGGCGTCGCGTCCTTGATGAAGAGAGGAAACGAACTCCTCTTTCCTTCGAGAGAGAGAACACGCGACATCATCAACAGCGGCGAGTATATTGCCGTCCTTCGTATGCTTAATCCTCTTCTCCAGGATTGGCAGCGCGAATTTGACCGCGCTAAACGTAAGTTTCAATCTTGTCGTTTTTATTTTTTTAATTTTTTTTATTTTTACTTTTCTTTCAGTTGTTTTAAAATCACATGCATGCATGCTGACTAGTCGCCCTAGTTTCCAAAGCAATGAGATTAATACTTGCCATCGAGTTCGGATACGTTCGAGTATATATAAACAGCGTTGCCTTACAAGCCGTAGTGGAACACTACAATCGTGTTGCAAGAGAAGGGGGTTCACTTCCACTCTCTGCACTACTCAGTCCATATGAGGGAAACAAGGAATATTTCATGGAAGTGGTTAACGCCGCGAGAGCAATGCTCCAAGTAGTAGTCGAGGAACTCCTCCCCGAAGACCGGCTTAAGCATGTCCCCGTCCGGACTTACTCGAGAATACTCGCTGGTGCCATGTTTTGTCTCAAGGTTCGTCCCCTTTTTTATGGATCGAATGGTCTTACCCTGTGCTTACCCGCTTTAATACAGGCTTACGCTCTCGGAGCAAAAGATAGCGAAACCGCAATCTCCCTTACACTAGTTGAGCGTACTGCAGAGGCTCTTTGCACCTGTGTTGTTGACGACGTTCACCTGAGTAACCGATTTGGCGAGCTCCTCCAGGCACTTGTATCGAGTCTCCGTAGTCGCGTGACGATCCCGACCAGCGAGCCGTCTCTCAGCGGGCATATCACTCCCAACAACGGCCAGATGGGGCGGCAGCCATTCGAATTTCACGAAAGCATGCCCCCCGAAAGCAAGCCCATTGTAACAGAATCGTTCGAACGATCAATGGCCCAGCAAATGTCACTCCCACAAGCACTCACCAGCGGCGACTACGATTCACGCTTCGTCACCAGTCCTGCAAGCTCGGCACCTGACTCGTCAGCGTATATGACGATGGGTGTGATCCCGGACCAGCATACCTTCCAAACCGACCCGTTGATATCATTCGCTGGCTTGGGTCCCAACCAGCTAGGATGGTCCGGTGGCCAAGATTTCTTCGACATGCTCGGCCCATTGTTGGATGTGCAATACGAACAATACCGGTGAAGCAGAGCCAGAGCTCTGGCTCTCTTCTTCGATAATTATGAAGAAGAAAATGAGGTCAGCTCTCTCCCTTTCCAACGGGTCTCAACTGGGAACGGTAAGAAAACACCGTTCTCCCCAAAGGAGCACAGTGTTTGTTTTCTTCAGAGCTCTTACCGGCACACTTATGCCGGTGATTAGCGATCTGACCTGTGATGGCTGTTGCCGAAACGGAACTTGACAACAACATCGACAAACAATGATATTCAGCGCCGTGAACTACCCATCTTTTCACGGCCAGCTGAACCAAGTCAGCACGCCCTGACTCTATATAAAAGGCAAGCATCCTAGACACTGTTGGTTCTCAAACCACGTCCCTCCGCGAATACTATTAACACCATCCAAGCAGCAGCAGCAGCCTAGAGTGGATTTTATCCTCAGCAGATGATTTCAATATCGTTCATTGTTAATTCATCACACCAAATAATACCAACAAACCTTAGGCATAGCCTTTTCAAATAAGCGCATGTTATCACAGCGTTGGGAGGTTTCTCAACAGCTGATACCATGCTCACTATGCTTTGACTCTGTGCTTATTCGTTTTTGCCCCAGCGCTGTTGAATGTAGATATTTATGCTCCCGCATATTAGCGATTTCGGTCCTTTAGACAAGAAATGTTTCTCTCAAATAACTGAATATGGAAAATACTCACATCCCCTTCAACAAGTAAGCTGATGAATGATATCAAGGGCTAATATCTCCCTCTAATTGTAACCGGGGTACGGAGTAGAGCAAAAAAAAAACAAAATCAATAAACTTGACCTGGGGGGTCAAGAAGCTTTTTATGCATTTAGGCAGTGAAACCTTCCAGCGTGTCGAGAATTGCTTGAAAGTTTTTTTGCCATGGAAAATGCTGGATAGTCGAGGGAAGCGATGGACAGTGGTTTTCCGCCGAGCTTGAGCGGTCCAGTTGCGATTAGGGCTAGATTGGGGCAACCCGCTTGGGCCCGTGTGAGATCTGCAAGCTGGCGGAATTTTTTTTTTTAAGCTCTCATCTCAAACCCCGCCGTAGCCTGTTGGCTCCGGGTCAAGCATTGCATAAGCATCAAATGCCTGCTGGAGCTTGACTTTCTCTACGGGGACGGTAGTAACTAGCTTTGTAACTGCAGACAGGGCTTACATAGCAGAGGAACCCGGCTTGAAAGCATCGGTCAATGGCACGCCTGGGGCATTCCGTGTGACCATTCCCCTCTCGCCAACAGAAACCATGTCCGTCCAAATGTCAAGCCGGCTAGTTATCCGGAAACTAAGACTGATCAAAGGGGAGACGCTCGGATCTATCCCAAGCACATAGACATTATTGAGTACCTCCAGTTAGTTTCTTAATGTCTAAAAGCAAAAGTATAACAAGGGCGATTAGATGCAGTTCAGGGTTCTATAGACACATTCTTCCAAGTGAGCATATTCTTGTCTGTCAGTTAATAAACCCCGTTTTGCGGTGTACAGTCTCTGGACCCCCCTTGGGATCAATGGCAAATAACCAAGCGAGTTGTCAGATGCTGACTTACTCAACCACCATTCCGCAACCCTGGATGTCCGTGCTGTATGCCGCCTCCACCGATCATCCATGGCATTAATTCTCCGATGTTGACAAGCCCATTGTCTGGCCGTTCCTCTTGGGTTTCCGTCACTAAGCATGATGCTTGCAGCAGGAAATAAAATGTTACCCACGCTCGTTTGAGATCATTTCGTGGTGTGCTTCGGGATATTGCTCGGTAGCTCATGGCTAGCTGGGTCCTGGAGGTCAGCCATAACTTCTTCCACCCTTGCTGTTAATGGGCAACGATTCACGGCGAACAGAGAATGGCAAAAGTTATCAACTATCAAGCCACCTGCAGAAGCATTGCCGTCTTTTTCCAAGCCACCTGTTGAAGTCCGATTGGCCTTTTGGAAGATTCCAGTGACCTCAATACCTCCCAGAGGCGATCGCGTGGCCGAATCACACCATTGACAGATATCCCTCCCTTCAAGGCATACTGTTCCCTCGACACGGTGTCTCTGGTAGCTTCGGATGTCGACTTGAAGTTTATGCCGAACCTTCGCCTGTGATCGTCTAATTGGCTTATATTCTTTTTACAGAGCCTGACTTTGTTACTCTTGCGAATTACTTGCACCCGGGTGGGGGATGCATCCCCGTCGTTGTCGATCGAATGGGTTGCGATGGTTGTTCAGGTCTTCACAGCTTGGGGTGACAAGAATAATTGATATCCGGGCACTTCATCGCCGATAATCTCTGTATTGCCGATACTAAAACTCGACGACGACGAGTCTAGGAAGTAATAAGAGTGTCCCACTTGATCAAGAAACACAGCACAGATCAACCTGGCACCAAAATTTACTTCCCTTGTATGGCTATGACATCGTAAGCCAGCTGGGTGCACTTTCTTGACCTTCGTCTTTGATATATGATCACCTTCTATATCGTCGTCATCACAGTCTTCCAGCCACCGGCTTTTCAAAAAACCAACTGAGATAGGACGGCTCTATTGGACTTGGAAGCAAGAGAGGGAGACGGAAAGAAAATAAGATAAGGGAACCAAAAAAGCGACATCCTTTTGGTTTAGCCGTTTGAAGGCCTGGACGGAATATGGGATATGATCTTTTGTCAACTGTGCCACCAGCCTTGTGCATATGATTGTGAGAGTCCGAAACGGTCATAACCTCTCGGCTGATCTCTTCTCTGTATTATTAACATCTTGGGCTATGCAAAGGGGATCTTCTTCCGAGAGATATCGCTGTCAATTGTTATAGACAACGACAGGCGACAGGAAAGTCAAGGCGCTGGGAGACTGCAACGGGATACAACTAGCCCCAGCAACTGGGCTGGGCACTCCTTCCACGCGTGTGTCAAACAACCTCCGGGTCATGCATGTCGAAGAATCCCACTCGTACTCACGACGACAGCGACAACAGGCCACACGGGAGGCAATGGCCTCCGAGAGCTCACAGAGGTGGAGTAGGAGAGGTGCTATGAGCTGCCCGGACACTGAGTTTGAGACATGCTGGATAGTAGGTTCTTTTCTCCACCATCATTTCATTCTTTCTCTTTTCCTTCAGCCTCCTTTGCTGGTTAAATTCACGGAAGTGATAATCTGGGACCCAGCTCACATGCTTTTCCCAGCGATTGCACATGGCATGCTTCAAGCTGGGTGGTTAAATGAGAGCATCTCCAGGGTTGTGAATTGAGCCCTGATGGTCCTGATATTATGCAGGCCTGCCAATGAACTGCGACAGCCAGTGCGTCGCGCAGTATATATACACATTGGTATCAGTGGACTTCAGATTTACATACCCAATTTTTGGCGCGGCGGGCGACGACTTTATTTCTCAAGCAATGAGATACTCGTCGGAGATCACGGAGGCTCTCGACGCTTTTTTTGCAGGCAGCGGCCTTTGATCCTTCCGATCACATCTCATACGATGGGTTGAGTTCGCGGTGGGTACAACTCCGAACCGAGTACCCTTGTCAGCTCTAACAGAGACACCAAAACTGCAAAGGAACAATAGCCCTTCTTCCCTAATACACACTGGTGGCTGAGCTTAAAGTAGTCACACCGGACGATTTCTCGCATGTCCTTTAATTTCCTGGACGAAAATGGCCCCTGACCTGTGCAGCTTTTGATATAAGAGACCATGTTGAAGTGGATTGATAAGTGAGCTGATCGTGGGCAGGGTAATTATTCCATATCAAAAATGAAAAAAAAAAAAAAAAAGGGCTTTATCGGAGCTGAAGGGGGGTCTGGTCTAGATCCATCCTTTGCAGCTGCGATCCCGACTGTCGGTGGAGCGGTGCTGAAAAGATGAATCCACTCCCGACACGCGTATCTACGGAGTACTCCGTATTCGTTGTCATATAACTATTTGAAGTAACTAACTATCTACAGGTGTATACTCTCGTAATCTCCTCCTCACTTTAAAGTGGTGATGCAACTCGGGGCAGCGGATCACGGACTGCGAGGAATGTTGTCATCGCGCATATTACATATTTATCATCCCAGCATGTTTCCCGGAAGTGATGCCGAAACCAGCTTGTTTTGTGATCCCGACGCCGATTTGCAATTTTTTGTTTTTGCAGGGAAGCCGTATTCGTATTTCGCACTGCGGTGTTGTGATTGGCCTCTTCGATTACTAATTCACTGCAATTAAGTTTGAGCCTCGGCAAGAACGATCCGATAGTCGGCATTCGGAATATCAATAGACCGGTTTGAATGTACCAAACAGTTACGGGGTAACATCCATGCCTCCTGGGAATATGTACTGTACTCGATCGAGGAGAAGTGTGAAGATGATACTGACAGGGAGGATGTGAGGGTAGATCATCGCATGAGGCATGGGCAACGACCAAGTTATATATTATTTCTTGCGTAGGGTTTTGCAGCGTGTTGGAATACATTAATGCTGCGGTACTCCGTACTCAAATTATGTTTTTTTGTCGTTCCTCCGTATCTTGGACGAGCCGAGGCACAGAAGGAACTTGCATAGGGGCTGCTTACATGAATTTATGCATTTAATGTCTTAGTTAACTCTGGCGGCGAATGACGTCATGTTTCTCGTCTGATCCGCTGCTGATTACATACACGAATTTGCACCTCTGCCCAGTTTGCGCTGCCGCAGCGAGAAAAGAGAAAAACGAAAAAAAAAACGAAAAAAACGAAAAAAACAAAAAAAAAAAAAAAAAAGGAAAAAGAGAGAGATGGAAAAAGGGCAGAAAAGTATCGGGAAGTTTGATGAGATCACCAACAGATAAAGCTACTCCGTATGGGCCTTTGAGCCCTACCGGCAACGCCAACCCAAGCTTGAGCGGGCTAAGCTCCAGCCACTGATCTCATTGGCCTCCGACCCGTGGGCGCTGCTCCAGGCGCATCCCTACTAAACACTCGGCCTTGCCGTACCCTTTTTCGCCCCCCGACCACGCCCGCCCGGTAAAAAAGCTTGGTGCTTGACCGGAGCCCATCCATGGCTACTCTCATCCCCTTGTCAAAAAAAAAAAAAAAGAGGTACCTTTTGAGAATTTCCGATCAGATTCATTATGCCTAGGCATATTTTTTTCTCTTCTTCTTCTTCTTTTTTTTTTTCGATTTCTTCCTCCCTTTTATATCAGGCTCGATCCCTCCCTGTTTCCTTTGTACAGTACATACATGCATACATCATAGCACATCTAGATACGTCGCGATATTAATATTTTACCTCTCACCTTCCACTCGTTAAATCAACCGGCGGGCCGCTGACTCTGTTCCTATAGACTTGTGATTAGAAATCTTCTTATAGAGGGGAGCTTTCGAGAGATTTTGCCTCCTTGACCGTCAGTGTGGGAGTTGCTGTCTCGCTGCAAGAGGCTTAAATAGAGATCAATCACCGTTTCCCGCTCGTTACCCCTTCCCAACCGTCTCCCTTTTTTCTTTTTTTTCTTTTTTTTCTTTTTTTTTTTTATATGACACTTGAAGTATCAGCTTCGATAGTCATTTGCCGATAAATCGTCTCGCCGCTTCAAATATGGGCGACGAATCACCGCGCCCTTCAAAAATACCCTACTGGCGCCAGGTCATCGAACCCGGCGCCGTCACCCAAGAGGTCATCGACTACCCCTACAAGGGGTCCGGCACCGAAGATGATCCCTTCGTCGTCGAATGGATTCCTAATGACCCCCGAAACCCTCTCCAATTCTCCACCATCAAGAAATGGTCCATCACCATGCTCGTCGCCATGGCGACCCTCGCCGTTGCCCTCATCTCCTCCGCGTACACCGGCGGTGGAAACCAGATCATGGCGGAGTTCAACGTCAGCAGTGAGGTCATGATTCTGGGTGTCTCCCTCTTCGTTCTCGGCTTCGCCATCGGTCCACTGATCTGGGCGCCCATGAGTGAATTGTACGGACGGCAGCTCCTTTTCTTCGGAACATACATGGCCCTGACCGCGTTCAACGCCGGCGCCGCCGGAAGTCAAAATATCTGGACCCTGATCATCCTTCGATTCTTCGCCGGCTCGTTCGGCTCGTCGCCGCTGACAAACGCCGGCGGAATCATCGCCGATATGTTCTCCGCCTCTCAGCGTGGCCTGGCCATGGGCATGTTCTCCATCGCACCGTTCTTGGGTCCCGTTCTCGGCCCAATCATCGGTGGTTTCCTCGGGATGAACGCAGGTTGGAGATGGGTCGAGGGCTTTCTGGCCATCTTCTCCGGCGTGCTCTGGATAATTGGCACCTTGCTGGTCCCAGAGACATATGCTCCCGTGCTTCTTCGCAAGAGAGCAAACACCCTCTCAAAGCTTTCTGGAAAGGTATATCGCAGCCGCATAGATATCGACCAGGGCCGGGTCACTGTCAGCGAAGCCTTCGCTACCGCCCTCAGCCGCCCCTGGATCCTTCTCTTCCGCGAGCCGATCGTCTTCCTGCTTTCCCTGTATCTCGCCATCGTGTACGGCACCCTGTACATGTTGTTCGGGGCCTTCCCATTCGTGTACCAGCTGATCCGCGGCTGGAATGAGGGCATCGGGGGCCTTGCGTTCTTGGGCGTGCTCGTCGGGATGCTTATCGCTGCCGCCCTGAACATCTTCGACAACAACAGGCGCTACATTCCACTCGCAAAGAAACACCATGGGTTCGCACCGCCTGAGGCCCGCTTGCCTCCGTCCATGATCGGCGGCATTGCCATTCCCATCGGTCTTTTCTGGTTCGCATGGACCAACTATCCCTCCATCCACTGGCTCGCGTCCATCGCCGCCGGCGTTCCCTTTGGTTTCGGCATGGTCCTCGTCTTCCTGGGCGTGATGAACTATCTTATCGACTCGTACACCATCTATGCAGCCTCAGTTCTTGCCGCAAACTCGGTTCTGAGATCCCTCTTCGGCGCTGCTTTCCCGCTGTTCACACGATACATGTATGAAGACCTTGGGATTCACTGGGCATCCAGTATCCCTGCGTTCCTGGCACTTGCATGCGTTCCGTTCCCATTCCTTCTCTTCAAGTACGGCGCGACGATTCGAAAGAAGTGTAAATTCGCTGCCGACGCCGAAGCGTTCATGCGCCGCCTGCAGGAATCGAGTCTCCAGCAAACGGAAGAAGCTCTCAAGAAGGCGGAGGAGGAGGAGGAGGAGAAGGAAGAAGAAGAAGAAGAGGAGGAGGAAGCGTCGCGCGAATTTGGACTCAAAGAAGACGAGAAAGCTGGCCAGCCCGGATCCGCCGACGAAGGTGCAGGACAACGGGACTATGTTCTCGAACCGATTCGGTCTATTAGCAGACAGCAAACACACAGAACCCACAGGACACACAGAACCGGCTCTATAGCGTCGAGGCTGTCTGAGACGTTCAGTGAATACGAGGGTAACCCGTTCGACATCGACCGGGTGAACACTCGGACGTCGGTCACATCGGCACGAAGAACGTCGATGTCGGGGAAGTGAAGGACGCGAAGGGCAGAAAATAAATATAAATATTGCTATATCTATATATATATGTATGTAATTAAACACCCGACAATGGACACGGGTTATTTTTCACAATCTGTTTAAATTCCCCTTGAGATGTTACTTAGTTACCTCTTGGCTGGCGTGCTTTTTTTGATACCTTCTTTGTAATTTTAGCTATTCTCTCAAAACTTCTTTCTTTCTTTCTTTCTTTCTTTTTTTTTTTTTTTTTTCAATTTTAATTTTTCTTAACTTTGAACTGAGATCAGCGTCGAACATATTAGTTGATGAACTGCAATGCTCAGTGGTCACTGATCCATTCCATATGGCCGTTGAACATGAGAGTTGAAAGTTGGCTCGTGTGTTTCTCATTTCGAGAATATTGGCGGTCAAAGCTTTTCCCACAGCTCTTCACTGTTGCACAGACTAAGTTAACTAAAATGCGAAACTAAGTTAACGAACTATACGCAGCCTAGAAGATCAACTTTCCGCTGGCCCGTTCCCTTTTGCACCGATCTCCATACCGAGGAAACGGATTGACTTCCAGATCTTCCTGTCGGCATCTCCATCCTTTGTCCGGGGTAACTAACTAGTTAGTTAATTATGAGCTATCAACTTTCGCTGCCCGACAGCATCCTCCTCAACAACCGCGGCTCGAATGGTGTCTATGGGATCGACTGGATAGTCGGAAGTTCAAGCTGCGCGTAATGGAAACTCTTTTACGTAACTCTCAGGAGAAAGGAAATGTTTCCCATGGAGCATTTTGGATGCCCTGCAGCCTTATGGATCACTGCGTTCCCGTGTCTTCAATTAATCAGTCACAGTCTTCCTGCGTCGAGACGACAAACCAGATTTGACGCGGATCCACTGGGCTAATTTATGTACTGTCTCTGCAAGCGATTACCAGGTGTGATGTTTTCAAATATCTGCATGGATGTGAGTGAGTTCCGCACATTGAAGACCCGCATGCAGAAAACATTTCCCGATCGATGGGAGATCTTCAGCGAGCATGGACGAATGGCTGGTTACTAGACATCGCCTTTCCCCCGACACACTACAAGCGTTTAGCGGAATTTGCTGATCGGAATACTGCAGGGCGATAATGGATCGGGATCGGACACACATCGCATCGCTACGAGCTGCCGCATTGACGCACCACCGGTCGTCCCCTGGCCAGTGTCCCAGGCTAGAATAACGCGTCCGTGTTTGAGAGACTTTTTTTTTAAAAACCAACCGTCTTACGGAGTACTTGCAGAGGGGACCTTGGGAAGGCGACGGAGGAGACACTGGGCAACGGGACGGCCACCAGGGGTCTCACGTCCTCTCACTCGCTGGCGGTGTGACAAAAGACCAGCTATCCCTCCAGTCGGCGTTTCGTGTTTCTTTTCTCAAGGCGTCCGTGGGCAATCTGTCGAGTTACACTGCGTCTAAGAACCCTCGAGGTAGCCAGGGTGTTTGAGTTGACGAGGTCCGGTGCGATGCTAATTGCATATCCTGATTGGATACGGTGGTCTAGGGTCCCGGCTCCAGGATATGCTTGTGTGCATGTGTGCGTGTGTGTGTGTGTGTGCGTCTGGATCTATCTGTGTACGAGGGAAGCTCTGGTCCAAGTTAAGAGTAAACTCGAACCATGTTCCCACCTAAGCTCCATGTTTCACCGTCCTCGAGCGCAGAAAGGCAGCCTGTGGCCACGGCCATGCACCCTCTCTCTCTTTTGGTATGGGGAGCCTGCCCCGTTCGCGACGACACGGCAACTCGGACATGCAAAAGAAATAGTTGACAGAATTTGCATCCCGACCGAACAAAAGTGGGGATTATCGTTGATACGGAGCCGACGAGCGGATGACTAATCAAGAAGAGTAACTAGTCTTGGCGAGCGGCGATAGGCGGGGTTAAAGGCTGGCAGAAACTCCGTGCGAGCAGTTTGGGTGGAGAGAGAATGTGTGTTTGTGTCATTTTTTTTCCAGAAATTGACTTGATGTGGAGGCTAGACAACGACTTGAAAACTCAAACACAAACCCCGCGACGGAAGTGCCAAAACATGGATGGGCGGAATTCAAGAATGTGTGAAGGACCGGGAGAAGAGTTGTCAAAAGATGCAATTCCACGGCGTTCGCGTCCCCTTTTTTAAGAGGCGCGAACCATCGCGAGCTGGGGCGGGCGGGCCAGAGGAAGGAGGACAGCGGTTAATTGGGCGGGGGAACCGACGGGCGAACGCTCCTTTTCGGCCGGTTAACGCTCTTTCGCTTTCCCCACGACGGAGCAGCGGAAAGAGAGTAAAAAGAGAGAGAGAGAGAGAGTTCTACACACAGACCACGGAATCAGCGGGCAAGGTTTGTGTGGGGTTGAGTTTGCGTCCCTGTCCGGCTTACCGGCGTCCTGCATTGCAAATGTCTCTCTTCCCTTACATCATTACCCAAGTACTCTCTCTCTCCCTCTCTCCGTACTCTCCGGTACTCCCTGTACCATCCATACATACATACATTTGTACATTCATACGTTTGTGCATACATTCATACATACATTCATTCATTCATACGTTTGTACTGAGTATAAAACGGGGTCGGGATAAGAGGCAGGAGCAGCCCTCTCTCCCAGTTTCTGCCCCTGTCCTACCCCCGAAGAGGAAAGTACCTGCGAGCCGCCCCGGGGATGGGAAGGGAAAGAGCAAAAAAAAGTTGACTTTTACCCCACCTTTGAACCAAAATCCCCGCCGAAACTGCTGCCCCCCCCTTCCCTTGCCCTTCCCTTCCCTGGGTGTGTGTTCTCGTCGTGTTTTTTGCGCCTTCCCCCGCTCCCCCTCCTTTCCTTTTATTTGTTGTATTGCCGGTTCATATTTTAAGGATCGACCCAGCAGCTTGCCAACCTTCCTCTACTCTCTCTCTCTCTCTCTCTCTCTCTCTCTCTTCTTCTTCTTCTTTCTCTCTCTGTTCCTTTTTCTTTTCTCTTCCACCTTCACTCCTCAAATCTCTTCTCTTCCCCTGCTTCATCCTCAATCTCTTCTCTTCCCCTGCTTCATCCTCAATCACCCTCCACTCCACAGCAACAATGGCTCTCTTCCAGAAGATCGAAACCCCCTCCTGCACATACGAACAGCCCCTCGGCTTGTGAGTGCTGGCCCCCTTCCTTCAAAATCACTGAATTCACCGCTAATCCCCGGGGCCGTCCAGGTTCATCAACAATGAGTTCGTCAAGGGTGTAGAGGGCAAGACCTTCGAGACCATCAACCCTCACAACGAGAAACCCATCGTCGCCGTCCACGAGGCTACCGAGAAGGATGTCGACATCGCCGTCGCTGCCGCCCGCAAGGCCTTTGAGGGCGAGTGGAAGAAGGTCACCCCCACCGACCGTGGACGCATGCTCAACAAGCTCGCCGACCTGCTCGAGCAGCACTGTGACACCCTCGCCGCCATCGAGGCCCTCGATAACGGCAAGGCCGTCTCCATGGCGAAAGTCGACGTCGCCAACTCCGCCGGCTGCATCAGATACTACGGTGGCTGGGCCGACAAGCTCCACGGCAAGGTCGTCGACACCGACCACGAGACCTTCAACTACACCCGCCACGAGGCCGTCGGCGTCTGCGGCCAGATCATCCCCTGGAACTTCCCCCTCCTGATGTGGGCATGGAAGATCGCCCCCGCCCTCGCCACCGGTAACACAATCGTCCTCAAGTCCGCAGAGCAGACCCCCCTCAGCGCCCTCTACGCCTGCCAGCTCGTCAAGGAGGCCGGCTTCCCACCAGGCGTCCTCAACGTCATCTCCGGCTTCGGCCGTGTCGCCGGTGCCGCCATCTCCTCGCACATGGACATCGACAAGGTCGCCTTCACCGGCTCCACCCTCGTCGGCCGTCAGATCCTCCAGGCCGCCGCCAAGAGCAACCTCAAGAAGGTCACCCTCGAACTCGGTGGCAAGTCCCCCAACATCGTCTTCAACGACGCAGACATCGACAACGCCATCTCTTGGGTCAACTTCGGTATCTATTTCAACCACGGCCAGTGCTGCTGTGCCGGCAGCCGTATTCTCGTCCAGGAGGGCATCTATGAGGACTTCCTCCAGCGCTTCAAGGAACGTGCCATGAAGAACAAGGTCGGCGACCCATTCAACCCTGATACCTTCCAGGGACCACAGATCTCCCAGCTCCAGTTCGACCGCGTCATGGGCTACATCGACCAGGGAAAGAAGGCTGGCGCCAAGGTAGAGATCGGCGGTGAACGCCTCGGCACCGAAGGATACTACATCCAGCCCACCATCTTCAGCAATGTCAACGAAGATATGAGCATCGTCAAGGAGGAGATCTTCGGCCCTGTCTGCTCGATCCAGACATTCAAGACCGAGGAGGATGCCATCAAGATCGCCAACGGTACCAGCTATGGTGAGGACCCATTCTCTCTCTCTCTCTCTCTCTCTCTCTCTCTCTCTCTCTCTCTCTCTCTCTCTTTTTTTCTTTCTTTCTTCTTTTTATTCTTTTCTTTTCTTTTTGTTTTTTTATTGTGCGAGAGTGATTTTCGTGGTGACTGACTCTTATGATCTTGCTAGGTCTTGCGGCTGCCATCCACACCAAGGACTTGAACACTGCCATCCGCGTCTCCAACGAAATCAGAGCAGGGTGAGTCGAAGAAGAAAGAGAATGAAATCGATATTCCCCGGATACATTCTCTTCATCTTCTTTTATTTTCCTTTTTTTTTTCTCCCTTCTTCTCGAGAGCAAGAATTGGCTGACGAGGATGTAGAACCGTCTGGGTGAACTGCTACAACCTCCTCTCGTACCAGACGCCGTTTGGTGGCTTCAAGGAGTCCGGTCTGGGCCGTGAGCTGGGCGGTAAGTGATTCTTTTTTTTTTTTTTTTTTTTTTTTTTTTAATTTTTGTTCACGCAAGCGGTTGGGACAGCGGTCTGACTGGTATGGGGTTTCTGCAGAATACGCTCTCGATAACTACACGCAGGTCAAGGCCGTCCGCATCCGTCTCGGAGACGCGATGTTTGGTTGAGCGGAGCAGCTAGCTCTGTAGTTCGGAATGGGGGTTTGTGAAATTGGGGCCCTGTTCCTGCTGTTGTTTCTTCACCAGGTTGTATCTTAGCAAGCATCATCGGGTTGTTCTCGCTATATCATGAAATTAATGTTGTTATGACGAAGAAAATACCATTGTAGTGAAAGTACACCTGCAGAGTGGTTGTGTTGTGAGTTGTTGTGTTGTGAGTTGTTGTGTTGTGAGTTGTTGTGTTGTGAGTTGTTGTGTTGTGAGTTGTTGTGTTGTGAGTTGTTGTGTTGTGAGTTGTTGTGTTGTGAGTTGTTGTGTTGTGAGTTGTTGTGTTGTGAGTTGTTGTGTTGTGAGTTGTTGTGGTGTTGTTGTAGTGTCTGAGTGGGAATGTATGAGAGAGATCCCGCTAGGGAGTTATTTTAATTTTTTTTTTTTATTTTTTTTAACGTGGTTTAAAAGTGTATTTGGGATGAGAGTTGCTTAACTTAGCTGTGATGGCCTAAATGGAAGACTGTCTGCTCAACACCCGCAGCCAACCCATGAATTCTGCTTAGTCAGAAAGGACGAGACGGTGCCTGGTTCGAATCCCGGAGTCGCGACCCGGGCGTGGTCTTATTTAATGGACCGCGTCTCTTCTGGTTCTCCCACACTCGTGCGAGCAATCCACGAACGGCTGTGGCGCGCTAGGCAATGGAGGCGACACTTGAGGGAAGCAATTCTGCAGAGACACCTCCACTCCGGGATGGCGGCACCAGATCACACCGGCTGTTCACTGTGGGTTGGCCGTGGATTCTGGACGGTCAACTTTTTTTTGTATTTTTCTCTCTTTTTTTTTTTTTTTTTTTTATTTTTCCCCTTAAACCTTCTCCCCCACATACTGTAACTACACACGTTTGTCGGATGAAGTATGGAGTAGTTACGGGGTACATACATCCTTTCGTTTCCATTCAATCTCTTTAGTTAACTGAGATAGTTGTCGAATTTGTCCTTTCTTTTTTTTCTTTTTTATTTTTTTTTTTTCGTTCTTCCTGCGATGCTCCCTCTGACATCGTACCGGAATACGAGCCTGCCACTTGAGACTTACCCGCTGCCGAAGATTCCGCTAAACGGCGCGATCGGCGCAGGCATGATGTGTCGCACTCCCAGGGTTCCGCGCTGCCTGGCCCTCCAGTTGTGTTCCAATCATGTCTTTTCATACTCCTCCCTCCGCTCCCGTTGTCGCCAGCTGACAGTCTTACCCCGTTCCCCCGTCTTCTCCTCCTCCAGCTGAAGTGCAAAAGCCCATTCAAAATGGTCAAATACTACCCGTCCATCAGCCCAGACTTCCAGGACTGGATCCTCGCCCAGCCCGTCTTCTTCGTCGCCTCCGCTCCCTTGACCGGGAAACACATCAACGTCTCCCCCAAGGGCCTCCCCTCCTCCTCCCTGTCCGTCCTCAACCCCAACGAGGTCGCCTACATCGATTCGACGGGCTCCGGCAACGAGACTCTCAGCCACATCCGCGAGAATGGACGGTGCACGATCATGTTCTGCTCGTTCGACGTGAGCCCGCGGATCATGAGGCTGTTCTGCCGCGGGGAGGTCGCCGAGTGGAACGAGCCTGCCTTCCAGACGATGCTCGGGAGGATGGCGTTGGAGAAGGAGTTCGTGCAGGGGGCGCGGGCGGTGATGAGGTTGGATGTTTTCAAGGTATGGTGGCCATACTCCACAGAAAGACCAACACCTAGTCAATGTCCCCTTCTTCTTTTTTGTGTGACCTCATATGGAATATATATATCCTCCTTGTGTAGGTCCAAACATCGTGTGGGTTCGGTGTCCCCCGCCTCGCACTGACCACCGATCCCAAAACCAACGAGCCGAAACCCTACCTGGAAGACCGACGCGCCCTCGGTCACTTCGCCGCAGTGGTAGTGGCGAAGAACCAAATTCACACATACCAGCGAGATTTCAATGCCGACAGCCTCGATGGCCTCCCGGGTATGAAGGCCGCCATGAGAGATCGTGGGATGCGGGCCGTTGATGCCCGCATATGGCTATGTAGACAGCGAAGGGCCCTGGAGCTGGTCGGGGTGACTCTGTTGTCGATAGGTTTGACGGTGGCGGTGATGTGGGTAAATGGGTGGACGAGGTTCTGATGATAAGATGATTATTATATGATTGTTATATACCTAGTACCTCTACCCCCGTAGTTAGCGCTCTTTACGATATGATGCCTTTGATGATTGAATTCGGACAACCGTTACCTACCTATCCATCCATCCATTAGATGACACCGGCGCATTGGCCCCCAGTTGGCATACTTTGACAGGGTTATATTTTACTCTGTTAGGAAAAAAGTAAGCGGCTAATTTTTTTTCTTGTTAGATTAAGTTGTCCGAAGCTACAAAATATCCCGGTAAGTTAGCTGTCAACCAATCCATCACTGTCTGCTCAGTACGCATGTATCTCACACCATCACAATCTGTTTGGATAGCGACAACGATGACAACCCAAGACTAATAATATGTCATTGCACCTTCGCATGAATTGATTGAACCCTTCGAGTACCTCGACTCGAGAAGCTAGGTATTTAGCTAGCCAACTGTCTGGTCCCCTTGCCTTGCCTCCAAAGTGGAAATGTAAATCCGAGCCGAGTTGTTTTTGGCCTTCAACATCGCTTCCAAGCCACCATGGAAGCGAAGTTCAAGCTCTTGTCCTGAGAGAGCTACATCTCGGTTCGCTGCTTGCAAACTTGTATATGGAGACATCATCGGAAACTGAATTCCATGGTTCCGCCGCTGAACACCATCAGACATCTCCGCTGCTGGGGAATGGTGAGGATTTAGCTCCATAGCTAACCCCTCAATCGGTCCCGTCTGGAGGATACATAGTACCCCCACAATACCACCTTCAGATGAGCTGCTCCGACTGGACGACTGGTTCGTCTGAGAAAAACAGGACAGGAATGAAATGGGCCGCCTCAGCCTTGAGGAGGGTCCGATTCCCGTTTCACTATGGGATCTCCCGTGCACCATGGTTACTCCAGGGTGCCGAAAACTACAGCCATTCCCGCTCTACGCCAATGCCGAGATAGCCTCGGATTGGGAATGCCGAATGGAGAACGGAGCTATTATATTATAACAATATGTCTCCATCATATGAATTTGATTTTGGAAAGGATGACGATTGAATAACCCATCTCAATTGCTGTAACCTTGCTGGCAAAACAGAAACTATGGCAGCCCAGAGTAGAAGACCTATCCGGATAGCAGGTAAAGATATCGATTCGTTTCTGCTTTCCATCGAGGGGCTTAGAACGGCGTTAACTCGTTTAAACAGGAGCATCCGGCTCTGCGTCCGACCGCCGTCATGCGATGGCCGAATTCGCGCGGAATTATCCCAAGGATCCGGTCGACGTTATCATATCAGACTACATGAGCGAATACAACATGGCTGTGGCTGCAGCCCGGCGGGTTGATCAGAAAACTGTGTCTTCCGCAGAAGCTGGCCTGATCAACGTCTCCGGCGGTCCGGCATATGAACCTTCATTCCTGGAGGCCCTCGAGCCAGCACTGGAAGATCTGGCTAGATATAAAATCAAGATTGCGGTAAATGCTGGCGTGACGGATACGAAAGCTCTCTACGATGTGGTTGCGGAAATGGTTAGAGAAAAGGGACTTGATCTAAAGGTATGACACACTGCATTACAGACTCTTATGCCTTTTGATGCTCAGCAATTAGGTTGCATGGATATCCGGTGATGAAGTCCTTCCCGCCGTGAAAGAAGCCCTGGCCTCTGGAAAATCGACTTTTAAAAACATCTACACCGGCGAGACGCTAGATAAATGGGATTTCGAGCCTATTTATGCCCAGGGGTATTTGGGCGGAATGGGAATCGCTGCTGCATTTTCCAAGGGTGCTGATATCGTTCTCTGTGGTCGCGTTTCTGATGCTTCTCCGGTCATCGGTGCGGCGCTCTGGTGGCATAGTTGGGCAAGGTCCGATCTTGACAAGCTCGCAAATGCCTTCGTAGCGGGCCATCTTATCGAGTGCAGCAATTATGTCTGTGGTGGTAACTTCACTGGCTTCAAGAGTTTGGAGAATGCTGGAGGGGACGGCTGGACTAATATCGGCTACCCTATTGCTGAGATCTCGTCCGAGGGCCAAGTTATTATCACGAAGCAATCTTATTCCACTGGTGGAGCAGTTACGATTGATACTTGCTCGTCCCAGTTGCTCTACGAGATCCAAGGGCCGATCTACTACAACTCAGATGTCACGGCTATACTATCCGATATTCACTTCGAGCAAATAGGTCGCAACCGGGTCGCTGTTAAAGGCGTCAAGTCTGCCCTGCCCCCGCCAACAACAAAGGTAGGCCTCACGGCCAGAGGAGGATACCAAGCAGAGGTTATCTACTTCATGGTAGGACTAGATATCCCGTCCAAAGCGAGAATGCTGGAGGCACAGATTCGGCGACTCCTTGCCCCTTATTCGAAGAACTTTACTGTTTTCAACTTCTCGGTCCTGGGTACTTGCCCAGACGATCCTCAAGACCAGAACAGCGCGACGGCCACATTCCGCGTCCTCGCACAGGCTCCCCGTGCTGAGGATCTCGCACCGACGAAATTCGTTCGCCAGATCATAGACAATGTCATGCAAGGCTATCCCGGCGCTACATTCCACCTCGATCTCCGTCAAGGATTCCCCAAGCCTGTCTTTGAATACTATGTCACTCTCCTTCCCCAGTCAGACGTGCAGCACCAAGCGCATCTTCCCTGGCTCAATACCGTCCTCGACATTGCACCCCCATCGGAGACAAAAGTCTGGCCCGCACAGCAGCCTACTCAACCGGTAACGGGCCGGCTAGCCAACGTTCTCACGGATTTTGGGCCAACGATTCGGGCGCCGCTCGGCTCCATAGTGCACGCACGTTCGGGCGACAAGGGTTCTGATGCCAACTGTGGCTTCTGGGTCCGTCACGCCGACGAATACACCTGGCTGCGAAGCCTCTTATCTGTCGATAAGGCGCGGGAGCTTCTCGGTAGGGAGTGGCGTGAAGACGGCACGATGAGCATCGAGCGCTTTGAATTGCCGAATCTGCGTGGTGTACATTTCCTGTTTAGAAATCTGCTAGATCGCGGAGTTGGAATCACCAGCACGGTAGACTTCTTGGGGAAGAACGTCGCGGAGTATTTGAGGGCGAGATGGGTGGATATACCGGTGAAATTTTTGAACAGGGGGAAGTTGTGATGTAAACAAAGTGATATGATAATATGATTTTATGTTTCCCTTTGATTATTTGACATATACATCTTTGGGTTCTTTTGCTGTGAGAAATGATATAATTGTGAACGCCCCTTTGTTTCCCTTGACTTTGATCTCCAAAAACTCCGAACATTACCGGGGCACAAGGACTATCTCCTCCGACTCCTAATACTAGCCGGCTGCACAGGCTCAAACGCTTCGTCATCTTCGTCATCCTCAATATCGCTAATCACAATGTTCTTTTTCGCCGCGGCGCTTCGCGTTGGGCGTCTACCTACTCCGCTAACATTACTCGATCTAGTGATTGTCTGACTTTGACTTGGCTGAGAGGTACGAGCCAAGTTCAGAGTTGTTTGTTTTGAGCGGGTAGCGGCTGTGGAGCGCGCGGGAGCCTTGCGAGTTGATGCGGTCGTGGTTGTAGATGATGTCTTGCGGCTTCGTGAAGATGGAGCTGGAACAGGAGAGCGGGGTGTTGTTCGGAGGGGCCGTGAGAAGAAGGCATTGCTGGCTTCCGACGCCGAGTTATCGATGGCGTCGTCTTGTACAAACAAATCATCATGACCAGGCTCTTCGTCGTCGTCCTCATCGTCGGGCATAACTTGTCGGCTTCGAACGCGTGTCGATGCCGTCGTTGTCTTACCCCTGGATGATGCGGCACCGCGTCCTCTGCCTCCTCTGCCGCCTCGACCGCCTCTAGTACCGCGAGTCGAAGTGGCAGAGGCAGCTCCTCGTCTCCGGCTGGTGGCAGGCGCTTCATTATCATCATCATCTTCTTCTTCTTCCTCTTCTCCCGCATTCTGAGCCCCCTCAACATCTGAATGGATCAGAGCACCTGGTTGATCCTCCCACGGGCCGTCAAAATCACTATCCCACAAATCAGGCTTTGGCTTGAACCTCCTCCTGCCTCCTCTTCTTTTGCCCTTGCCCCTAGAAAAGTGTTCTTCCAGTTGCTCACGATATTTGTCCATGGCGGCCTGCAAACTCTGCTGTGCTTCTTCTTCATCGTACTCGGCATCTCCCTCTTCGTTCTCCCGATCTAGATCCATCAAGTGTTTTATTTGACTTTCAAGCGACTCGTTGACGAACATTTCCATGGCATGTTTATCGTCCTTGTCGACAAACTGAGAAACCGCGTCTCCAAAGGAGTTTTGTGGGAGGATAGTCAGCGACTGAGCAGTCAAAAACTCGCGGACGAGTCGTTCGACTTTGACGGTGTCCAAGGAGGAGAGTTGAGATAATATAGTTTCACCAGGGGCATCCGTTTTGCCGCGAGCAGCTGTCGTGGCTTTCTTTTTCCGGTGGAATTGCACGACGTCGTTGACATTAGCCACTCTACCAACGAATCGGTTCGAGAAGCGCTGGGGGTTTTCGCAGTCGAAACTGCCTCCTTCGGGGGTGGAAGTGTCTACACGAAGCCGGACCAGCGGCAAAGGTATCTCTGATTCATCTCCGTCGAAATCGTCTTGTGATGCGAGCCAGTCATTTTTGGCCTTTTCTATGAGTTCGTCCACGAGACCCATCAAAAATCGTGTGAGCTCCGTGCGGTTATTTTCCTTTCTCAGGAGCCGTTGAGCCTCCTTCTCTTCACTCAGAACGATTTCTTTCATCACGAACGGGCGTACGGTCTTCAGGGGGATGGGTTCGCATTTGAAATCACGCCCAGTGATGCTGAGAATGGCGACATGTTTGGGAACCGCTTCACCAGGAACTAAAGAGGTCGCAACAGAAGAACCTGGTTGCATAACGTGGAATTTCGTTTCTGGATTGAAGCGAGGATTTATCAGACATTCGTGTTCGTGGCCCCAAATGACGAGGTCCATAAATCCTGGTAGAAATGTCTCGGGGAGGTAACTTGTCTCTGTGTATGCGTGATGGTTTTGATGAACGCTCATAAGATTAAACCAGTCACCCTGTTGTATAGACGGGCGAAAGAATTTGACCTTTCCATCTCGGAAAGTTCGAAAGAGCCGCTCATCCCTTACGTTGCTCAAACCGTACAAAGCTAATTTCGTGCGGCCTTTCTGGAGCAGGACGGGCTTGACCTGGATATTGTCGGACTCCGGCGTCCGTCCATAGTAGTTTAGCAGGCCAGACATCTGCAGGATATCTAACGCTGCCAAATGGCCCTCCCCGGAGGGGTCATCGTGGTTCCCGTGTATTGAAAACACGGGAATGGCAACATTGATGTCCAGATCCTCGTAGTTTACATGATTAAACGGCCCCTGGAAATTCTCGCTGGCATCGCTCAGCATCTCCAGCTCGCACGGCTTATCACCGTAGCAGTTCATTCGCAGAGAGCGCATGACCTGATACATGGACTTCCGCGACGGCTGGTTCTCATGGAACAGGTCGCCGGCGAGCAGCACCATGTCGACGTCGCGATCCTTGGCGAGGCACATGACTTCATGGAAGGATTTCCAGGAGTCGTCTCCACGGATGGGGTCACGCTCATTGTATCCGACATGGTTGTCGGTTGAGACGAGAATGCGTATCGTATCAACTTCTGCGTAGGGTCAGTGGGTAGCCAACTTAAGGTGTTGGGGGATTATGGAGCAGTACCTCCGAGCGACATGACGAATAACTCGAAATAGAGAAGTCAAATGTGCTGCGCAGATTTTAGATTCTCATAAATGGCCAGGAGCTTCAAGAAGTACTGTCATGGGACCCCCTTTTGGATATTTGCCGCCGATTGTTGGAGTTCGTTTTAAGACGCGCGAATATGGACGCGACGGGCTTTTAGTAGCCTCAAGTTTACCGGACGACTTCTACAAGGAGTACAGAAGGTTGCGTCCAGAAGCAGTGAGCCTTGGGAAGAAGTACATACGTCTACCATGCGCATGTCGCACACACACAGAGAGAGAGAGAGGCTGTCTCGTCGATATTCCCGCCGTCGCCGTCACCAGGCAGAAGGGCGTCCAAGTCGGGAGCCACGTGACCACAGCGCAACGTCCACTTTAAAGGCTTCAGCTCCCTTTTTGGCGTCGCGACGAACACAAGAGTTTCGTTCTTCTTCCTCGCATCAACCCAGCACATCCACGGCGCCGTCGACACAGCGATCAGAAGCACGCATCTCTCCCTGTGACTGGACCGGAACCAACTCCTGGCTCAGTCTCTCTCGCTCCATCCAGCTCTCCCTTTCCTATTCTTTTATGCAACCAGAGATCGTCCACCTCATCCAGAATCGCGTCCCTGAAGACCCGGCCCCCAACAACCCAGCATCCCTCGCCCAGCATGGAAACCTTCTCTCTGATCACTCTGGCCCCAACTGCCTCTCCCATGGAGATGGCGGCGACCGAGAACCTGTTGGCGACACAGTCTCCGACAGGTCTTCGGTCGCTATCCTCCCTGGCACCGATGACTCAGTGTCGTGTTCGATAGACTCTCCCAAGCAGGACACACCAGCGCGGCCTGTCGATCGAGTCATCGAGTACGAGAATACCTGGATCCCTTCGCCAAAGGGCACAGAGCAGCTGGGGTTCAAAGTGATCCCGTCTCGCATCAACGGGCCCATTCCACTATCAGTCGAGAACTTCCCAAATGGTGCGGCGTCTAGAACGAGGAGCGACCTCTTCCTTTTTGCCTTGCTGATTTGACTACAGAGGTCCTAACTCACATCCTGTCGCATCTCCCTCCGGCGTCGCTCTCTTCCATGAGCCTCGTCAATCGGCGGTTCCACAGCCTCGTGACCACGCCGCATGCCTGGAGAATTGCATTTTCACGCTACTTTCCCGGCCCTGCTGCTATCGAAGCCCAGAGGGGAAGACTTGATTCCGACGAATTCGAGCACCTCCTCTTGCGGAAACGTACGTTCTGCCGGCTGACGGCTCTGGCGTCGTGGAGAAATGAATACATCCTGAGGACACGCCTGCTGAGGTCGCTGGCTAGAGGTAGACCAGCACAATATCAGCCATCAGGCCAACAAGCATCACCGCGTACTGGACCGGCTTCCTCGGGCTTGGCGACCTACAACTCTCTTTTACTGTACCCGGTCTCTCACATTGACGGTGCTTTTGGTTCAGGTTCGGAAAAGAAGCCAGCCATGTTTGTACATGGAGCAAGAGAGCAAGGGATTGCTTCCGCAAGTGACCCCACGGCTAGCAAGGCAGGTCTTGGTGCATGGGGCATCTCGGACCCTCAAATGTTCAACCATTTCGCGGATTTATTCCCCGGTGAGTCCCAGTGGGGTCTCGGTGCCGGAGAGTTCGTGGGTCTTCCGAACGTGATGGACGTAAGCCAGCAATACGGATTGGTGTATGGAGAGGGTTGTCCTCGTGGTCGCACGTATTTTCTCTCCTCGAACGAGAAGCGAGGCCGTTTTTTGTCCCTGACAGATTCGGAGACTCGTTCTCAACCGCAACTTGGAATCCCCAAGCTAGTCCCGGTGACTACCAGTATCTGCTCTGTCTGGATTGCGAAATCGCCACAGATTTTGAATATCACGAATGGACTTTGTGGTATTCTAGCGGGAACTTCAACTGGCGTTCTTACAGCCTATGCCATCGGCCCCAATCACTCTTACAACCAACGCTATGAGCGAGGGCAGGTCACAGCAAGATGGGTTCTTTGTCCCGGAGTGCCCATTATAGCGATTCGCGTTGACGACAATTTCTCTACCAAGCGACACGCGTACCGTCGCATTTGGGCTGTCGTCTTGAATGCACTCGGTGAGGTATTCTATCTTACCGAAATCCCTCTGCAAAGAGAGACCAACCCCAAACCCACGCCCGAACAGCTAGATCAATTAGCCTGGGAAACTGGAAGAACTGTTCGCTGGGAACTCGTTGAAGCGACTAGACGTGTTGCGCGACCGGACCCATTCAATACACAGCTTGTTGACGGTAGCTATACTCCAAGATCTTCTAGCTGCTCTATGGGCCTTACTGCCGCACAAATTGCCGCAGAGACCGCCGAAGTCGAGCAGTACTTGTCCTTCAAACCCAAGCATTTCAGCAAAGTATGCGAAGGATGGGATATGCAGCGGAAACTAGAAGTTGATTTTGCGGGCGATGACAACCATGGCGCTGGAGAATCAATCACCGTAATTACTTGCGGTGTTACACCCAAGCAACCCGTATCCCTGAAACGGTTTACACGTCTCAAGTTCAGCTCTGCTCTGCCGGCTGTGCAGCATGAAACTTTCCCTCGCGTCCAGTCTGCCGTCAGGCATTCATCAATATTCGGAGGCCCAGAACTCATATCGTCAGCCAGCGTGCCTCACACGCCGGCATTGAGTGACGACAGCGGATCTCAAGCAGCTCTGGCAACAGCCATCTGGACAGTATCAAAACTGACACTTGATTTGCCCAGAATGGCCCAAATCACCACCGCTGCTCTAGATATGTCAACTATCGCTAAATTAACGGTCTCGGAAGATCCACTTCTCAGCATGTGTGGTGACTCTGACTCCTCAGAGACATCTACTCCCCTCTCAGGCTTGAACGAGTCATCAGTCCCTTCACAGATCCCTGGTCATCGGGCCCGATTCATCGCCGTTGGCACGTCTACCGGTACTGTCATTGTCTGGAACATCAGATCTCCCGTTTCTCCGAACGCTGAGATAAGTAATAACCTTGAACCAATTCGGGTCATCAATACCGATTCTCCCCAAGTATCTTGTATCGCCCTGACTTCTCTTTATTTGGTCCATGGCGGCAATGATGGTCTGGTCCAAGCATGGGATCTCCTTGCATCTTCACTACAGCCCATCCGCACGATTAATTCACGATTCTCCTCGAGAGCACGCCGCCGCCTTCAGCAAGCTGAGGCAACTGTGCAAGGAGTTGGGCACAATTTTTTCGCTGCGGGAGCTATATGCCTTGATCCAGATTCAACACGTCTCCGAGGCATCGTGTCTCTGGGAACCCAATTGCGCTACTGGTCATACAGTTCATTTGCAGCAGATCAATATAAGAGTAACAAACGCCGTTTACGATATTCGCAGCGTAGAGGTAACCGTTCGCCGGAAGTTGATCGTTATTCACATACTGGACGCGGTGCATTACAGGATTTTATCATGGATGAGCGTCTCGAACTGGAAAGACAGAAAAAAGAGCAGGAGAAAGCGAAGAGACATCTCAGCGGCAGATTTGGGGTCGACCTGTTTGGTCCGGGGGCAAGTGAGGACGAGCTCCTTGCCTACGCTTGCATGCTCAGCGAAGAATCGTATACCAGCGATGAAAGGAAGAGAAGGGAAAGCAACAGCAGTGCTGGAGGAAGCTCTTCAAGCGGAACTATTGCTGCACAGCTTCCAATTGGCGCGCATGCAGAACCTTCCATCCTGCCCTCTACACTAGGGCATGGGCTGCCACTCGAGCCTCAAGTCCTGGAGCCGTTGGATGAAGAACTGGAGCCAGATCTCGCAGAAGCCATTCGTCGTAGTTTGGAAGATGCGCTGACATCCTCACCGACGCCTACACCACTGCGTGAAGACAAATTTGAGCCCGTTTTCAACGATCCCGCAGCTGAGCGGTTACCCTCCTTGAGCGACGCTTCCGGTCCTATGGCAGAACGGAGCACCAGCCAGCAAGAAGCTGATGACTTTGAACTTGCACTTCGACTAAGTCTCGCAGAGCAAGAAGGCCAAACATGCGATGTAGATACATTCCAAGAGAGTAGCTCCTTTCTGGAGGACCAACTTGAAGACTTTCCAAGTCTAGATAATGCAGCGGCTTCACGCTCCAGTCATGGACGAAGAGGAAGGGGAAAGGGTAAAGGGAGGGCATGACGCACCATCTATGATCAGACATGAATGAATGGTTTTCGAAGCATTTAAAAGATGGAGGAGAACAAAAAACAAAAAGAAACGCAAAAAATAAGAATCTTTGATATGATGTTTGATTATTTTTTCCTTTTTTTTTAAACTACTTTGAGTGTTGTATTTTTGCCTGTTGATACAGAGTACCTTTGATATAACTAATGAATCGGGACACCTTTTCTTTGGGCTGTTTTGATTTTGTAACGGCAAAAGTGCAACTAAACCCTTCCCTTGCTACTCCGTATACGCACACGTCAACCTCACAGCTACGCGAACCGTATGGCTTTTGACTTGCAAAATCTTTACGCTGAAGCTTTCATCAATGGATGGCCTTCCAGCCAATTGTAGGAGAATGTTGACCTGGTGGATGCTGGTTTCCATGCTGGCTGCATCTATCTGTGGAGAGGTGCAATTTGAATATATGTACAGAGTACACAGATTAGAGCATCCTTGATCCATCGAATTTGCTTTGGAATATCAGCGTTTTCCTGGTCTGTGATTCATAGCATTGTTTCAAGTTTATTGTAAGAACTGAATACAACAAGATTTAATGAATAGTTGCGAACACACACTGGATATAGTTTGATCTAGAATACAGTGCTAGCACGGTCCGAACAATCAGATTAACAGGCAATCTGTGCATACAAACACCTTCGAGTGGGGGGGGAAAAAGGCTCACAGCACAGGACTATTGTGGAGCTAGAACTATTTACAACAAAACACAACTCTGCCTGGCACGACGCAAATGGGGAATCATGGGACACGTGGAGAAAGCAAAGGACCTTGACTATCTTCACTATGCCAGGAGGGCAAAAGCGGCAGCAACAGCGGCAAGCACGGGAGCAGCACTAGCCACGATAGACTTGGCTCCAGCGCCGGTCTGCTGGGAGTTGGAAGGGCCGGTTCTGGATCCTTGGCCTGAGGTGTTTTCACCGGGGGTGTTGGACTGGTCCTCGCCCAAGATCTTGAGCTCCAATCCAGTGATTCTGTTTCCATCCTTGTCCGTCACTTCGGACTCGACCTTGGTCTTCTTGACCTCGACGAGCTTGCCCTTCTTGGCGCCGGAGATACCGCCGTCGAGAAGTGCCTTTCCGCCCTCAGGGAGTTCGGGGAGTTCGAATTTGTTGTAGAAGCCCTTCGATTTGATGAGGCTGGACTTGCACTTTGGTGGTTTGACCTTGGTGGTGCTGGGATCGAGGTTCTGAAGCCTCTTGATGTCAAGCTTGCTGAATTGTCCCATCAAATTGTCATAGTCGACGAGCAGTTTCGCGCTGCCGTCGCCCTCGAGGGAGACAAGGCCATACTCGTTTTCTTCCATGGAGTACTCGTAGACAAGACCGCCGCACATGGCCTCGGTCATCTCCTTGCCGTAGATGGCCTGAACCTCGCTGAAGATGCGGGGCTTGACCTCGTTGCATCCGTACTCGGAGAAGAAGATGGGTAGGGAGGTGCCGGAGAACATCTCAACTAGCTTATCGTATCCACTGGACTTGTAGGTCGCGTCGCCGCACCACGAGTACGAGTTGAGGCCGAAGAAGTCGGAATGACCGTCGTCACCAGCGTCACAGGCGACATATTGCCAGGTGTCTTCCAAGGACTGGCGGATGTCGGCGGCGGAATATCCGACGGGGATCTTACGCGACGAATGCTTTTCGATGTATTGCTTCAAGTCGCGTTGGATAGCCTACAACCGTCAGTTTTAGATTTAATATTCCTTTTTTTTTTTTTTTTTTTTTTTTTTTTGTTGTTGATCTAATGACTTACGCGAATATAAAGCGGAACGTCGTCGGAGGAATCCTCGTTGATGATTTCATTGGCACCGAAGAAACCGAGGAGGTTAGGGTAGTCCTTGAAAGCCTCGACCATGGAGAAGATATGCTTCAAGTATCCCTTGTGGTAGGTTGACGAAGGGTCCTCTCGGTTGATGTGCTGGCCGTAGTCCGGGTTGTTGACATCCACGAGGAGGTAGATACCGGCGGCGTTGAAAATTGAGACGCACTCATCGTGGTTGACGTTCGGGCTGAGATTGTAGATGCGGATGGTGTTGACCTACATAGCGATCGAAGTCAGCTTTTTCGATGCGGATTAGGGGAGCATGCCCAGAATCGGGTACTGACACCGAGTCGCTGGAGGAGAGTGGCGTCGCGAAGGCAGATATCCGCGTCGCTGAGCGGATCTTTGCCGTCCTTGGACTTGTAGCCAGATGAGCCGCCCGGTTGATAACTAACAAGGTTATGAGGGTGAGCGGCACCGATCAACGGCGGGACGGGAAAGACGTGGTTGGCTGCTTACTCGACGCCAATGATCTGGAAGCGATCTTTGGTCTTGCTGTTGACGAACTGCGATCCTTGAACCTCGATGGGGGTGACGGCAGAGACGGTGGACAGCAGGCCAAAGAAGGCCGCGAGAATCTGGAGTTTGCTCTACACGATGAGATGTCAGCGACTGAAACAAAACAGTGATTCAGATGAACTTTTTTTTTTTTTTTGTCACGCACAATGCTCTTCATGATGGCCCTGAAATGCGCGAAACAACTTCTCCCACAGGTGAGGATCTTTTTGAGTGTTTCAGCTTGCAGTCAGGCAACTGGGAAGATGAAAAGAGCAACAAGAAGTGGAGCAATCAAGTAGTGAAAGAATAAACTGAAAAAAAAAAAAAAAAAAAAGAGCGTGAAGAAGAGAAGAGACAGTGAGTGAACAGGAGAGAATAGACACGAAAAGGAGAGACAGCACAGCGCAAAGCGTGTGAGACGGCCGGAGAGATAAAAAGGGAGAGGGAGAGATGAAAAGAAGAGCGTGAAACCGGCGCAGCCACCCGCCCTTGGTTAGTTAAATCTGCTTAGTGAGTTAGTGAGTTGGTTAAAACGGCCCCCTGGGGATGAAGGTCTTGTCTAGCGCCGAAACACCTGCAGTCGATCATCCCCCTGGAAGGAGGCATGTCTTTAATTAATACTTTTTTATTAATTTATGACAATGGCGGAGTTATTCTACCAGGCAAAAAAGGGAGAGATCGCCGAACCGCGCATCACCAGGTCCCATGATTGTTTTAGAGTCTACTCTTGTACTCTGAGTCGAGTGTCTCTTTTCTCTCTGTCAAGATTCCAACACTAACCATAGAGTGCAGTTCGCTCTGTGGTAGTGTAACTGATGATGACCCTTTACCAAATGGCTGGGGTGGTTCCTCACTCACTCTCTACTCTGTGCAGAGTACAGAATACAGGCTGCATTTTCCAGTTGTTCTGGTTAATAGCTTGCAGGTGGCCAGGGAATCATGTTGGAAATAGCCCCGGGATCGCCACCCAAGTGCTATATTTATTATATTGCGTGGAGGAAGAGATGAAATTAGAGTGGCCAACTGAGGCTGACGATCAGCCTTCTGCAGCCCTAAGGATCTGGATCGCATCCCCAGTGTAGGCAGCTTTCACGGATGTTTTACCTTGAAAAGCATACCGGAGAACACCCTTTATCGGTGTGAAATGCAATATGATATATCTACCAAGGTGACGTGGGACCAGTGGGCAGCGAGAAGAGCAGATGAACCCATAGAGTGGCGGATACAGCATCCTGTGTCCCATGCCGAAAAAAAGAAGACCATTCTTTTTATTGTTCACTAAAATACACTGCAAATCCCCAACAATGCCTGGCCGAGCTGCAAAGAAAAATCACTCACAGAGGGTCCGTCCTAAGAACACAGCAGAAGACAAAAAATGAAGAACCGAATGGAATCCCTGCTCCGAGGCCAATGCCAAGTTTTCGTACCACAGAAGAAAGAATTTGCTGCCATCGAAGGACGATAAAAGATGTACAGTAGTGGAGATTGGAGCGGATATCGTAGATGCAAGTCCAGCGCTCGTCCTGCCGCGCGCCCCCCCCCCCCGCCACGGTAAATACATATACCATCGAACAGGTGGACGGCGCTACTATTATTTAATTCCCGGGTGGGTCGTCGTCAGGACTTCGGTGTCGGGTGTTTTATTCGACGTTTTGGCTGTCCATCCCGGGATCGCTGGTGAAAGAGCCCAACTTCAGCGAGGAGTCCATCGCGATCATCTCTGCTAGGATCTCGATGATGTCCTTGGGTACCGTCCTGTCGTAGATCGCGATCAGGTCCTTTGGCTGGGGGTAGACCTTCAACGCCTTGTAGAACGCAAGAGCCGCCTCGACGTTGTTCGAGCCTGTAGCCAAAGCTCAAGTCAGTACTAAGCAACGAAATGAAGAGGGAGAAAAGGATACAGGAAAAAAAAAAAAAAAAAATAAGAACAAAAGGGCAGACGGAAGAGGACAAGGTGAACGAATGAAAAATTGGAAGCTGGAAGATCGCCGAGGCACATACCATCAGCGCACAGAGCTTCACCCTTGGCCACCTGGCCCATGAAGAAGCCCTCTCGCTCCTCAATGTCGGTAGGGAAGCCCTCATCCTTGGCCTCCTGGACCGCCCGCTTGATCTCCTCCTTCTGCTTTGCACCCTCCGCCTCCGATTCCTGTCGGACGGCTCTGGCGAGTCTTCGGTTGTCCCGCTTCAAAGCACGGCGGAACTCTGGATCGGACTGTCTCTTGTAGTCGAAGTAGATGGCATAGGCTAGAAGAATGTTAGGACAAAAAGGCAGGCGATGCATTTGCGGCGAACAAAAAAAAGGAACCGTACCCAGTAGGCCTGTCAAGAACGTGCCGGCAGAAGCGGCGACAATGGTACTCGTTCTCATTGTGATTAATTGGTTTGTGCAAGAAACAACCTCGGCGTAGGATGAGAGGAGGACGGAAGACGGGCGACTAGCTGTCTTCTCGAGCTGTTGGGAGGGTTCGCGGCTTGCTGGTCGGGTCTCCGTCTAAATTTTCAACGGCAGCAGAAATGGCTGGAAAACGCAACCCGAGACGAATGGATGTCGTCTGAGAAGAAGACAAAAAGTACCAAAAAAGAGAAAAAAGAAAAAAAGGTAATCTCTTCCGGGAGCACGAAAACAAAGGAGAAAAGGTGAGAGACGGAGCGAAGAGGGCGATTTACAGGGAGCGCGTGGGTGGTTGTTGTCGCTGGACTCGGTCTTTTGGAAATTTTCTTTTTCTGCTTGGAGTTGTTGTAAGTTCGTCGTCAAGTCGGATTTTTTTTTGGCTTTTGGTTTTTTTCTGGGGTGGAGCTTCGAGCTGCTTCAAACCATCATTTGATCGCGAAACTCTAACCAACTACTAAACTACGCCTGGCTGGCATCTTCGTTCACCCAAACCCGCAGCCAAAACAACAACAACAACCAGCGCCATCTTCCTCCCAGTCTGTGGCGGTCACCACTACTCGTCGACAACACTACGTTGATGCCATGGATGTCCGAGGCCTCACGCTTCGCAGCAAGTCCCGTCGTCCCCAGATCAGTGCTCCGAAGCCCATCGTCGATCCCAACTCGGGCTCCAGCAGGTCTCCCGGCGGCCTCCCCTCCGCGACCCCACGCCCGCAGCGCAATGGAGGAGCGACGTCGGACCTCGTGAAGAGACGGTACTCCGCCAAATTCAACCAATTGCCCAACTTCGCTGTCGGAGAAGCCCCTCCCGTCCCAAGTCTGCCGGCCAATGTTCGCTCTGCGAACGCCAGCCAGGAGCAGATCTCCGACCGCCCATCGACCTCTTCATCGTCGCAGCCGCTGCGTGTCGAGATAAAGGCGCTCAAGGACCCCGGCCTACAGGTGGACAACTGTACATGCTCATCTGCGACTCCCAGATCCCAACCGTTACTGACACACGCATCATAGATGTCGCGAACTTGCTCGCAAATGCCTCTGAGCAGGACATCAGAGAGTACCAAACCAGCCTTCGCAAGCTCAAAAACAGGACTTCCGCCGACCTTCAGCAGAGCGTCTACCAGAACCGCACCCAGTTCATCAAGATCAGCAAGGAGGCCGAGAAGCTCAAGGAGGAGATGAGCACGCTCCGGGGACTCATGTCCGAACTCACCACCGCACTGGGCCAGGCCGGTGCCACCACCGGTTCGAACGGATCTCCCAGTCTCGAAGAGACTTTGGTCGGAAGAAGACATGCAAACCGTAGCTCCGTCGCTAACCTGGAGAGCATGTGGAGTATCCAGCTACAGACGCTCTGGAAAACTGTCGAGAGGTCGCAGAAATTCCTCCCCGCGATTCCAGGGCGGCATATCGTCCTCGAATCCGGCCAGTGGATAGAACTGGACTCTGCAACGTGGAAGCCCAGACGCCCCGTCCACATCGTCCTGCTGAACGACCATCTGCTCGTGGCAGCGAAGAAACGGAAACGCATGGACCCCAATAGCCAGAACAACAGCAAAGCGCCTGCGCCGACAAAATTAGTCGCGGAAGAATGCTGGCCTCTTCAGGACATCGACCTCATCGATCTCGGCGCGAACCTGGACAGCGACTCAGCCGATGATAGCGAGGAACCCGCGGTTCCCAATGCGGTCAATATCCGGTATGGCCCAAAGTCTTTCACCTATCGAACCGACCAGCGCAACGTTAGGGCCAAGAACGACCTCGTGATGACGTTCAGGAAAACTGTCGAAGAACTCCGAAAAGGTCTAAGGACGGAAGCAGAAGCAGCGGCCAAGTCAACTGAATTGATCAGCGGCAGCCAATCGCTATCCCGACGCTCAGAGATGTTCGATTCAGATGCTCGTGACAAACTAGACATCCTCATCGACGTAGATGGAAAACAGCAGAACATGAAATGGGTAGACGGCCAATTGGATGAGTTGGATATCAACATCGCCCTTCAGCAGTTCGAAGACGCGGTCGCACGGGTCGAAAAGCTGCGTAAACTAACCAAAACGCTAAGAGGAAATCTCACGGCCCAAGATGTGATCAATTCGAAAATCGACGTGCGAGCCGGGAAGCTTGCGGAAATTCTCATCCGTGCCCTTGTTGATACTCATTCTTTTTTGAATGCAACCAAGTTGAACATCAGCTGGCTGACTCGACTGGGATTTGACGATCGCGCCCGGGAGGCATACCTCCGAGCAAGGTCAGAAGTGATGACCAAACGGGCTAGGTATTTACGCTCTATAATCCGCCTGTCAATTCCTCTTTCTAACAGCACATTTTAGACACTGTGTCTTCGAAGGTGACCTTCCCCTCTACATCTTCCAGGTTTCGTTTATCTATTTCACCATGATCAAAAACACCATCGGCATCTATCAGCAGTGCTTCCCGTCCAACATGACCAGTGCCTGTATAAAATGGGCCAAAGGACACTTGGATGCCTTCAACGCCACCCTATCGAGACAGCTGAGCAGCGTGGAACCGGATTCCCAGATCTGGGTGAGATGCATGGACATTGTGCATGAGCATGCCGGCACCTTAGCGGAAGTTGGTGTTGATTTTAAGAATCTGATTCACCTAGACGGAAATAACCACAACGGGCATTCAGGGGGTGCCGGGGCTGAAAGCTAGGTGATGGTTTTGAGCTTCTCTTAGTTTTGCTGTATGTTTTGATGTTTCGTCCGCCGTCGTTAGCTCTATCATGAGTCTTTCTATTTTGCATCTTTCATCATACCCCATTGATAATGCGTCCGCTTATCAATCTGATCTGCATCCTTATTCCTTGCTATCTAAAGTTTGGATTTTTTTTACTTCTCCAATTGATGTCATTCATGTTTCCTATCACAATCTGCATGCATACTATCCTTCTTCCAGTCCAACATTTGCTGTGACTCTTTTGCCACTCTCTTCACCCCCTTGATCAACATGGAGCCACCCATCCTCTGCCAGTATTTCTTCCATCAACTTAGAGTGTTCCATACTGCTAAATGCTTGTGCTACTTTCCTGAATGGAGCTAAAGAGCAACTCTTGCTCATGTAACTATAGGCTTATTGGCTTCTTAGCAGTTGTTCAAGACATTGAACAGCTGCCTGCCCAAGCGTTCGAAATCAGCCTCTATGAACAAAATATATCTCTGACCTAGCCAGGTATATCAAGGTTTCTTTGGGGGTGTGGGGGGGGGGGGGGGGGAGGGAGAAGAGTACTGCAGCTTCTTTTGCCCCTGGACCCTCTGGACCCTCTGGACATGACATGTCGTATATTTGATCTCACGTGGATTTTGGTCTTGTCAGAGCCAAAGTTAGTCACTGTTGGCTCACATTAGATCATGTAACATCTCCATTTTTCAGGTTTCATTATTCCCCCAAAAACATTCTCTCGCATTCATCATTCAGCTCCTAGGGCTATTATCCCTCTTCAATCTCGCCACATATGTATGTCGTGTAACCACCAGGTTATAACCTTAGAGGCCCGCCTCCAGGGGCGCATGAGCTGCATTTGACACAAGCAACATGGCCCCCACGTAAACGCTGCTGGAATATCTTCCACTTTTGGTTATTTGGACGCGTCGAATTTTATATTGCTGATGTTCATTATTCGCTTGATAGCAGCAAACCCGGCAAGATGGCATTGAAGTTGTTGCTTCTCATACACAAAATCCGCATTCTATGCTAGCTAACTTACCAGTGTCAAGGTCTCCATTTACCTCACTGAGATTTACAGCCGCAAATACAGGAATCAAATATGTAGAACTTTCTTCGAGAAGGGACTCTTGAAAGCTGATGCTCTATCACGGTTCCACTTTCGCAACCCATTCCAAGATGCTTTCTCGGCATACTTCAGGGGGTTTGGCTTCAGCCACCTTACTGAACCGACCTCCGTCGTCAAAGGGGTCCACAATCCATGGATGCTGCTGCAGCTGACGAATTTGCTCCGCGTCCATTGTTCCGTCCTGAAGCCACAACCCATCTTCGTTGAATCTATGCCAATTGAAAAGCCTGGATGTTGCACCCCACGACTGCTCATCTGCATCGCGTTTCGCATCGGGTTTTATCCTGCACAAATAAGTATTATAATCAACAAGAATGATAAGAGTAACTCACTCTTCTAAGTCCCACTTGCTGCCTGTCTCAAAGCATTGCAAATTTACTTTACCAGCTGCCTTGAGTTGGTGCTGCGGACCGGCTGGGAGCCTCTCACCACCTCGCTGATTCCAGTAGCACTTCCATGATAGAGGGATATGTCTATGGCAATAATGAGATCTAATTTCAAGGCCCAAGTTTTCAATAGTCGTCGACCCGAATGGAGGAGCTGGTGTCCATGGGGCCCTGACCTCTGGGCGGCAAAAGTAGGAAAGACTAAACTCATATGCACGGGGAATAGATATATCCATTGAACCATCAGGGTAATATGGTATTTGAAGGAACGATTGATGCGTATCGGTCCAAAAAGCCGCAGCCAGGCAAATAGGGGGAAGGCCGCTTAATACCAAGTTCAGTATGGGCATTGCCAGATGACTATACGCAACAGCATGCCACAGGAGAGTGAGATGGGGCCGTCTGTATGCTACTGCGTGCAGTAGTTTCTCGAAATTGTCACCATCATGCATAAGGAGAGCTTTTTTAACACCCAAAGATGCAGCTCCGATTAGATTGCAAGGAACCCTTGGATCAAAGAATGCGCTACAAAGCAAAGAATCAAGAGCATCCTGCGTGGCACTGAGAGACATGCATTTGTCAAGCGACTCCCAGAGCTGCCGAAAAGTAGAGTTATGTTCAGGCTGTTTCGCAGGAAGAAAAATCATCGTCGGTGGATGAAGCTTTAACGAAGGCGCGTTCCTTGATGTTAGCATCAAAATGGCTCCAAACCCTAGGAGCAACTCTTCCTCTAGTCCGTTTGAAGTGCAAAAGTCGAGCAGGATATCAAATGCGAGTGACGAGTTCGGTGAGATTTGAACCCAGCCATCACTGGAAAATTTCTTAGCCGACATAATCTATCGTTTTAGTAGGATTCAGAACAAACCTTTGTGCCGGATTAGAGTGTCTGTTGGATATCATCCATGGTGCATAGAAGGTCGCTTTCCCACGGGTCACCTGAGCCGACCACCGACTGTGTATGACCAGATCCCAAAAGCAGTTTTGAAGCTGTTCGCCATCAGCATGCAGCAGCTGGCTCTTCATGCCAGCACACTCGAGTATTTCGACCCAGCGACAACAGAATACGTACGACCAAGCCAAAACGATACTCGTGAAATAACCTTGGTGTTCTGGCAGGCCGGCGGAAGAGAGTTGCGATGTAGTTGTAGACTCATATGTTCCTGGAGAAGGAAATCCAAGACACTGAAAATAGTCTATGGTCTTTTGATGCTGCTCACAGGTTGGGTGGCTTGTTGTTTCCAGCTCAAGCGACGAGCGCAAGACAAGCGGAGATCTTCGTTCCCCTGTGATATCAACATGTTTTGGAGGACTGTGGAAAAACTGCGGAACATTTTGGACCATTTCCAAAAAATCATTCAGGTAGAAATAAGATGGGCGATCCGGTGGAAGTTTCGAAGCTGCATCATTCCAGGTGTCAAAGCTAGCTCGACAGCATGCATCAAATGCATGCCGCGAAGGGCAGATTCCATCGCCGTCATACCACTCTCCGATATCTTCCTCACTTTGAGAATAATCAGAACTTTCGTCCTCCATATCTGACGTTCAAGCACGCTTCTGGGAAGTTAGGGCATTATCGACCTGCTAACAGACAATTTTCTGCGCAGGGAATAAAACCTGAGTTTCTCACTATCCTCACCACATGCATTCTGAGCTCGATTTGATGAAAAGAGATATCTTAGAAGTAAAAATCTGATCAGACACTCAAAGGGTACAGACACCTAGTCTCAGCGAGCTTGGATGGTTGGTGAAGTTGTAAGATCTTGGCAAGCTCCAGCTAACTCTATGGGTCACGTGAGTGGAGGGCTTGCTGGTCAACTACCGAACCAACAGTTACTAGCCGCCGGATATCAACTGGATAACAACCTGTACTGTCCACTCCAGGTTAACCACCAGGAGTTGTGCGCTGACCTCCTAGGTTGAGAGAGTCACAACCTACAAACTCTATCAAACCTGATTTTCTCTAAACACGACGTGCAGATTGAAACCGGAGAAGCCAGGAATATAGCACCCCTAAAAATGTGTGATGATGATCAGAGCAGTGCCTCCCGGTGGATAGTCATCACAGGTGATTCTATCGCCTTAGACAGGCGCAATCGACACTTGACGCTTGGTCTGGGACAAGGGTTTAGCGAATCTGAGCTGTGAAGGGCTGGCTTAAAACTGATTGCGGCGCTGCTCATGACTATACAAAGACTACAAACCTGCGCTATAGAATTGGCAAGATGAAACTAGGGCTAAGAGCATTCTACTCTCTGCAAGAGCTTCCAGGCAATCGTCATGCTTTTCCGGCTATAGATCTTCCAACCGTCATGCGGTCAATCACCTGCTCCTTCCTAACCGTTCAAATAAATTTAAAAAGGACGCTTTAGAAGCTGCTTTGATCGGTATTCAAAAGTGTTGTTAACCTCAAAACTCTTACTTAATCCTACTACTTGAATTAAGGTACGTTCAAGGCCAGAAGGCTGGCTTTCTTTACCTTCACGCAGGGTGAGACTTTATTGATGGAGGATCCTCGCTAGTTTCTCATCAATCGGAAATGTCGGCAAGCTCTGGGCTAAGAGGATCTTGTGATGTTTGCCTCCATCCAAACAATGAACATACAACCGCGCCCTGTCCAGTACCACGTTGCCGCAACCGATGGAAGCGATGCCAGATCACCGGAGGATGTTTCAAACGGTCCAACAACTGGAGGTATAGGATGTGCTATGGCTGCACAGACCATCCTGCAGTACGAAACAATCTAACCTTCGGCGGACTGAGGCAACGAGATGTCACTCGAAAACAAAGACAGAGTTATAACGATACGGGCGATGCCGGCGGAGATTCATCGGGGGGCGAATTTAGTGAAACCACTACCGCGGCCAGCAGCCCATAAAGTGAGCTGAACGAGGTATCTTAGCAGATGGGATTTTGTTTTTATTTTTACTTTTGACTGAATTTCGTGGAGCCTGATGTATTGAATATTCTTAGATGGTTCCGGCTGGTCTAAATTGAGCTCTGCAACTCGGAGAATATGGTTTTACCTGCTATTCTAAATATCTTGTTTGGGGTGCATACCGTGTGCTCTCTCAATTATGCATACTGGTAGCCCCCCTCATTAGACCTACCTCGACATACAACGTTTAAGGCTGGATATCATGCCACATAAAAACTATACACCCATTTAGTCTCTGCTGCAGGGCGTAATTTGCTGGTTCCACTGTAAGCTTGTGCGCGACTTGAAGTAGGAGACAAAAAATTAGCCTACTTGCTTCGTGGCGTATTACAGGATACAGATGTCTATCTAATTTTTGAAACAATATCATCCGCTAGCCCACGTCGATTTCGGGTTATATATTATTAGGATTCTCTATGGGTGTCATCCTTTGTCTAACTACATATAATACAGCATCATCAAATTAGTCAAAAACCGATCAAGATCATTCATCATGCCATGTTCCAAATTCTTTCCCAGATCTCTTTTGATGCAACTCTCTGACCCTCTCCAATATTACCTACTCTCAGCTTCAACTCGCCACCCTCTACTCTCTGTGATGCTCCAGGTAGAGCCATCCAGTGCGAAACAACGTCAGGCACTTCTTCCTTCACATGGCTAATAACGATCAGGCTCTGTTCCTCACTCAACCCCGTGTGCCTTATCCCAAATGCAGGGTCATCAGGAGGTAAGTGCCATAAATCGCGACCACTCACTTTTCTCGATCCACTGCTAGCTGTGGTTCTCTCCCCAACCTCAAGAAAATGCAAGCACTTGTCTCTCAGAGAGGGCGACATGCCGGCAAACGGTTCATCCAGAATGATCAGATCTGGCTTGTGGACTACAGCGCGAAGGAAGAGGAGCAAACGCTGCTGCGCCACAGTGAGATGAGTGAATAGGACCGATGTTGACCAGTTTGTATTAGTCTTTTCAGGAGAGCGCGATCGCTCTGACCAGGGGACAAAGCTTGGATTCAATTCCGCCTCGAAGAACCTGAGCGCAGAATCAACATCTTGCCGTCGCTGATGATCCAGCTTGGGCTTTGCAAGAAACGTCTCCGCCCACGCACTTTCAACCACGGCGCGGACCGACAAGGTACGCGGGAAGAAACCGTGTATTTCTGGAGATGAATGTCCGATCCTCTTCTGCAGATCAAAAATCGAAATTCCCGGCTTTCCTGGTTCGGGCAATCTCGACCGACCGAAGAGTTTGATGGGCAGGGCGTATGCTTGGGGATGGTCCGATGTGATTAATGAAATCAGTGTAGTCTTCCCAGAGCCATTGAGCCCAAAAACGCCCCATCTCTGGCCGCGGTGAACTTTCCAATGTAATCCGGGCTTTAGTTGACCGTCGACGATTTGATTCCAGTCACCGAGCACCACTATATCGCCGTAGCTCACTTTAACGCCGTCCATCTCAATGATAGGTTCACCGTAAGATGATAATTTCTTTGTCGCTCCCGATTCTGCTGCCTCCCTCCGAATCAATCCAAAGTCATTGAGGATGCCGGCATTCGTCTCGAAGAGGCCATCTGTACGTAGCTTCTCCGCCCGATTATATATATCCTGCTCCTTAGTAGAGAGAGATCTATAAAAAGCATCCTCCGCCGGACTCCGCGGCCACAGCGTTAGCTTTCCACCTCCAGCTAGCTGACCTTCTAAGGATTCAGGTGTGTAGATGGTTCTTCTGATAGAGACAGCCTTCCATATGTCTAAGTTTCGCAAAACCTCCGATCTTTCACCCTGGAGAGCTACCGTGTTGCCATCGCCCAGAACAACCAAATGACTGATCCATTCAGGCACCGGGTCTTGGGGTCTCAGAGTCATGATAAGCCGCGGTGCACTCTTTACCGCCAAGTTGTGCAACAATGGCGAGAGCCCCTGCACCGTAGGCGGATCCAATCCCACTATCCAAAAGGTCTCAGCCCAATTGATCAAAATAAGACAAGAATCCTCGCAGACAATAAAAACTTACTGAACGGCTCATCTAGCAGTAAGACCTCCGGCCCATCTAGTAGAGCTTTTGCAATTCTCGCCCGTCTCGTCTGGCCATTACTTAGATTCGCCACAGGCATGTCGAGTAACGCGTCCAGTTTCAAATCGTGAATCACCCGGCCCAACACAGCTTGGTTCACATTACTCCCTTCATCCAGCGGATTCAGCTCCGTCTGGCCCTTCAGATACTGCAAGACGGTGAAATCGGTCTCCTCCCTTCGACTTTCATACCTTGCACTCAGATACGCTCCCCGTACAGCTCCAGCAGAACCGCTCCGGCTTGCGTCAGCGTTAAACCCGACATACTTAATCGCGAACCCAGGAAATCTGAGACGATGGTCTTTTCGCTCGATCTCATCTGTAGCTAAGTAGGGATACGACCTTGCAGTGGGTGGTATGCATATGTATTGTCCATTAAGGACATTGAGGAACTTAGCCTTGCCCGACGAGCCGATGATGGCCCAGTGCTGAAGTTCCTTGGACGAAGGGGCCGTAGAGGGAAGCGCGAATGAGAGATTTGGGAATATTGGGAGATTATCTTTCTGTGGAAGCTCTTCGGTGGGATAATCGCGGTAGAATGTCGCGTTTGTGATTTGGATGAGCGGTGGAGACGATGTCGCTGAATAGGAGACGCGTCGGCATTGGCAGAGGAGACTCGCTCGCCAGGGACGGGCGGTATACAATCTCCTCATCGCGGCGACATGCGTATGCTCTCCCAGTCCGTTGACACGGCTTTGGTCTTTACCCTTGACTTCACCGTATAAAGCGTTTGTATGGATATGTCCTCATTGCCTTGAGTCACTGGGATGATGGTTGAGGCTAGTGATGCGTGCACACCGATGTCGGAGAGAGCGCCAACTGCCGGATCATCCACGAAGACCAATAACATTGAGTGTTGGCAAAGGCTTGGTAGCAGAAGATGAGAATTATTTAGGATTTTTATGTTGTATCTATGTACTCCGTAGCTATATCCATGTGCGGAGCATATTTGCTATATACAAGGCCATCATCATCGTCATCGTTGTCATCAGTCCTGGTAGTAAGCAGAGAAGCCTCCCAAGCGAAAAAAAAAAAAAAAAGAAGAAAAGAAAAGAAAAGAAAAAAAGAAAAAAAGAAAAAAAGAAAAAAAGAAAAGAGAAAAGAGAAAAGAGAAAAGAGAAAAGGAAACAAAAAAAGGAAAAAAAAAAATGAAATGGACGCAACACACACACACAGAACACACCAACACCACCCATGCTGAATATACAAAATCCATTCCTGGACACAATGGAATCCTTAAATTATACATAGAACTCATTACGCATGTGAATCCTGCTACATCTCTATGTACTAAACAGAAAGAAAATGCAACTTTTGATATTAACAAAGAAGACAACAGGAAACCAAAATTCAAAAGAGACAGCGCCATAAGTGGAGCAAAAAAAAATAAAAAATAAAAAATAAGGGGCTCTAATAAATCATAGAGCTATTGACCACCACCCTTGTATCGCTTGGAACTGAAGGCCTCAAGGTGCCATCACCAAAGCCAACAACGCCATGCGACAGTAGAGGCCGTATCTCGTCTACATCAAGTCATTAGTAAGGATCCAGTAGCAGCGACAATGTGCGGGACCTCGACTCACCTGTCTAAAATACGAAGCCCGCTGATCAAAGTCCACCTCTTCACCAATCTCTGCGTTTCTTGGAAGAGGGTGCATCACAACCATCTGGCTCTTCGCATGCTTGAGCACAGAGTTATCCACAACGAAACTATTCTTGAGTCGCTCGTACTCCTTCAGGTCCTCGAAGCGTTCCTTTTGTACGCGGGTGCAGTACAACACGTCAGAGCGAGCAACGACCTCGGGAGTCAGCTCTTCGGTTTCGAGAACAAGCTGGCCAGAAGTGACGAGGTGTTGGCGGACATCTTCAGGGAGAGCAAGATCCTTAGGGGCCACCAGTTGTACGCGAACCTCGTAGAACTGGAGCAACTTAATCAAGGAGTGCACCGTGCGGCCGTAGCGCAAGTCACCGATGAAAGTAACCGTGATGCCGCTGACAGTGCCCAATTCTTCTCGGATAGTGAAGAGGTCAAGGAAAGCCTGGGTAGGGTGCTCCATACTTCCATTACCACCGTTGATAATAGGAACCGGAGAAAACCTAGCAGCGGTGGCAGCGCTGCTCTCGAGCGGGTGGCGAAGAACAATCGCATCGGCGTAGCAAGCGAGGGTGCGAACAGTGTCCTGAAGTGACTCTCCCTTCTGAGTTGACGAATGCTCAGTAGCAACGGCAACGGTGCGGCCACCAAGGCGTTGCATGGCTGCGTCGAAGGAGGCCGATGTGCGGGTAGAAGGCTCATAGAACAATGTTGACAGAACCCGTCCCTTGAGGATATCAAGAACGCCGTGGCGCTGGACACCCAATCGCATTTCCTGCGCAACGGTGAACAGAAGGTGAAGATCCGCTCTATTAAATTGGTTCACCGACAGGATATGTTTTTGCTTGAAGGAAGACTGAGCAAGCAGTTCCATCAAAGATGGAGACGCTGTCGGGACGCTTAGTAGTTGGGTATACAATGGAGGGCCCAACTCGTTTCCAGGCGAGGTGATAGCGGCGTCCGACGGTCTCAGGCGCGATGAGCGAGCAACAGGCGTTGTGGAGAAGGAGAGGCGTCGTCCGACGGATACATCCCGTCTAGGAGACCTGGGCGGCTCCTTGATAGAAGGTGATGCTGGAGGAGCAAGACGATGCGCTGACATATCCGTACCACGCGCAGCATCGCCAACCAACTCACCATCAAGGCAAGATGTCTTACCTTGGAAGGTAACTCGCTGAACCGATCCTCGAAGAGTTTTGCCGTTGAAAGGAGACCAGACTCCTTCGCTCTGGAAGACATATGGGCGGTCCACCTCGATTTCAACCGAGGCATCAGGCTGGTCATGGAGCTCGAAAATCCTCTTAGGGTTGTCGTAGAGTCGAGAAGTAACGTCATCAAGAGTCAGGCGCCCCTCCCAAACAGCAGTCAGGAGTAGTGGAAGCGCGTCCGCAATTCCAACCTCCGGCTTGGCTTCCTTTCCAGCAAGTTCATACGGAAGGCCTCCAATGCAGAAGATGTCGATGGTGCTCAAGTGCTCCCAGAGAGCCTCCTGGTCCTCTT